TTAACGCACATTTTTCATTTTTCTACGTTATCTTCCAGTCTTCCGATTACCAAGACGTATAGTGGTCTATGAGTCTTGACTACAATCAAGCACTTATAAATGTAACTGTTGCCATAACGGAGTGCGAGTGCTAGTTTAGATAACGCAGAAGAGAAATAGAGATTCTCGCTATATCGAACGGATTCACAATGATGTTGATCCGATTGCACTTCATTGCTTATAATTAGCCGAATGGTTACAAAAGTTTATAATTTTATGATTATTATATATTTCTAATAGATCCGTCATTCGTTCTACTTCGTTCGCTACTACTTTTACTTTACTGTACGCATAAAACACCACAAAACGTGTCCTATACCATTTAGAGGTACATTAAGTTCGCGAAGCTTCACTCTAACAATACTCAAAAGTATAGCTCGTATTTTTCTGTAATGACAGCTTACTTCACTAAAACGTCACTTTAATTGGCTACTACATACGGTAAGCCATTTATAGCAGTCTGTTTCGCTTTAGAAAAATGCTGAGACTAGGTTATGACCGTATTGTAGCTGTGCTGATGTAAAGTTCACAAGTGCACTATATTGTAACTGTTAATTTTTAGCGATTTTTTTTTGAATACACCTCTCCTTTCTAGTTATTTAGCAAATTTGAAATAGTACTTTATCTTTTTATTATACTAAACAGATAATTTGGAAAATACATAAGAAGTAAGGAAACGCTTATCTTGAGATACGCCCTATCCCGTAGTTATCCAATTTCAGAGGAACGATGAAAACGCATTTCGAAGAGGTTGGCGTTTTGATGTAGGGATGAGTTTTGGATATTGTCAAGAGCGTATCTCAAAGTTTCGTTGCAAACTACAGTTAAATAAAGCATTTTCCATGCACGATTCCTTGTAATATATTGTTGTGCCAATTCACATCTTTTTGAGAAGATAATAAAAAGAGGAAGTTATTTTATCTCTATAGCGTGCATGAACTATGGAATATTTTGCAGATTTACATTCAAGATGGGTGAAATCGCTTATACCAGTTTTTAATAATTAACGCAAAACTAATGTCGCATAAAACTTCATCAATGGTAAAAGTGATTTCACCATGAAGAGCCATAGAAATACTTCGCACTGCACATACTGTACTGTACACTGTACAGTATAGTACTTTACGGTATAAATTCTCCTACTGTACTGTAGTGTACAGTCGAAAAGTCAAGTTAAAACTTCGAGAACATTCCATCAGATAGGCGGTCAAGGCCTCAAAACCAGGGTTAAAGGAAAACATTTTCCACTCTGTGGTCCGAGCATACAGACCGACCGACAGCGCTACGTTTTCATATATTTTTCTCGCTTAAAATTAAAAAAATCGATCTGAGCCTTTTTCTATTAGCTGTTAATTAATTTTAATGGATCCTTCGTGAATACACGGCGTAATAATTACAGGTGATCCTTAATTAATTAATTTTAGGGTTTGGACTCCCACCGACTTTGCTGGCGAAAACACCTGTAGTACTTAATCGAATAATATCATGCAGTATATCCGGTTCTGTAGCGACATTTTAACTTTAATCAATGATCAAATGTAAAACCTTGAACTCACAATAATTCGACTCACAAACTGCAAAAGCAAACTAGTCACAAAATAATGGTTATAAGAAATTTCGTGATACTGTTTTATCAGGCAGTATTTCAAGAAAGCGCCATTTACATTTAAAAACTAAAAGCTAAACAATTTTGACGTCAATTTTATATCAGTCCCATCCCCTTCAAATAAGAGATGAGTTGGATTAAATATTTGATCGAATTGATCTGGAGTTATTAAAATTAAGAAAATCATCAAGCGAAATGTCTTTGATACTATATTCTCAATGTTGATTCGGCTGGGCTTGCATGTCACACAACTACAGAAACAGCAACTATTCTATTATTTTACCAAACTGAGAAAAAAAACGTCGAGCGGTATCTTTAATACACTATACTATACGCGTATACGCGTATGCGTACATTATTAAAACCAAACATTTCTCTCGATGTATTGGATAATATCTCTAAAACAGCTCTTATAAGCCTCAATTATATTATACTCGTCCGAGCAAATTTGCCATAAGAACTAGCAGATATGTTCGGACAAATGCGCTAAAGAAATAAGCAAGATTTCTGGATATGTCATACGGAAATGACTAGGCTTACTGTAAGTTGATCCTATAGCACATGATATGAAGCTGGTATGAGAATAAAAGCCAATTTTGTACTTCTATATTACGAGCTAGCAGGAATTTCAGAATATCAATTTGGTAGTACTTATGAAGAAGTAACAAATAAATAGTATAAGTTTGGTCATCGACTTTTACCACACTATTGAAAATAAATTGATCCTAAACATTCCTCAATTCACGATGTAACAATTAGTGCGAATTACTTTCAACTTATTTCCATCCATCAAGCTTTACTTTTTAAAATACGGGAGAAAAGCTTGTTTCTGCACACTGACATGTTTTGTTGTCGATCTAAGATCAATAACATTGCCTATAATTTTCATCTTTAAAAATATTAACCGTAATACTAAGTTCTCGAGCAAATGTAGAGACAGCGTATTAGCAAAGTATAAAACTTTATTAAGACTTATAAGTGCGAACTAATAAAATATGACAGTAACGTTTATATATATAATCTATCATGAAATATTCTAGAATTTATTAGTACTTATTGTAATATTCATAGAATTAGTATTCTACAAGGTTCTACATGCATATGAAGTCACTCTATTAATACTATGGCATTAATTAAGAAGGGCAATAGAAAAGCACTGTACTGTACTTTACGGTATGTTTCATACTGTGTTGTACAATACTGTAGGGAAGTCAAGTTGAAACTTGGAAATATTCCATCGGATAGATTAGATTCTATTTATAGGCTAGCGATGATGTTAGTATGACGTCATCCTTTGAGATTCAGAACAGAGTTTACAGCATGCGGATACAGTACTGCGAAAGTTCTGCTCGAGTAAAAAATTTCTAGTGTTAGGCTGAGTTTTAAGAAAGCTGGGCGGTCTGATACACCGTGTTATGTAGTGTGCAGTACCGTACTTCTGAAGACCGACTCTTATGAAGTCACTCTATTAATACTATGGCATTAATTAAAAAGGGCAATAGAAATGCACTGAATAAGTATTCTAGAAGGTTCTAAATGCATATGCATGATGTTTGAGTACATGCGCATCTAAGACTCTTATGAAGTCACTCTATTAATACTATGGCATTAATTAAAAAGGGTAATAGAAATGCTCTGTACTGTACTTTACGGTATGTTTCATACTGTGTTGTACAATACTGTATGGATACTGTACAGTACTGCGAAAAGTTCTGCTAGAGTAAAAAATTTCTAGTGTTAGGCTGAGTTTTAAGATAGAGACCCTCCCTGAGGCACGTGATAATCTATTTTAAGCACTGTACTGACAGAATACAGTATTTCGGACTTTCAACTTTGACTCTCTACAGTACTGTGCTGTACTGTACTGTACAGTGCAATATGAAACATTCACCGTAAAGTAAAGCATTTCTGTGGTCCTTTGATAATGACGTTAGTTTTGCCAACATTGAACTTAAAAGCGACTTTAGCTTCGCGTTAATTAATTATATAATTATTATATCTTGACTGTAAACCTGTAAAATATTCCATCGACCTTGCATGCTGTAGAGATTAAAAAACTTCACTTTTATTATCTTAAAGAGATGTGAATTGCCATTATAGTATAACATACGGCTTAGACCCGGAAATCAAAAACGCGTCTTTTAACGAAATGACGCACAGTACAGTATATCGAGGTATAATTTAATTGTTACCGAATCCTTGAGAAAGGTTCTTGAAAAATATCTAAAATTCATACCCGCATCAAATCGCCTATCTGTGAGATAAGCGTTTTGCTCGTTTCTCTTAAATCGGACTACAGAAAGAAAAGGGCCTGTCACAAGATAAGCGTTTTCCTGCTCTGTATGTACTTTCTAAATTGTTTGTTTGCAGTTGATAAAGGACTATTTTAAGTTTGTTAAATAACTAGGAAAGAGACGTATACTCAAGAAATTCGCTAATAAGAAAATAAGTTACAATATACTCGTACTTATTGACTTTACAGTGGCACAGCTTCAATACGGTCGTAAGCTAGTCTCTGCAATTTTTTTTAAGCCAAACAGAATGCGATAAACGGCTTACCGTAAATATTAGCCAATTAAAGCGACGCTTTAGCGAAGCAGGCCGTCATTACAGAAAAATACAGGCTATACTTTTAAATGTCGTTAGAGTAAAGAGTCGTGAAATGAGAACTTACTGTACCTGTAAAAAGTCGTGGACACGTTGTGTCGTTTTATGCGCACAGTAAATTAAAAAGTAGAAGCGAACGTAGGAGGACGAATGATGGATCTAATAGTAATATATAACATCATAAAAATTATAAACTTTTGTAATCAATCGACTAATTTTAAACAACGAAGTGCAATCAGATCAGTGCTATTGTGAATCCGTTCAATTTAGCGAGAATCTCTCTTTTTCTCTTCTACGATAAATAAACTAGCACTCGCACTCCCCTATGGCAACAGTTACATTTAGAAGTTCTTGATTGTAGTCAAGACTTGAAGATAATTATACGTCTTGGCAATTTAAAGACTAGAAGATAACGTTGAAAACTGAAAAATGTGCATTAAATCATTTAAGGGATTATTAAAGTAGCAGTAACCGTAGATCAACTAACTATTTGTGCATTAAAAATTCAGTAGGATTGGAAAGTAGCTGTCAATATTTCTCAATAGCGGTCAATCATTGCCGAAGCAAAAGTAATTTCATTATTATGAGCGAAACTGATGTCTACAAGGCATGCTTACTGTTTTGGCATGCTGATCGTACCGTACATAGCATTGCAATCTTCATTCTATTTGACATTATTAATACCATTTGATACATCAAAAAAGCCTTCATTTGCATTTACCTTCCCGCAGATTAACATCAACGAAACATGGAGCAAAAAAGTAAGCGATATTACGTTCGTAATATATTCACACAAGTTCTGTGTTCTGATGAATTGCTGAAACTCACATTTATTTTAGGATTGTTAGCATGATGCCATTGACAACTGTTGATTGGGTCAGTTTTACTGCTAATTGTAAACTAAAACACAACGCTGTATATTACTGTACTGAGTACTCAAAAGATAATAACGATTATATAAGCAACGATATACCTTTCTGTACTGTATAAAACAACCTAGCAGCAAAGTTGGAGCGCAGTCGTATACAAACAACATACGATTATCACTACCATGGTGGCATGATCAGTACTAGACTTAGTTGAGTTAAAATGACCGATAAAAAAGTTGGCCCCCATAATATCACCATAGCAACGATTGTTTCCAGTCTAGTCTCTGCAAAGTAACTAGTCAATTCATCCTATTCTTAAAAAATTTCTATATCATTCTAGTACAGTATTATAGTAAGCTCTATACCAGTTTCAGCGATGTATAGTAGCAGTTTTTTCTAGCTGGAGTTGCCTATTGTACAATGCAGTGCACACTATACTAAAGATTCAAGACAATGAAAATTCACAACATAATTACCCACATTGCATTTCTTTTAATGATATGCAGGGTAATTGATGTATTGTTGTAGCTTAAAACCACATTGCATTTCTGTTAATGATATACAGGATAATTGATGTATTGTTGTAGCTTCGTGTACAGTGTACACTGTACAGTCATATTGCATTTCTGTTAATGATATACTGGGTAATTGATATATTGTTGTAGCTTATAGTCATATTGCATTTCTGTTAATGATATACCCGGTATCTATGTTTTCTTGTAGCTTACAATTACATCACATTTCTGTTATTGATATACAGTACAATTATGTTTTTTTATAGCTTACAATCATATAGGGAATACTTTTGATATAATCGTAATTTACAATTAAAGTAAAACTATCAATCTTTATTCATACCCTCATGGTAAACTTATAAGAGAAAATTGTTAACTCTGTCATCGTAAACGTACTGCACTGTTTATGTAACCGTGATTTGTATCACATGACTGATGATCTTACGATTTATAAATCTACTGTATAAAAGAGACAGTGTAATGTGCTGATTAAATAACTTCGAAAATTATTAGCACGGCCATGAAAAGAGTTTCCATAGTAATTTGTTGATATAGCTAAGTTGCTTTTTCACCTTAGTAATCTTTGTTTCATTTGTGTATTGGAATTGATTTCTATGCTAATTACTTTTTACATATTTTAATATATACGTATGTTTTCATTTCTAGTGTACTACGACCCCAATAATTAAAACGTTTTCATGCTAGCGATTACTAACGATGTATCCGTGGAATACTTGTAATTCTTGTAACATGGCTGATAGTATATTCTGCTTAATGAACTCCTCATAAACTCTATCAAATATATACAGTACCATGTTATAATCCATGATTTTTAGCAGGCGCAGTATTTATTAATTTGTCATATTGTACCGTCTATCATAAAATTATAAATTTAAAGTTATATTAAAAAATACGCTTATTTGCGGGTAAAGATGTAAATCTTACTTATTAAGATTTTTAATCTATAGTTCATTAGCTACAGTTATCTACAGCTTGGCGGTTTCCCTGACGACTTATCTATTGTAAGATTTAAACGATCGGAGATTTTTCAATTATATCATCTGATCTATACACGTCTATCTATAATTTAGCAATGGGATTATTACTTCTTTATCATTATGAAAAGCTGACTTAACACTATCAATATAATACAGTATATACGAAAATATGCATCACATTTACTTGTTATTCATATTGTTACAATCTGGGATTGGATTCCAAGCTGCACTCAATCTTACGAATGCAATACCATATTCTTCATAGTGAATTATCAATTTGCCTTTACAATATAATCACGTACGGTACTATAAGACTACAATGCAATAATTATATTATAAGAACTTTTACAGATGACATTCTAATTATGTACTTAGGCGCTCTATCTTATAGCTAATGTAACATATATCGCAGTTAATATTTACACTATCAACAACGGCAATGAAAGTCGAAATATTATGACTGAATTATTATTCTTAAACCATGCCATTTGCTTAAAACTAATCTCTATTTTAAATTAACCCTAACCCTAACTTTAAATTGTCTATATTTATAATACTAAGATAGAATGCTTTCGTTTTGAATTTCTTCGTCATCTAAAAACTACTTCAAATAATTATAATAGATAAATATACTGTACCCATTTTCCCCAAAAATAACAAAAAGAAATCTGGTCGAACACTAGGTAAGGTGACAATAATTTACGATACAATATAGCTTTACAGGCAAAATCAACTGTTGTCCTATTTAGCACCAACCTCAGTCATTTATTATCCAATCAATTAAATAATGATTGTTTAATTTGTAAAAAGGATGATAGCATATTAACTAAAGCACCTAATCGCATACGAAAGAGTATCGCTAATGATAGTAATATCTCTTACACAGCGGACGAACCTATGTTAGTTGAAAACGACCACCATCAAGCTATAAAAGATTTGCCGTCAATAGACGATAGCGGTATCAGTGCTGATTTTGCTGATGAACGCGATCGTTTGAATCTGACATGTGACAGAAATCGCGCAGAAAATCTTTCCAATGAAAATACCAATATAAGTATGGACTATAATTATGGTAGCCCTGCAAAAGATGATATTGCTTTTGAAGATACTACCCAAGAATATGACGATAGCATTTCAGATAGCAATAATACAATGGAACATTCTATCCAAGAAGGTTTCGTTGATAAAGCTAAGAAAATTTATAAACGCCGTTCTACTTCTGCTTGTAGCAGCACTAGTAGTAAGTCGGAATATCTGACTCCACCCAATAGCATCCATACGGAAGAAGTTACAGGTGATAATACTGCAAATAACGACTTCAATCTTGCAAATGACAGCAATTCCGAAGATGAAGAATGTAGAGAAAATATCTTCTCTAATCCTTCAATTAATCATTCATTACTTAGTAGTAAGTTCAAACAGATTTTAAACATGTTCCTGGACCAATTTTATCGTAAATTGGAAAAATATGTTAAAATCCTGATAAGAGAAGGAAACATGACAGATAACAAGATCTCAATATCAGAGCTTTTTAACACTTTATTTCAATGCGTAAGGAAGTGTAACCCGGAACGTTCGATAAATCTAGCGGATAATTTAATGCTTAAGTTTTATTCGCGTCGGAAAGCATCTAAAATTATTGACACATCAAAGAAGCTAATACCAAATAACCTCGAACATGATCAATTAGCTATTTTCTTTGCTGCTATTGCTATCGATATTTGCCGTTGTCGGCAGCAGCAAATATCAATAATCAAAGACTCCAAATGTTATTATTATATGAAGACTTTCGTACGAGATATTGTAGAAAGTATATTCAGATACCTCCATAAGCGTCAGGGACGCTTCGGCTTAATTAGCCGACTTAAAGATGCGATTTCGCGTAAAAAAGAGACTGATTATGCAGCACAAGCAAAACTGCTGATTGATCTTGAGCATGATGCAGATAATCCTGAAACATTCAAAAAATCATTAGAGTACTTCATGGAAGGGTTCTTTTGTCATAATCCTAACGTAAAGAAAATACGAAAATGGGTACATGGCCATGTCGTAGATATATGCCTTCCAGTGAAGAAGAATCATAGAAACGTCAACACTATCAATTTGCTTCATCGAGTTTATGTTAAGGACAACGAAAATGGGGCTTATTATTTTCCATCTTCAAAGGATTCTTCCGTCAGACGAATTGTGGGTAAAATTCTAGGAAGATTAATCGATTACCATCAAGATGAAACTACAAAGCTATGTGGCTACAGACTACCGAGCCTGATATTTTCTAACGAGATTACTAGAGGCCAAGGTTCGTACAGTAAGGTGGATCCTCCAGCTTTTGAAACTCAGGATTGCTTTCAGTTGGATGAAACCTTGTGTAGAATTGATAGCATTGATAAAATACTAGATTTTGCCAAAAAATTTGTACGTAATGATATGGACAGAAATCTTCGAGATCGATACAATGATTTATTCAATTTTACCATCTGAAAACATGGCTGTGTCACGGTTTTGCGTTGTCATTAAGATAGTTTGATAAGTACAGTAGTAGCTGAATGCTTTTATTTCACATACTATTGCATTAGTACCTACTTATTTCTCAACGATTATAGGTTAATTTCAATAGGTCCGTATAAGATTCTTACAGTACTTTTTACCTCAAGATTTCTTCATGTAAAACGAATACCTCTAAGGTAGTAATTTCTGTAGGGTACTGATTTTTAAAATAATATTCGTGATATCGCTAAGGGTGGCCACTAGGCCTTTCAATTTTGATTTGATGTAATACTCTGATGAAAATTGAATAAACATCTAATCTTTATAGAGTTTTCTACACAGCCATTATGATTGTTACATTTTCTTATAACGGTTTTTATCGACAGAGCAAGCTTTGCTTGCATACGCTAGCGATACTTAGACATATTATAATGATCGGTATAGAATTGACTATAGTACTAAGGACATTGTACCGCACTGTCGATATCTTACAGTACCTGCTAATCTTAGCTTGGTATGCCCATCACCGTACATTAGTTATCATAGTGTGCTTTGTACCATTAACTAACCTTAATGTAGCATTTCAAAGCATTTCATCCGTGAATGCATTATTAAAAAGTAGTATTCTAGAAGCATAGCTGTGATTATAGTAGTACCTGGTTATTACCGGGATATATATAATGTCGAATGGTAATACTATCTGTTAATTATTAACAAATGGGCACACTATCGTAAACCGTCAGCAAAGCGACGTGAGTTTGTACTAGCAATCCTAACTTCTATTACGTGAATGTATGATCTATTACTTGTAATGCGTTAATAAAGTAGTTGTAAACTGAAGGAAAAAGACAGTTTATAGTACCGCACTGTCAATACTGATTCGGCTGCGCTTGCATGTTACATGGCTACAGAAACAGCAACTATTCTATTTTAATTATTTTACCAAACTGAGAAAAAATGCCGAGCAATACCTTGCATATATACTATGCTTTGCACACTACGTATTACGTGTATATACGTACGCTAAATCTAAATATTACTCTCGACATATCCAAAAACGTCCTTGAATGATCAAACGGCTCTTATAAGCCTCCATTATACTTGTCCAAGCAAACTTGCCATAAGAACTGGTAGATATGTTTGGAAAAATATATGGAAGATATAAGCGGGATTTCTGGATATGTCATAGGGAAATGACGCTGACATGTTTTGTTGTAGATCTTAGGTCAATATCATTACTTATAATTTTCAACTTCAAAAATCTTGACTAAGTAGACTGATTAGCCATTAAGATTTATCCGATTTATAGAATTTTTGCATAAGTCGCCATTCGTCATTCAATATTGCAATGTTCTGTACAGTATTTTACTTCACTGGACTAAGCATTATTTTCTGTTTGATCACGGTGTGATTGTTTGCTAGCGCCAGCTAGATAGGTAGTTTCTGATTCTTTCCTACTCGGTGAAGCTTCCGTTTTCGCTGTTAAAACTAAAGGTATATTTCATGATTGTATATTTGATTGATTGGCGCAAATTATCGCAATATGGTAAAGTTTTCTAGTCTTGAATCGACCTTATAGCACCTTCCATAAATGTATGAGAAGTGAGAAATAAGTAAAACAGACAGAGTTGAGCTAAATTTAGATTTTGACCAGCTTCCTTAGGATACAAGTGCAATCCTAACAGAAGAATAAGGGGAACAGCAATCATACATAAAATACTGGCATCTTGAAATTGCAATAAGATTACCTCAGTATAAAAATATTAGGGACGGATTAATTTAAATTGTTATAGATATATAGAATAAAGTTGTTATACATTATTTTATGCAGATAATTAACTAATGAGTGGTTTTACGCTGTGCTCACATAACAACGCCATAGTAATAATGACAGTTGATAATTATAATAGATGCTGCCCAAATGCAAAACTTCAAGTACAAGTATTTACGGTACTGTATCTTAGCGGCTCATAAATTATTTAATATCGTAAAAATATCTGACTAATCTAAGGAAGCTTTTCGCCATATGCATGGAACACGACCAGCTTTAATTTTAAAAGTCACAGCTAATGACTAAACCACCTTCTATTATTTAGAACAGATCTATAACTTTATTCACAACGAATTATAAAAATCAGTTTCAATGAATTGCTTTCGTCAACTTTTTATTAGCTACCAATAAGGAAATACGACTTTGGCTTATTTTACTAGGTGTGATGGAGGGTTCGATATCTCAGAGGATTGAGATTTAGTCGCCATTTACAATTATTAAAACAAAGGGTTTATAAAAGTTATGCTTTATTGTAGGTTAGTAATGTGAAGTACAGTGAGGTAGTTACGGTAGAGCAGCGTGCAAGCTGTCGTGAGTAACGAGTAGAAGTATTGGACTGTGAGAGACTAACTAGAAGACTAACTGAGAGGCTAATGAACTCTGAGGTAGAAATCGCCAGTATTTATAGTTTTAAAGATAGAGCACATGCAGAGAATAGGATTGTGGAATTAGATACAACATATACCATAACAGGTTACAAAATAGCAGATGATTGTAGAAAACAGCGAGTACCGTAATAACTAAAAACAGTAGTCTATATATGAATGTAGAGTAAGCGGACTGTAGGTCTGTCTAAATATAAGAGCAATACAACATGTCTATATTTAAGAGTAAAATATAGTTACAGTATATTCTAAATACACTACACTAGGCCTCAGGCTCTTTTGCTTTGATGGATAGAGGAAGAAAAGGAATCCTATCCAGTTATAAATCCAGTTATCATTATATCCATTATATCCAGTTATAAAATTATAAATTAACTTTTAAACCTAAAGATTTAGTCATAGCAATAACAGTCTAACTACTTAACAATCAACACTACCTCTGCCATTTGCCATCTTATTTTCTATTTTCTCAACTAAAGCCTACTCTTATAACTTTTTTCAAAAATTAAAATTAATTGAAATTATATGGAAAATAAATCCGACCGGATCTGGAATCCGAATCCCCAAAATTCGAATTTTGTAAAGATCGCAGCAATCGCTTATCAAAACATTTTATATGACAACTATGACTACTATTTTAACTTTAGCATTAACGGTTGATGTTTTAGCGAGAAGTTGTACGGTAACTGTACGATTATAGCCAACATTACATTACTTTACTGTCACGTTATAAATCCCTTTCTCTATGGATAGGGTTTTGTTGCTAAGTCATATTTATCTACAATCTTAGTATACTATGAAACGCCCTTTCTTTAGATTAGGTGATTGCTCTTAAGTTATTCCTATAGTAATCTATATAATAGTTAGTAAATCAATGAAGAAGAAAAGATGGCGACATATAGATTTGGCAGGGTAAAACTAAAAGATACTATGACTTTCTAGGTATTTTGTATATTAAATTAAAATAGTTACATACTAAAAGCTATGAAGGACTTTGCTTTTAGTCCTTTAATACAGTAGCTAGTTTCCTAGCAGGATGATATAAAACATTATTATATAAAATCGATGATTTAATAAAGTGACTACAAACTCGATTATAATACTATTTATATGACTACTGTAGATGTACACTGAGTATATCGGCGCGACATTAATGCTAGTTTATTGTAATAGTACACGTATTTTATCGTCATTAGATAAGCGACTAGTTCTAAACAAGTTTTACTCTATCGTAGGCCCCGATAATTACCACTGCGTTATGTAGAATATATCTCTGTGTAATCGTGTACAAAGGGCAGTATTTGTTGCCAACGTTTCGTGTCGCAGTGCCATCGCAATAAACAGAATCGTTAACTACAAAAGACAAACGCAGTCTTTTTACTAAACTCGTCAGCATTACAACTACATTTCATAATTATTTATATTTTCGAAGAATAATTGCAATCATAGGTCTTTCTACGCCTTAGAATAATTATTGTTAACCTATTTGGACTATACTTAATTGACTAATGGATTGCACATGATCCGCCTTGCATTATGATGCATAAAAGATCGGGGACTGTAATTCTAATGTGCAGATTTAAATTAATAGTAAAAAGCTGTACTTATATTCTTTATATAAGAAATTAGATACTATTAGCTATTTCAGTAATATTTATTTTATCTATTAAATTTATTCCGTGATGAAACAATCTTAAAAGAATTAATACAATATATACTGCGATCACTAAAATATTATCAACGCATTCTCATGTAATGCTGTGTACATCATCTACAAGTAACAAGTATGAGCGTAGGCTATTTATTTATTGATTTTTACCGGTAAGGAGTTCCTCTTTACCTGGATAGTTAACGTAGCATATAGTGAGGTTTATTTTAACCAAAGAGCATTATTTTCTTTTCTAATTTAAGTGAAAATAAAGAAGTACTATTTCGAAAGAGAATAGAAGTTGTCTCACATACCGGGCTCATAAATAAAATGAGCTATCGATAGAACAGTATTTTACTATCTTAATAGCATGTAATTTATCTAACTTTATTTACTAATTAAGTTGCAGTAAACTCGAGTCGAAAATTACTAATCGTTTGATATGAATCAGATAGAGTTATTAGATAAATCTTTCTTCATCAATGCTCTAATTCTGAACTACTCCAAGGATTAATGGCGCTACATTTATATTTGACTATTATTTTCAGTTTAGAGTGATTAAGAAAACTTATATTTCGTTATTCACAATAATTGATTAAAATCAGTTTCAATTCATTTCCCTTCTTGAAATTTTTATTTGCTAATAAGAAGAAAGTATGAGTTTGTCTTCCCTGCATTCAGATAATTTTTACTTGGATCGTACATTAATATCATTGCTTGTTATCTTTATTTAGAGATGTATTAATCAACTAATAAGATATATTATATATCCTTAAGGTTTACTAGATTTATTGTATCACTTTAGTATAAAGTAGTCTATTTAATGATATAAACTAAGCATTATTTGCGGCTTGATCGTCATGACATTGTTTGTTCCGGCTTGTTGGGGTGGTAGTTTCTAATGCTTTCTTACTAGATAAAGACTCCACTTTCTCAGCTAAGTGAAAGATATATTTTATGATTTCGTGTTCAATTTGTTGGCACATGTCATCTGAATGTAGCAAGGTTTTACCGTCTTGAATCGATGCTTTAGCACCTTGCATAAATGTATGAGAAGTTAGTAAAACAGACAGAGTTGAGCTTAGACTAGGATTTTGGCCAGCTTCCTTATGATACAAGTACAGGCCTAATAGATGAATGAGGGAAATAGCAATCATATGTAAATGCTGTATAATAAACTGCAATAGGTGATGATACTCTCCACCAAAAAGTTTTTCGATGTCATGATAGCTGTCCTTTGTGATAGCCATAATACCTCCGCCATACCCTGCAAAGACTTTCGTTAATAACGAATGGGTGATAATTTCTTGTGTGGAAGTCTCCATACGATCAAAGATTGAATCAAGTTTGATAATTTTGTCATTACTGTTAGCAGTCGCCTCTTCTCCGCTGATTACAGCAATAAAATGTAAACCATATTTACAATCTGATTCTGTCTTATTCTTTTGCTCTATTTTTTGATCATCGATGTAAAGGAATGGATAAATACAGAGCTTGGAAATCTGAACTAGGTCGCTGTTATCTAAATTTTCTGGCTTCTCTCTATTTTCGCTATAAAGCTTTTCTAAGTAAGGTTTTATTGTGTTGTCTATCTCTGATTGCTCTATCTCGATAAATTTATCAAGATCTTTTTGCTTAAGTGATTTCGCTTGTTTAAACTGTAAAGTTAAGCATCTATAGAAGTTGTCTTTCTTGAGTAGCTCCTGAAGGTGTTGATAACATTTTTTGATTAGATTATACTTCAACACAGATGCTTTATACGCTTTCTTCGCTTCTTTACGTAGAATTAACAAAAATGGTATAAAAGGTGCTAATAGGGACAAGAAATAACTTCCTTGCGACGCTAAGATTGTTCCAACAGTCAACGAAAAACGTACTGCAAATTGTAGAAATGGAGCCAAGAAAATTAAATTTATAAATAGAAAGATAATAAAACGGTGTCCAGCTTTGGAAACAGCTTGCTTCAGGACATCATTCTTATAAGTGGAAGTAATAACTTCAGAAAACTTTTGCCTTAATGATAGAATATAAGTAAAAGGAGTAAAATTGGCTAGGAGATGCGCTAATGGCACTAGTATTAATCTTGGTATCCAAGCTAAGAGATCTAGCATTTTCTGGCTTAACTGTAATTGTCCAGATATAAATTTCCAAAGCATATGCTCTTTTGCTTCGATATATTTCTTAACATTAAGATTTCTTTTTGAAGAAAAGACTGAATTAAATGAGGCCATAAGGAAACTTAATGTTTTATATTTTATACGTCCTACCAATAACATCATGAGCACATAGTAGCCGGCTACAAAGGCAACAGTAATGATAATGAATGTAATGTAATTTTCTCGAAAGTCCTTGTCAAACTCTTGAATAGAAAGATCATAGCAGAGATATTGCAATAAAGCCGCAGGAAAGGAAAACATGACAATTATAAAAGGTATAAGATAGATTATTCCTGGATGGCTTTCAAGTAATTGTTTAATGTTGTTCTTAATTTCCTGAATAAAGATTTTTGTTGCTTGACGAATAGTCAGTAAGATTAACGAAGATTTTTTCACTTTTGACCTAGAACCAAAAATAAAATGATCATTACTCTATTCAATCATCAATTAATTAAACTAATTGCACAATCTTATTCTTATAAATTTACATGATTGTCAGTATTACTGAATTTTCACTATTAAATTTTATTGCGTCATTTTAATTTTTTGTAAATTTATTGAGATATGTGTATTTCTGGATTTTCTGTTGAAAGACCGTGGAATGCACATTTCGTGCACTTAGTACTAGAAATTATCTGAAAATAAGACTGCTAATTGATCTTATAAGAAGCATAATTATGCAAATAAGCTAGTTCAAATTGTGATTTTAATTCTCAGAGCCTTGGCTAACAGTTAACATTTCTAGATTTCTGATATAGAATTTGGGATATTCGTATTTAGTGTTAAATTCGAAAGTGCCGAGAGCAATCTTGCATATGCAAGCCCAGTAACAAAAGTTGATTAATATTAATATTTACTTGGGATCTATTCGAAAGTCTAAATCATCGTGAATTTCCAGAATCAACTTTCGAATCAAATGGAAAGCTGATGCAAAACTTAAGATAAAGGTCAGCCAAGTATAAGCCTTGGTTGTCGAATGTTGTCCTATCCGTGGAATCAATGTACACATCAATTGGTCGCTGTCGGTGGAAGCTTTGCAGCATCGGCAATTTCCAGTAATAGCTTGATGACCTCTTCGTGAAACTGGGCAAGAGCATACATAAGATTCCTTATCGTGCATATCAGCAAGCTTGAGCAAGGATCTAGTTATAGCTTGGCCTTTGCAATTATCTGGGAGAGTATGGCAGCAGCTATGAGAAGGAATGCTGATGTTAATATGGAATGTACCATGGAATAATAGTAATAAGCCACCAGACATAATAACCGCTTCTGCTGATGTTACAGAAGGTACGAGATTAGCAAAGCCTGATTTTGCCCAATAATATGTCACATTATCATTCCAGGAAATATCATGAGGTATTTCGAAATGGACGACAATGTATCCATTAAGACGTATTTGATCGGAAAATTGCTGCATTTCTGAAATTTGCCAATCCAAAGTACAGTTATCTGTATCAGATTTATCACAGTCTTCGGCTGCATGAAAGCTTGAAGCTTGAATAACTAGGATATGCAAAATAACTGCAGCCCAAAATAGAGATTTAAACTTATGATCCATCTGTTGATCTTGATTGTAAAGTATCTAATCTATTAAATCAGAAGGCTAATTATTCATTAAAACAAGGTTCATCAAATTAGCTTTTACGCTCATTTAGCGATAGCACTTTAGTACTTCACTTACGGCAATACTGTTTCTGACTAAAAAAGTTTTCTATGAAACTTAACCAAAAATGTATGCGAATACAATATCTGTTTTGATTAGCTTGTAGCCTAGTTTGTATGATTTTCTTCGTTTGATTTCTACCAGATGAGCAGTTGATTTTTATCCCTATGCATTTATTGTAGGTTCAATACATGCCGGCATCTTATCTTCTTAGGATCTAATTAACGGATTTTCTTTACTAGAATAAAATAATTAAACTTGGTATAGTTACTGTATCGAATTTAAAATAATTTAAAATAGAGTAATTCCTGTAAAATTGATATTCTTTTTTTACTGTCATTTTCAGCGTAAGAAATTCTTTTTGCGGCGGTACAGTAAAAAATCTTAAACGACTAGATAGCATGCTCAATTTCATAACATTAGTTTTATAATAACATACGTAGATTTAGCTAAATTCAGCAAACAATCAAGACTTCTTTACCGAACAGGACAGCGATTTTGTTTTCTTGATTGAGATGCTGAAAGATTGAAATATGTTGATTACTTTGCAGGAAATTATAGCACTAAGGCTATCTTACCGTAACTATTGACAGTAGAAACTTTCGGGTGCATTTGCAATATCATTAAATAAGAATTACTAATAATAGGTAAAATATGTTACAATATTGATCTATTGACATTTTTGGTATTTTTAATGATTTTTTTTATAGTGGTGATACAGCACTTGCCCTTGATAGCATATTTTGCCTTGTTAATCATATATTTAAGAAATTATTTAAAGTATTTCAGTATCGTTCACTTCTATAAGATTATATTAGAAATAAAATATCATTTTGCAATAATGCAGCTGATTATATGTAATGATAAAAGTTATCGTACTTTACTAATGCCTATATGCCCTACAGTATAAGTATGTAAGTCAGGTATTTTGTCAATGGTATTTCGACTTAATATTCTCGAGTAAAATTCGACAAAGTACTTAATTGTAGGAGACAATTAATATATTTATTAAATTACTTAATCGATCAACCGTACATTATTCAGCCGCTATGTTTTAGAAGAAGACAGTAACTTGAATACCGTCTATCTAAAGCACATCACCTGGATTCAGCCACTATTAAACATCAAGAAAATATTAGGAATAATAGAACGGGCTAAGACACAGCGCTTAGCTTCAGTCGCCATCAAAAATCGTTAGTGTACGCGTTAAAGAGAACTTACGAGCTGGATGTCTATTTCCTAGTTCATTCTTCACAAAAGAGTAAATCAAAATCAAAAAAATTTAACTACTATTTCTCCTTATATTTTCTGATTGAATTTCGCGTAATGTACATTAGAGGTATGGCTATTCAATCGCAATTTAAGTTTCATCCTAATAAACTAAGAAACTGTGCAAGTACCGAAAGAAAGTTCAATAATCATCAGCTACTCCTAATTCCCATATTAAATTAGTAAAGCAATATGATCATTATAGTTTAGAGGATTTTCCCTTACAAATCCATCTACAGTGTATGGTACTAAATATTAATGTTTATTAATATTGATCGCTGAGATAATTCTAGCAAAATACGAGCGCATCTATTATTACAGACTATATTTTATTTCTAAAATAAAAAATTTCAAAAATAAGTCAATCTCTAAAGGAAAATATTTGATCTGCCTAGCTAAACTGAAACTAAATCCATATATCTGTTCCAAAATACTGTCTTCAAATACTTCATGAAGAGTCGTTTTATACTCTTTATTTCATATGTTGTGATTAGCATTTATTAAATTCTTGCTAAAAATTTTATGACCTTAGCAAAGTGAATAAGCATTAAAATTTCATCGAAATTGAAATTGCATGAAAATAAATGAACAAATTGCTCGTTTTTTTTATAATTAATGTTTTAATGATTATAGTTTTGATAAATTTTAACTTTTACGATGAATAAGAAAATTGGTTAAAAATTGGAAATCAGTAAAATCTTTGAAGGTCATTGCTATTATTTGATTAAGTTACAGAGAGAGCTGAAAAAGTTAAGCAATGCTACGTAATATTTAATTTAATCAGAAGTAAAGTTTATTGAGTGATAAGCAGCAGTGTAATATATGAAGACTATATGTATTATGCATACGTGCACTTTAAGAAAGTGTGTGCAACAATAATTGCCTTGAAATTGCCATCTACGGTTCTGCAACTAATGCTAAATTTATGTTAAGGTCAATTTGATGTCTACTAGCTTTCTCTATTAATGCAAGAATGTACAAATAATTTAATTTTGAGATTACATAATCTCTAAGATTGCTACGAAAATTTAATACTTTAGTAATCTAAGAGTTCTAGGTAGCATGAATGTACGCTATATAACTGCAATACGTATTCGATTTATCTTAATATCGTCAAATTTTATTTATAGTAGATAATTACACATACACATATATCGTAATAAGGCGATGACTGTTCTTGTCAAATTGAGAAATGATATTAATCTATTAAATATCAAGTGCAACCCAATATTGGATTGAACCGTGAAATTAACTTTGATTTGGTTGTAATATCTATTGCAATATAATTTTTAAAGAGTTATAGCTCTTAAAATTATTATTTGAATGTACAATTAGTCGACAATTTGAGCAGAAATTTTTACATTACAGAAGAAGAGTTATAAAATAGAAAAAAATACGAAGTCGAATTGGTGCAAAATTTAAATCTAGATATAAATTAATAAACGCAGCCGAAACAGTTGATTTTGTGGGAGACTAAGATATAATATAGCTTATCGTACACTATCTAATCATTCTTCAAAACTTGATACAGATTTAGCATCACTGCTTTCATACATTTCACTTTAGTCCTGCTTACTCGAAATCAAATCAATAAATGCAGCCGAAATTGTTGATCTTGTAGAAGACTAACAAGGTATAACATATTATATCATACACTATCTAAACTTTCCTCAAAGCTAACTAGAGATTTAATATTGAATCATTGCTTTCATAAACTTCATTTTAGTTCTGTTAAATTGAAATCAAATCCGACCTAGGCCAGAGTAGACAATACAGTTTAATAGTACATTACAAGGTTATAAAAAAAACAAAACTATAGCTGTAGCATTAATAGCTTTGATGGTTCTTTTATAGTTATCCTACATTGGGTTTTTCACGCTTTAATTTGCTGATATTGTCACGAGCAGTTTTAAAATTTGGGTCTATTGAAAGTGCTTTCTTGTAATAAAATTCCGCCTGCGTAGGGTTTTGGTTTAAATGATAAACAACTCCTATTAGGAAATATTAGTAAGGTGGAAATTAAGCTTCATGCTATGTCATGTTAATAATCATAAAATATTACTTTGCATAATGGATTGAAAGCTAGTAGCATCATTTTAACAGATTTATTTCCATTTTTTACCATAAGTATGCACCGAATTAAATCATAGGTTTTAGCAAACACCATTTTATATATTTTGCTATAGATTATTTATACGTTTGTTTGGTTCTTAATCTTGCAATAACTACATCTAAATAATGTTTACCTAAATTAGCGTATAATGCGGGATCATCAGGATGACTCAACATGGCCAGTTCGAAATGATGGATTGCCTCCTATCGTAGTAAGTAGAAATGTATTATCAATATCTACAGGCTTAACTTTAACTTGGAGCGATTATACCTTCTCTTACCTTGTATTTCTTTTGCTTGCCTAAAACATTGCCTAGTAAATGGTGCATTTCTGAAAAGTTTGCATTTTCTTGGATTCCTCTTCTGGCATATCTTTCAGCTCTTTCCAAATTGCCTGTAAACAAATGATTTGAATGGATTACGGATAATATATTTCGATACTTAGTGCCGTAGTATCAGGGCTGACTGATAGCGAATTATAATATGCTAATAATGCCGAAGGAATATTTTTTGACTTTATAAAATCCAAATCTACACGTTACCGGTGTTGAATAGCATTAGAACCAAATTATTCCAAGCTAGTTTATGATGCTCTGTTTGTGAAATGGCCTTAATAAAAGCGGCTTCTGATTTACTCAATTCATTAGTAGCTATATACTGAACATATAAAATTAAAAAATAATCAAATCACGTAATATTTAACTAGCAAGATGAGGACTTAAGACTGACATACCAAATTTCCCAAATTATAATACGCATCGGGATAGTATGACCGATGTACGGTGGCAGTTCGAAGGCTATTTTCAGCTTCCTAATGTGGAATAATGATCAGATTAGGTGTCATAATTAAATATACGTTTCCTGATCCGTTTATAAAATGCCGGGCCACTCTATACCTTGAACTTTCCAAGATCTGATTGAACGATGCCTAAATTCATCCATGCAGCTGCAAAGTCTTTCCTGTATCGCAAGTAATTTTAAATGTCCGATTAAGCTATCTTATCACTTTCTGCTTGATTAGCTTGAATATGTCACTACTAGATTAGATTAGGTAAGAAAATAGTAAAAGTAGCAATGATTGCTCAGTTTAACCTTAGTTGGACTGCTCTTTTTAGGTATTGCTCCGCTTCATCGAAAGCTTTCCGATCCTATCAAAATGAGTCAATCGGTGAAATACCCTTCATGTATTAGAATATTTCGATAGTGTGAAATCATCAGGAAGACATCATCATTTTTACTGTGGCACTGTACCTTTAGTAAATTTCCTAAATTATTCAATGCTTGTTCATAATTTGGCTCTAGACTGTAAAGATCCATGGACGTTTTATAGCGACTCTTAATATATCCAAATGATTGCAATTAAAATCATTACCTGATTGCTTTGCGATAATATTCTTCTGCCAGTAGTTCCTTACCAGAATCGCTATATACTTTGCCGATATTATAATGAACCTTTGTACAATTAAAACACCCAACGATAGCTTGATGAATACTTTGATGCTCTTTTGACAAGTTAAAAATTAAGCAAAGTATGACCAGAGCAAATTGGATATCCTTACCTTGGCATTAAGTGGACAAATATCCAATGCAGAAACAAAGAGTGCTTCACTATTCAGCCATTGCGTATTTCTCTACCAATTGCAAAATAAGATTAATAGTTTTACTTAATAATTAATTGTTATTTCATAATCAGAATCTTTCTCTTATACAAAAATCTACTACAGTGAAATACCTTAACAGTTTTACATGTATATCCGATTAATAATACAACAATTCCAGCCAAAATTGCCTATTAGAATTGACCCCAAAAATGTGTATTAGCGTAAAATTGTAAGAAAGAATTTCACACCGCATTTTATTGTGCAATATCACCATTTGAAACTTTGTTAATCTAGTGCAAGTTTACCTTATTTAAACCTTCTCTCCGACTTAAGACACAAAATGAGTAAGTTAGCAAAATACAGTAGCCAACGCTGGGCAGATACAAAACTCTTTCAGCGATGACAAAACCAACTCGAAATAGAATATTGGACGCAGGAATAAATGGAATAATTGCACACGCCAGAGATATATTGATCAGTCTTGCACATAGATATGAAAAGAATTTATTGTTAGATTCAATATCAATAGTTTTAATTATCCTTTAGTAGTAGAAGTACTCTTGAAGATAAATAAAAAGCATAGGTAAAGTATCGATCAGAAATAGTTTTGAACATATCAGCGATATAACAGCGATGAATCGAATCAGTGATAAATTTGAGAATTGGATTGATATCAATTCTCTACAAAAAGTTTTCAAATTTTAATAGAGTGTAAAAGTGGGGGTGGGGTAATGTTATGCACCCTGAGATTCGTCTATACTATTCGATCTTGCATACTTATCACAGTAGCATAAAATTAGAGGTTAAAATGGATGATGCTGTACTACGCCAAATTGCATTATTAGTTCTATCCTAGAATGAGAGATCGTGATCATTTGATTGCATTTATGCTGTTAAAATGATGCTATACTGCTAGTGAAGTGAAGCAAAATACCGGAGGGAGTTACAAACTACGTAATAGAATTCATAATTTAAAGCGATTTTCCTGGTTGGCATCATGGGACTCACAAACTGCGACAATGCATAATTTTTGCTTTCTTTACGCTACAGAACTCTTAATTGTTAGATCTTTTCTCATATTGGCAAGAAGAGCTTAAGAACCAAGCTTATTTCTTACTGTAGAAAAAATATGAATATTCCGTTAAATATTATTTAGTCAAAAGCAGACGTATGGGAGCGTAATCGCTTTTGCTATACAATTTCTTCTTCAGTTAAACAACTTTGCAAAAATCAGTAGGCGCCCTTTTAAAATTATTTTCCGACTACAATTAATGCTAAAACTGCAGGTAACGTTTGATGCAGCTTTGTTTATGATGTAATGGAGAATTTATGCGCCTGATCAATTAATTATCATTAATTAATTAATATTGTATCATCGGCACCAGGCCTAATAAACAAATATTCTCTAGCTTACAATCAGTAACGACAGTTGTTAATCGCGCTTGTTACACATTCTGCTTTTCAATTTAAAATTGTGACAATTGAACTATTTTTTTAGCATGAAATTGATTGTACGAGTGGAAAATCACTCTTACCCGCATTTTATTCTTGAATTGAAAATTTGTAATAATGAAAAATATTCATTAAGTAAAATCGGTGTACGAATGGCCAGTTACTCAAGCTATGCAAGTTATTCCTTATATATTAAAATGGTGATGTTTTAAAAATAAAATTTCTACTGTATCGTTAGTTGTTTAATGCTCTTAAGAATGCCGAGAAACAATTTCACTTTTCAAATTAGAAAAGTAAAAATAAAAATTTTAGTAGTAAACAGTTGGGATGGAAATTAATACGATCCTTGCATCGGTATAATAGTAAATAAGAAAATCGTCAGTCATTTCAAGATAGATTATCGCTATACCAACAAACAAAGAAAAAATACCAGATGATAAGCAAATACGATAAAAGGATTGTATACGATCTAAGTTACCAGTGGAACAAAATATTGAAAGAAACGCCTTCAGGCAAGTATGACTAAAAATGGAAAATTTTTTGCTAACAATTAACCATAAGGTATTGTGTAAAATGAAAAACGAATACGAAAACTTTCTTAATACAAAATCCACTTCATTGTCAGAGAAAGAAAATTAAATAAAAAAAATTTTGTCATAAATTCGCAAAGATTTGTCAAAATCTTTGCCCTAAATATCGGCCGTCTTGGAAGCCTTTGTATCATGTTTTGATGATTTTCACGCTATTTCTTCGGTGTAATAATTAATATCTTTTTCTAACAAAAAGGGTGCTAGAGCCGCTTTTACATGCATGGCATGTTCTTGAATATCATTTCCAGGGTGGTATTTTCTTTTATTGTCAGCGATTATGCCTTAATTTAGTATCAGACTAGTTAGAGAACGAATCTTCTAAAATCTAAAAATAGCCATTGATCATTCTAACTTAAAAACTTCCGTTTTACTTGGCCATAGCAAAAGAATGCCTTACAATAAAAAAGCAATAGTTTTACATTCTTTATCATGACATCTATATCGTGGAATATAGAAAGTAATTAAACTTTAATAGTCAATATATTGAAGACTACCGTATAATTTCCCTATCAATCATCTTCAAGACTAATTCTTGAATTTCCCTTTCGAATATGCTTACTCGCAATAATGTAGCTACAGCTTTGCAAACTTAATCGTGCCATTAATAAGGGACACGATAGATGATAATTAAACTTAAATAATCTACATAATAAATCATTTTGAAAACTACTGTAAAATTTCCCTTTAGAATACGCTTACGAGATAGCCGCGGTTTTACAAGCTTCATTGTGCCATCAGCGTGGTTAATATAGGTAATAATAAAATTGAAATAATCCATAAACCTTGCTGAAGGCTACTGTATGAGCTCCTTTTAGAATAGGTATCGTAGCAATCATATCACTACGGCTTTAATAATTTCATAGTTCCATCAATATGGCTCAAAAACTACTGTTATTAAACCCTAATGAATGCATACATCTTCTTGTAGAGTGTTGTATGCCACTTCTAATTCTTGGTCGAGTGTATAGGTTAGAATAGGATCTATACATAATTTCTTTTTCTATTTTATTGACGATGTTGACATTGGTAAAGGAAATGACAACCAATTGGACCTGTTTGGACGAGCTTTTTGTACTTTACATAGAGGAAGTTCATACATAGACCTACCTGGAACTTGGTTTATTAGAGCTGCAGTTAGAGCAAATTACAATCGCCACGATAATCCAAAATAAGACTGGAAATAGACAACGATAGTCGAAAACAGTCTTGATTAATGGGATGCAACCCATAGACCAGTCAAAGCATAGCCAATTGGGGCTAATTAACAGCCATGCATGAATGGTGTAGATATAGTTGTAATTAAGCATCTAAATAACATCGAGTTAAAGCATTACAAAAAATGGCCGATCTTGTATTCAAATAATGACTTATGATTGTGGAACTTACACGAATGAATCGTGATTCTTCGAAGGATGCTGGATTATCACTGGGACGGAATTGGGGTGGTCCAGATTTCATAATTAAATAGCGAAAGTATATAGCAGAACTAGTCCCCAATAGAACGAATAGTGCACGATAGAGTAAAGATCGAACCCATGAGTTTTGCTTCTCGTTCTGCCATAATGGAAATGTTATTATTCAATGAGAAGTACAGTGTTTGATGGACAATGCTATATGAGGAAGAACCTTGACAAATCGATAATATAATTTACCAAGTTTCAATAATAGAACTTACCATGGAAGAGTAGCTGGAAGAGGACCGAAAGATTAGGAAAGGATGGAATCGGCAATTAATAAGTAGATCATAAACTAGACAAAATCCCTAAACGAGAGAAAGAGAGTGCATTTAAATAATCCTTCTCCTCTTTCAGGTTGTCATCAATCACTTTGTCTTACCATAATAGTAATGCCTTGCTCTTTACACAGCATAGCGATTGCTGCAAAGATCAACGTTAAAATTTGATAACTCCATTGTACACGTTGTGGACGGCCATCTTCATCTACGTATTGATAGTAATCAAATATCAATCAATCATGCTTGCATGAATTATGTAAACAACGTATGGTGATGTCTCTTGACTACTAAGCGAAATGGAGATGATGTAACATGTCCAAATGGAGTATTGAAAAGAAAAAGAGATGGTCTTACCAAATTCTGTTTGTAGGCTACGTTGATAGGACGAGAAAGCAAGAAAATAAAAGATGGCTGCTAATAACTCTGCTCGACCCACGATACTAGCCACCTAAGGGCATAGGCAGGATGTCGAAGTGAAAAGAAAGCAATTCATCGGAAGGAAAAATGGTAGATAGAAAAAGGATTAGTATCGCGCAATGTCATCAATAAAAAACAAGGATGGAATTATTATTTTACTATCCTAGGTTGAAAATAGTTGTACTTACACATTCTGTGTGAATTGGATGAATCGTAAATATTAAGGCTGCTAGGAAAGGAGCACGTAAAGGCGTTGAAATCGTTTGGCCATCATGACTTTGCTGACCGTGTGGAAAAGGATGGATACAAGCGGTAAAGAGCGTTCGTGCGAAAAAATAATATTGGATACAAATGATAGCGTGTAAAATAATGTTGACCCAATGGAATGCTTGAGCATTTAATTTTCCCATCATCATCGAATTCAATTTAAACGATAGGACAGTCAATGGACGATAAGATTTATGACTATGAATAGAATCGATTGGTGTACCCCAGAAATCATGTTGAAATAGCGCGGAGAAGGATGTATTGGGTAAAAGATCTTGATTGCCAGTAATGGCTTCCACGTCATCAAATACAAATTCACCGGGCAAGCTATTGATGTAGCAAGCGATGGCAAGACATGCTATCAAGCAACAAGCATAAAAAGTATTGAAAGATGGAAGAGGTAAACTAGAATCGAATGGATCAACAACTTGTAACTTGGAGGGATCTTGTTGATGATCATTTTTCACTTTTTTACCCATGATAAATGGTTTCTTCTTACGATTATTACTCATGGCGTTAATTTCCTCCTCATTAACGCTAGGCAATGAGACAATATCGTTGAGATTGGAATCGCTTTGGTCGATTGAAAGCGTCAATGATGGCCAATTAAGGTTAGCATGGGGTGGCCATTGCTGTCCAACATCAGCTTATCATAATCGATCAATGGTATGCAGAATAATTAGCCAAGTTAGTTTAGTTACACGAGAGATTGTCTCAATGTTATCGTCGTTTGGACAAGACTGCGACAAGATAAACAACCCATTGGATTTACTTCATATCGTCTTTCTACAGTACTGTGTACTTTTCCACCCTTTTGTCTCATCGTCGCCAACTTGTTGGCCTTAACCGAAGTTGTCTGGGCCCACGCTAGTGGAAATGGCCTTACGCATGCACATTCCTTGGCGTGACTTGTTCCAATTTTGTCCTGTTACTTATTTTGGAACGATTTTAATCAATCATTGGATGTTATTGTTTCCAAGTTGAATTAATCATGTGTTGTATTGACACGAGTGTTCAATTGGATATGGATGTTTTCCTCATTAAGAATAGCCTACAAGATGGATTACTATCCGTAAGCAGCATGCAATTGCTTTGCTGGAAGATGTTTCTCTTATCGATGGTATCCATGTTATCAACAAGATGATGATAAGGCGATAACATTATGTTGAAAAAGATTTCCCTCTATTTCATACTGATAACAAGCAAGACGATAATAATAATTAATCAGTCAATTAAATTGCCTATACGATGGAAGGCAGTACGAAGACGGACTACGACAAAAATGTTTATACCTTGTTTGGTCATCATGAATAACAATAAGCTTAAGTCAATAGTGTAACAATTGACTAATTGGAGCTTGTTAAATGGATGCGATGTCTAAACACATCCATTGATGGAACGTTTACTGTCTACCGTGGATCGTTTAGTTGATTGGTGTTACGGTCAACGATCAATTGATTGGCGCTATTTTTACCCTCTGCCTACTCGTCTCTCATGGTCGATAAGCAGAGGATGAAATGTTGATCTGGGCTCTATGGGTATAACTAAATAAAGGATTGGGGCTAGTACTGGATGACCATTTTGCTTCATGGTCATTTGTCTTGATGCTGATGAGCCCGTCGTAATCTGCGATTGTAGTTTGAGTCAAAACACATACCGTTAACTACAGTAGAGTCATTAATTAGTTGAAATCATGATGACAATCACGAAATGTACTGTACTGTTAGTACTTTAAACTACAGTCTACTGTACATAGGAAACGAAAGAAAAGCTAGAAAAGAAGGCACAAGCTAGGTGAACATGAATGTGACCAATGGCCTGTGGATTTTCTTCACTATGACCAAAATTGCTAGACGGCTTGTAGGATGATACAAACTAAAATACAGTATGGGTAAGTGGGCAAAATCAAGATGGCGCATAAGCTGTAGGGGTTGACTTGATACAGGACAAGTATAGTACAGTACTGTCATGTACTGTACTGCACTACACGTCCACAAGACTGTCCATCTGTACAGTACAGTACAATGTACTGTACTGTAGTGAATCAATCGTACTGTACGTACAGTACAGTGTACTGTACTGTACAGTGTGAAGCCTGGACAAAATTCATAGTAGTCCTTGTACTCTAGCAATGCACCCATGCCGACATAAGCTTTCCTTCCAATCGCCTCTATAGCCGGTGTATACTATACATTGGTGTGCATTCATTTGCAGAAGTATTGTCATCGCGGAGAAGAATTCCACGACGGCTAAATCCACTTAACCAATGCTGTCGATTACAGCTCATGGAGGTGGTAATGGATGTTGAAAGAGCAACTGTGGAAGCAATGCAAGCATTTTCAGCAATGTCTACGTAAATACTTTAAATGAATCTTTGCTGGTGTTGTTTGGTATATGATTGAGCCATCGTTAACCACAAAATGATCGGGGCTATAGGCCAAGCTCCAAACGGTACAGTTAGTCATCATTTCCTTATTGACTTGCTGGAGCCGTTGGATGCATTGACGTCAGTCAAGATGAATGCATGGACAGTATGCGTAAATCAATTTATTTGCTTAACTGTGGCTGTACTAGGCCTATAGAATCAGCCAACGCCTTGACGACAACTAGCGCAGACAGACAGGAGAATAGCGCTTATTCAAACACTTGCATGGCAGCCTTTCAATTCATTTAGGATTAATTTTGCATCAGCTATCCAATCATAGCTCATGAGAGCTGTGGCTTACTTACCGGTACGCCATATGATCACAACATGACTTTCTCGACGAGATCTATCCTTCCATCAATGGATACCATCAGGTTGATGAGAGGAAAGTGGGCAATAGCATGCTGACGATACTAAAATAGCAGTCATTATCCATCATATCATATCCACAGTACGGTAGAATCTCCGTTCATCAGCTCGCCATCATGGAAATTGCTGGTAGAACAACGGATGCTGGAGCCATGCTAATCTAGTAGCGGCGGACCATCTGCGTCACTTGGCACGCTGACAATTATTCATGATGATTTCCCATAATTTGATCGTGCATTGGTTTATCCCGTGATAGCATCATGACAGTGGCTGTCAAGAATGGCATACGAGGAATGAGTAATAAAAATTCTTCTCAATGGATAAACGCCTACGGTAGAAATTTTTCTGACCCTCTGATCATCAATTTAAACCATAACTTTCTCGTAGGTACTGTACGAATTGCCGATCGTGTCGTTGTGTACATGTTTTTGTCAATCATACCTGGCATAACATCCCATTATCCTCAACGTTCATATGGCAGCAGAACTATCAACGCATCATTCCATACCAACTTTCAAAAATGCCTGTTGTTTGCATTAACTTCTCATACGACAGTTCACAATGCATTAAGATGCAATTTAAAACCGGCCACAAAATGATTACGATGCTATAAAGTATTTAACCTTGCATCTTTGACTGCTTTAGATCCAAAACGCACAATTTTGATTTGACAACCTTAGTTGTGTACACTATTAAGCTACAACTGCCTAGCATTCGATAAAGAAAATCAGTTGTCGTAGCTCCAGTTCTGCACTAATTAGATATGTAGTCAGTAAAGAGGAGCCTTACATACTAAGAATTAACCGAATGTGGGAGTATTTACAAGCACGGCCTTGTATATGGATACGATACGTATGCATCATACGTGTTTAAAAATTTTGTAGACTATTAAATTTCTAAAATAGCTGGATGATGTCACAGTTTAAAGCTAGCAAACTCATGTTGCTGCTACTAAAAAATTGACCCGAAAAGATGCATACATATGTTAGTACAACAGTCTCCGATTTGACATCTCCACCGGCGCCGGATAAAACATGTTCCATTACTTGCATGTTCTCGTGTGACGCGGCTCTAGACCTTCAGCTTTTTGCTTAGCTGTATAGTCATATCTACCGCCAAACTATAACCGTAATTAGGATTGAATTGAAAATAGGAGAATCGCACTAGTTCAATCATTTAGTATATTTGAATCAGTGTACATAGTGAAATACATAGCGAAATAATTTCATCTTTACAGGAAGAGACAAGAATCATGATGTGGTAGAAATAATAATATTCATTGCTAATCTTACCTCCCTAGATATACATCTTGCAACATGGTCGATTTAAATGGCCAATTTTCATTGCAAATTTAACTAAGCATTCAATTCTATATTTATAAGTAACACTGAACATCATTTTTAGAATGACGTAATAGAATAGTTGATAATGATATTTGTCGCTAAAATAGCGTATAAGACGGATATGATATCAAATTATTGCCTAGATTTATATACCAACAGTTTCCTCGATTCCTCATTTAATTCTTAAAAGCAACATCAAAAAATTCGACTGTACACGTGTATAGCTTATGTTATGCGAGACCATCATGATGACTACGACATAGGCAATATTTAGCCCAAAGATATTTCACAATTCATTTTCTCATACATTAAAAAGTATTTGCAACAGTGTTCAAGGGCGTTGCAGCTTTGAAGCCACATACCTTATGTACTAGTGCGTTTTTTACTTTGAAAATGTGACGTGAGATACAGCCATACGAGTATAATAAAAAGCTACGATATTAAAATTGAATATGCAGTATTACATCTTGTATCGGCAGTTACTGTTGCTATACTAGCATCCTTATAAAACAGCGTCATTTAGAAACTAGTCGGTACAAAACAGGTTTCGAACTCGTAATGGTTCTTGGCCTATACCTTTTAAACTGCGAGTCTTAGTATGTGAGAATATCATACGTTATATAAGCAATGCAATTGTACGTTCGAATGCGACTGTCTACTAAAACGACTGATTCAAGTTTATTGTTTACGTCGTAGTTTATTCAAATGGGTAAAAGCGATTTGTATACCTATGTAATATCTCCATCAAGCAATGATATATCTTGTTACCTATCTTTCACGAAATCTTTTATTCAAAACATTTCACACAGTCTCTAATGCAACATGGTCGATTTAAAATTGACCACATGTCGGTACGATATTATAGCGATACTAGTATAACTCTAAACTAGGCCGAATTAAAGTTGAAAAAAAACTATTATAGTATACCATATTAAATGGTTGTTAGAAACGCAATTTACGCTAGAATTTTAGAGTGAAAGACTAATAAGGTTATGTATAGTTCTAAATTTTCTCAATTTATACGTGTATCTTACAAGCTGACATGTATCTTCCACGTTATAATTTTTGTAGAAAATAAAGCACATCATTTTGATATCACAATTAACATACATACCAAATAACTTGATTTAAGCAAGTTTTAGGTATCAAAACCAGTATTAGCAACACTGATCAAAACAATAACTTATCCTTTAAAGGCACGCTACAATTATCTTATATCTAAATGCATTTATAGCAGCTGTACATACTTGTATTGCCAACAATGAGTGTGAAGCAGTCCTTTCGTAAAAATAAGCTAGCTTTCTGAATAAGGAGCCTAATCTCAGTTATTGCATTAAATAGAAAGCACAAATCCACATCTACGTATGTCTACGTATGCATATGTTAAAGCTATTTAAAACAAATCCATATATTTATGACAAGCTCGCCGTAAATATATTCGAAAATAATTTGCAATCTTCCTGGCATTATGCAGTCTCTATGCACAAGGCTAACGGTAGAAATCACAATTATAACCACGTTCTCTTAAACAATATCAGCGTTCAATACCTTTAATTGGCATAAATTCTATAATTATATCGTCGTTGTAAATAGGGATACTTCTGATTAAACGTAAGTATCATGGGATGTTTTCGTGGGAGCTGCTGATGTTACAGACACTTCATAGGTTTTTACTTGATTTACGATATCTATCTTTTTGGCATAGATCATACTCCAGCGTTCTCTAGCTTTCAGTTGGTTTTGAGCTGCTTCTTCAGTACTTTTACTCCTGCCATAGTTGTATCTACCTTCAAACTTTTGCAACAAAAAAGGTCACAATTAAATTAAGGATTCAGTGTAAAGTTGGTTGTTCCTTAAATTTTTATTCAATATGGACAGCATTGTATAAATTCTAAGTGTAAAAATGTTAGACGAGGTCAATCATAAGATTTAACTGAATTTGATTGCTAACCTCTGTAGATATTCTTCTTTTCATTCTATATTTGACCTCTGATCCTGTAAAAGATAGCGATACATGAAAGTCGTAAGGTATTTCCAACTAATAATTGATATCTTCAAAACACGCTTAAACGCTTAATACGTCACCTGTTGATTGCTGCCGTTCAACAGTCACAGCCGTATGAGAACTCTGTCCTGGAGCTGTTGATGAACTTGCTTGCTCAGGCTTACTAGCCACCATGGTACTCTCCGGTTTATGTTTCCGAGGCTCTTCCTCTGGATTACTCTGTAAACTCATCTGTAAAGTCACAGTAATAGAAATCATGCTGCCATCCGCAACACCAAATGAAATTCAATAATAATTGAATACTTACTAATGCTATCTGAACATCTTCACTATCATTTTGTTTATCGTGTAGGCCAGTTAATTGGAGAAGTGTAAGAGAAATATAAAAATTCGTTAAACATTTTCAATTTGAGATTAAATATAGAAAGAATAATTTTATTGATGTAAGGGAATAATATAGACTGAAAATATAATTATATAAAAATGCAGGTAAAATTACTCTTCAGTTCCTCCCTTTCTGACCGATTTCATTAATTTCTTAGCAGCGTCTCTGCATTAGAAACTCATACTTTATAATTAAGTACATTTTAGAAGCGCAAAGACTGGAATTAAATAATACCCAATACTTAATTGATTAATTTAAATAGGTTTCTGCTAATCAAACTCACTGATAAAGCAATTTCTCGTAGTGGTGGACTATGTCGAAATTTCCACATTCAGGATTTCGTTGCAAAAGCTTTTTAAAGTATTTATCATCGTAATAATTCCATATGTTCTGTAGACCATTGAAGAGCCAAAAAAAAAATAGGTAAATTAATTGTTCATGACATTCATAATAAACAAGAAAAATAATTATTACGGAAATGGTCATAATTATGCATTCATCAGTCATGCAAGATGTAATTTGATTGGCTTTAGGCTTGCATGTAATAATTTCATCAAATTGAAATAAATGCTTTATAGTTAGGTGATTGCTTTTTAATTGTGAAATTGTAACTGCGAAAGCCCGAGGTTGTTGATGCAAAGCTACGTCAGGCTTTGATACGCTTATAGGATATATATTCCCTTTAAAGTCATGTATTTACTTTCCATGATATTATTGTAATTTGGTAAACAGTCCAAATACGTAAGCATAAATATAAAAATCTAGCGCCATCGGTATTTTATGGTATTATAAGTTATATTATCAAAGATTTCATTTCGTAAAGTTCTTGTCTTACATGTTTGTTCTACTGTTACAGTAAAACTAATTTTAGATCGTGTAACTTAATGATTACAATCTAGCATGCCAACATTCCAAAATTTTGATAATACAATAAATAGATGTATTTTCATTTCTTACCCTTAAGGAACTGTCAGAATAATGGCCAGTAATTTCTTCTATCCCTGCCTTAATATGATTAAATACCTAGAAGAAATATAACTTTATGCTTGAATTGTTTTCTCATCAAGCAAGTTTCGCTTTACAAAAATACTGTTAATTTCGTTAATACAATACTTCATTATGTGAATGAAAATTACATCAAGTTGGATTTGTTCATTGATTGTAAAATCCTTGGTCACTTTCCTCTTGACGTGTAGTAGGTTAACTAAAGGTTTAATTGTGCTACCCTACAATTAAGAAATTGTTTTACACAAACCCCATTTATCTTTGTTATTACAGTAGTACTTCATGATATATCAATAAATACGATATCGATGATGGTATCTCGTTGATATTACTCAGTTAAAGGACTCTACCTGTATAAAAACAGTAAATAGAATGACAACTAAAGCCGTCGTAGTCATTAGATCTTTAGCTGGCACTTTCTCATGATTGAGCAAGACAGCAAGTGAAAATGCTACAGCTCCTCGAAGTCCGCCATAACTCTAACGTCGGTCAAAGAGATTCAATTTTAGATTCCTTTCTATTAGCTCGAATTCAAAATAATGTAGAGCAATGCTTCTATATAAATCTTACCATAATAAATTGATCAACGATATCAATTTTATGGTGTCTATATTTATTGACCAGGAACGTAAAGATCACAACACCTATATATGATGAAATGAATTCAGGAAAAAAGTATCTATGAATAAGATACTAGGTTTTCTTACCCAAAATTCGGAATACTAGGCAAAACAATAGAGTCCAAAGAATAAAGCCAATATCCCAATGATGTTTAACTTTAAATAATGATAGACCAAGGAACAAGAAAATAATAGATTCCGCGCTAGAGCTAAATGAAAGTATTTACAATGGAAACAATAATTATATCAGAGTACTGTGTCTGTTGACTACGCTAGACAGGGGCTTTTTACATTAGTAAATAATTAAGATAAACAGGTGATCAATTCGTTTACTTTACCTTAATGACTTTAGAAAGTACTTTAAGGTTATAAGTGACCCATTAGTTATGTTGGATTCAGCGTAATGTTTTAAAGCTAGCCCGCACGTTGCAATACTACGATATTAAATAATGCGTATTGAGAAATTTGTTAGACAATTATCATGAGTCTTTGCAATTGAGAAGTCAAGGAGCTTAGATATTTTTTACCTCATGATACCGGACCATTCAAGCATCTCTGCTGTAAGGTAAGACATATAAGCAATCACAAGGATAAGCATTGGTTCCAAGACTGAAAGTAAAGCACACAAGCGGAAGGATTGGTTAGGAAATAGTGAACTTAATACTTAGATGCATTTGACTTATATAATGCAAATAAGCAAACTGTAATATACTTTCAACATGGCGAGTATATTTAGTGAAAAATGCCGCCAGCATGCCATAAAGCAAACCAATAACAATCCCACCGATACTGACAACAAACATGGAAAAGATGCCGAGAGCAACCTAGTAGAAAGAAATATAGTTAGATTAGAATGTAAGAATGGTGTAAGAATGGTATCAGTTCTTGGTACGTATTTACCATCCCGCCTTCGATAGTAGGCAAAAGGCTTAATGCGTACATTAACTTATATAGTACCACAGTAACAGCATCTAGAAGAATAAATTAACATGGACGTATAACATAGTATCAGACAATAAGATTACTTGATCCATTTGAAAAGCTTTAACGTGTTACTCTAATAAAATTCAGACAAAAAATACCATTAAGTAATGATTCCCCAAATACTAAAAAGTATAACTGCTCATTGACGTGGACGTCATCAAATACTGCAATTACCTAAAAATGGAATGAATTGAAAGAATGCAATAAGTAATTTAACTATAGCTAGAGTACAATGTAAGCGATGAAACGATGATGCATAACAGAGAACTTACTGCTACTGGATCTACAGCAGAAATTAAGCTGCCAAATACCAGACTGTGCAGGTAAGTCATGTTACTAGGAGCAATTCCTGTTAAGCCACCAACAACACAACCAAATAGCGAACTGCCTGTAATTTAAAATAAGTTACAGAATTGCGAGATTGGTAAGAATTACATAAATCACAAAAAAAATAAACTGTAATCCGATATTAATTTCCAAGAACTAAGTTATTTTTTAGGGAGTAATTTTAGAATAGATTAAAAACAAAATAGATAATGGCACCGATAAGTTCAAAATAACGGACGAACCGATTGCCATTGCATTAAATAAAGTCCCCTATATGATCAAACATATGATAGAACTTAGTTTCGAGAAATAGTAAGCAAACTCAACGTGATAAGCATTGACTATTGCTGATTTAATATGACCAATAACTTACAATAAATGCAAATAATAAGATAGTGCCAAGATTGCTAAAGAAGACTTTGTTATATAGAAAATATCCAGATTCCAGCATGATTCTAGATTTATTAATAAAGAAATGTCAGTTTACGGTCGTTATATATATACATTGGTCACCATGAGGGTTTTATCATCTGAAGGTGAATTCGTACTAAGCAATGTTCTACAGAAGTAGTATTAGTTAAACTGGAAAAATGTTAGAAACAATTGTTCTGGTCAGATAAAAAAATTTAAACATTAGGGCAAGTCTGTAGCTATCTTGTGAGTATGATTTGGCCCTTAAAATTATTTGTCGTAGGATTCAAGTTGGAAATAATATTAATTATTGCAGCAGCAATCCATCATCAAAAATTAAAAAAGTACTTTTAACAGATGCTACAGACGATGCTGAGTATGTGAAGATATGATAGATTAGTGAGTGTATTTCTGAAAGACCGTCTACTTTAAGTCGGAGTCATTACTGCAGTAAATCCATAGATTAGTACTAGAACGTACTGAAATTAGGTCAATTAGGGTAGAGAAATTCTGATTTACGAATATTAAATAAATTAAGTATAATACTCGCATGTATTGATGGATGCTACATTTTAAGCAATATCTAATACCTATCAATCCATACTTACGGCGGTAGTAGGAACTGAAAGAAAATAGTTGTTTCCAAGGAATATTGTACATTGAAGGCTCTGTTTAAGCATCAGATCAGTCAATTAATTAGTTGAATTTTGAATTTACCCAAACACAGAAGATATTACAACCAATGGCGACAATATTTTCCATTGTAAGTCTCTATTTCGCATCTGATGATATACTCATTGCAAACAAGCAAAGGTAATCGTAATGTTACAAATTTAACTTGTAGATTGTGAAGATAGTAGTGTTGGCATTCCATTTATGATATGAACCCCATCTAGGTGTGTGCCAGTCTCTATTTTAGCAGAAACTGCTCGATGTCGTGATTTAAGCTATTGAAGTTATTGCATTTCATTTAATATCCTCTCCATTAAGCGGCTATAGTAACTTACGATAGGAATCCTCCCATAGCTATGCCAACGACGATTAGTAGTCTAATTTATCAACAATCAATAATAATCATAGTATAAGGTGTCGTAGTGCATTAGTAGCTGATACAAAATGAAAGATTCTGCAGCCAGGTCCATCGATGTATCAAGATTGGTAGTAGAAAGCTTGAAATGCATTGATATATGCAATAGGCAGTCAAACAGTTACCGGTACTTACACAGATTCTGGAATAGTTGAAGTTAGGAACTCTGATCGATGGAAGACTACAAGCCAATTAGCAAAAGAATAAAAATAAAAAATGGTTAGGGAAACGGAAAGCAGCAAAGTGTATCTAAGGAATGAATCATACTATTCACTTCAATTTACAACAGATACAATGGCGATACTGCAGATAGTCTAAAAATGAGTTAGGGGCCATCATCAACTATAGTTTGAAATGATGTCATCCATATGAATGTTCGAGATGGGCGTATCAATAAATCTATATGAAGTCATTAGCGAAATATTCGATCGAAAGATGGATTAAAATTGTTCGAATGCATGATTTCAACATCATTTGAATGTTTAAGATAGCACTTTGGAAATATATATAGTAAAACTGTGATATACGGATACGATATTTTCAAGTTTTTGAAGGCGTGAATGACTCATAGTCGTATGAAATTTATGAAAATTAAGATGGGGAACGATAGTCAGGTTGTGATATACTGTAGATTATCAAGTGATGAAGAATTCATTCTATGCCACGGTATATTACTGACACTAACTCTACTGCACCAAGGTCAATTTACTCTCACTCGATTGAAAAGTCGCATTTTCTTCACCTTCAATAGCGTAGTTAGAAATATACCGCATAGAATGTTTATGTTTACTCATACAAATAGCTACGATAAATCACAGTTGGCTCTATCGTCCATTCCTGATTAGAATTGGACCATCGCATCCAATCATGTTGTCAATCTAGTATGGCAGAGTATCTACGCTCTTAGCTAGGTCGATGAACACACTTTACCTATTTTGCAAATAATGATCACAGCTATAAATATTGAGATAATGAACGGTGTCTGGACATGGACAAAGTTAAATCCAGCAACGCGGATTTGGCCTTCTTCATCGGTTGAATGATCCGTTTGATTGGATCCATGGCTGGTCTGATGAGTATCTTGGCTACCATGTTCACTCTGGCATTGAACGACAGCCATACAATGAAGTAATACAACCGCGGCAAACAGCAGCAGGAGAGAATTAAACGTGATGGCTTTCATGCTATCCTAGAAAGGCCAGTCGCGATCTGGTTACAAACGATGAGGGAATTAATTTTTATTTTATTTTATTTTGATAGTTACGTAATTCTTCAAAGGGATTGATAGCAATCAAGTTACTACGTGTAGTCTTGATCCACTGATGGTCTAATGTAGCTAATTGCAGTAAACTCTCAGAAATTGTCTCCTTAACAATCGGCCAGCAGCTTCCTATGTAATGGTAGAAAATGGTTTAAGTTGTACAACAGGAAGAATCTTTTTAATTGCTGACCGAATGATTCATGCCTCGAATAATGCGTTATCCATTCGACGATTCTACCCAACGTCGTAAACATGAGATCAACAATAGAGAGATTGTCTGCAAGACAGTTGGCCGCAAACGATGGCCTTGAAATAAAAAAGGCAATATGTTTGTGTTTGCTTCGAGCAGTATCTGATTGGATGCCTACTAGCATACTCTCCTCATTTGCATAATTGCAATCTTGCAAGCCTATTTGGACTCGTTAAAATTAGGGTTACTTCAATTTAATCTGTTCAATGGAGCACCGATGGAATGGGCAAGCCCCTATTTTGATTAGCTATGAATGCAGTAAAGTGCTCGCATACTGATGATCAATAGGCTCGGTTGCTTTGAAGTTTACTCTAGCGTTTGGCTTTTTTCTTGGAAACAGATGATAGCGCGATGGATCATTCATTGGGTATCACAGTTGGATTAACTTAACTTTATTATGGTGTCGCTTTATCTTACGCGGGCAACGTATTCCCATTTGTTCCCTTCTACAATTACTCCTCTAGGCTAAGTGTGTAGCAGAAACTTTAGTCGTTCTATGAATCTGACCACGGTGCTTTACTGATATTGAGGATCCTTCAGTTTGATTGACTTTTGAGTAGAGGTTATGCTATCCTATCTGAAGAATGAGTCTTGTAGTTTATCTATGACATCTATACAGTTTCAAAACTTATCGTATTAGCACTCGATCGCGTTAGTAACATAATGAGATGGTACAGAAATTGTACTAAATCATGAACTGGTGGAAGTCTAGGCATGGACTACTCAAAATTTTAGTAGTCCATGGTCTAGGATTCATCACTGCTTTGAAATCTTGGTTAAAAGCTTGATTTGAAGATTTGAAGCTGCTGAACGATCACTCGTCAGCACCATGATCTGACAGATAAACTGTGCTAAATCATGCACTCTATGAATACTTTGAAATCTTGGTCATAAATGATTCCAAGATTTGAAGCTGTTGAACTATTATTCGCGACATCAAGGTTTTACAGGTTGTTAAGAATGCATTATCTTCTCGGATAGTTCAATGCAAACGTTGTAAATCCTCAATTTGAGATGGATTCATTCGAAAGCAAGCAGTACTGTAGCATGCCTATTGTTGCACAGGCATACGGGTACACGGTACTTTCTAACTCGCTTTTGATGTTATAACAAGAAGCTTTCAATTACTACCGTCTAGTGCTGTATGCCTAAGAATTGAGAATGAGATCATTTATGCTGTGCAAGATTAAGCTGCATGAAGTATGGTAGTATAAAAAATAGTTTCTATTTGCTGTGCTACACTTTAGTATCGTACAAAGATTCTGTTAAAAGAGTTCAGCATAGAAGTCAAGGAAGAAATGAATGCTAATGCGGAATCTTTCATACAAGCATAAAATCTCTTCATGGAGGATAAATTCATTGGTTACCGTTTCGCTGACAGAACGTCAAGCCTATCAGAATGCAGACCTGAATTGAAAATGAAATTCTAGTAAGTTGTGGGAAAAATGGACAGTTATCATGCCACTCAAGCTGCAGCCTTGGGTGGAGGTATCTGTTCATGGTATAATCTGGATTCAATTGAAAATTGAATGGTGCATACTATAACTAAACAAGGAAGCCAAAGTGGAAGCATGAAGTGCAACTTCCTGGTTTAGCATCCATCAAAACGCTTGATGACTAATCCGTTTGTTTAAAGTGTTTCACGTATGGAAGTTTCATTGCCATAGTATTCGATGTACTATCCGACTCGGATTCCAATGATGTTGCACAATATTATTTTGATGCAAGCAGTCAGTTTGTAGATCAATCCCATTTCACGAAGTGCAGCAAAATACTGCACCACGCAGTGTTTTGCTTTGCAACCTGCTTCTTGACTGCTTCTTCACCTCACCACTCAAATGTTTGCACCTTACTTCTTCACCTTTGGCGTAGAGTGGTGATTTGCCGCAACTTAGGCACTCTGGTACGGTATGTGATGTCCATTTTCCAAGCAATGTCAGCGCATTCACTGATGCAGTATCCGATTTGGATTCCAATGCTATTACACAACATCATTTTGATGGAAGCAGCCAGTTCGTCGATCAATCCCATTTCACGAACTGTTGCAAAATATTACACCACGTCAGTGTTTTGCTTTGCTACCTCCTTCTTAACTGCACCAAGCAAATGTTTTGCACCTTGGTTCTTCACTTTGAACGTGGAGTGGTGATTTGCCGCAACGTTGAGGCACTTTGGTTGGGTACTACGGTATGTGATGTCCATTTTCCAATGCAATGTCAGCGCATTCACTGATGTAGTATCCGATTTGGATTGCAATGCTATTGCACAATATCATCTTGATGGAAGCAGCCAGTTCGTCGATCAATCCCATTTCACGAACTGTTGCAAAATATTACACCACGCAGTGATTTGCCGCAACGTTGAGGCACTTTGGTTGGGTACTACGGTATGTGATGTCCATTTTCCAATGCAATGTCAGCGCATTCACTGATGCAGTATCCGATTTGGATTGCAATGCTATTGCACAATATCATTTTTGATGGAAGCAGCCAGTTCGTCGATCAATCCCATTTCACGAACTGTTGCAAAATATTGCACCACGTCGTGTTTTGCTTTGCTACCTCCTTCTTAACTGCACCAAGCAAATGTTTTACACCTTGGTTCTTCACTTTGAACGTGGAGTGGTGATTTGCCGCAACGTTGAGGCACTTTGGTTGGGTTCTACAGTATGTGATGTCCATTTTCCAATGCACTATCAGCGCACGACCTCGTTGTCTGCAGAGGTCTGCTCGATGGAGGATAGTCTGGCAGAGAAAGGCGTTTTGATAGGCTAAGCCCAACTGCGGACCTCCCTGGGCTACAGTACAGCCCTGGTTTTCTACAGTACTTTAGTACAGTATGTACTGTACGCACACGCATCACCACAGGATCATGGCACCACTCAGTACACAGCAGGAGAGCCATGGACGACTATGGCAAGACTAGTAGAGTGGAGGCGACAGTCGTTTTGGCCTACAGTGCAATGAGCACTTGGAAAGGGCAGACTGAATCCACTGTGCTTGATTGCCCTACAAGCTTACAAACTCACTCCATCCTGCATAATAAGACTACTTGATCTTACCTCGCCTTGAGCGACTACACGGTGTCCAGCGCCAGCGGCCCTGCCGACATGCCTTAGCGGTGCACCACTGGCGTACTGTAGAGTATCGACTGTAACGCTGGTGGGTTGACGCACAAGTCGATCGACCTGCCTGACCACTGACATACCCAAGGCCGACTTGACCAGTAGTCAACAAGCAGCAAAATGGCTGTCAATCGGAAAGGTGCATCGAGACTGCATACTCATGCAATGGCGGAAACAGAAACGTTAACCATGGATTCCGATGATGAAGACTGCAAATTGGAAGCAGTGAAATTTCGTGATGATGATGAAGACGATGGCAACACCATCACCAAGTAAGAAATGATCGATCGATGGATCGTTTGCTTTACCAAACTTGCGCTATGCTTCTCCCAGTAGTTGGTGATCCATGTCTATACAGTATCGATGTTGCCCGATGAGAGACATACTTGTCTATAGAAGATTGGGATCGAGTGGGAGGTGGTAGACTCCTCTTTCCTCGATACCATCCCCTATCGACTGTTGAAAATAGGAATATTTTCAACAGCGATCGCTATCTTGGACACTCAAATTGTTCCAAATCAATTCTTTTTAGCTTAACCATCATGGATAGATCATGGTAGAGGTATTGTCGATCATATCGTCTAGGTGGACTAACGTTAAATCAACAGCTTTTATCTTGCGGTCAACATTTTTTCATGCCTTCCATTTTCATCGGCCTACAATGTCGTGATTCATTCGTCTTCCAAGCGACGATGGATAGCGATACTGTTGATCAAAATAATGCTAAAAGAGACAGAATCTCTTCCAAGGATCGATTGTGGTTGATTTCCCTTGTCACAAATAGGATAAGATAATAATAACCAATTCACTGACAGCGTAGTGATCGATGCTAATTGCCATTTGCATCTTTTATAGGGGTGGTAAAAGCAAGAAAAAGACTGCTAAAGTCAAGAAGAGCAGCTCTTTTGTTAAAAATTTAATGAGAGGCCGCTTTAAAGTAAAGAAACCTGGAGATGCTGGCCTTAATACTACAACCGCTCAAGCAATAAATTCAGGTAGGTTATTCTTCACGTCTAAACGGTAATCGAAATACCCAGCAACTAGCCCTTGGCCATAAAAGGACCAAAAAAAAACATCGCATCAACACAACTACTGTACTGTACTCTTATTCTAAGTTCAAATCCACTTGTCATCATAAGATGCAAGCATAGACTATTTCCGACCAAGACATGCATATAGACTCTTCTACTTTTCAAGTGGAAATGGACGCTATTTTAAGCGTTTACAACATCCCCAATACGCCGTTTATGTTTCATTGCCGATTCGATGCATCATTTTGATTGCTGACGTCATTTTCCATCACATCATTTTACGCCTAAATATCAAAATCAACCACAGCTAGACCAGGGACTTGAAGAATTGGCCTTACAGGAGTCCCTGGCTATACCAAGTAATTGCAAGTACTAATACAGCGGACTACCAATCCATTTCAAAATGATACTACTAGCCCCAACGACGAGGAGGATCGATGATGTTGATTTATTCATAAGCACTATTTATATTGTAAAGCTTTGCCGTGATCCAATTAAACAAGCAATTGTAGTAGAAGCTTTCTTGTTCGTGCACTATTTACAAAGCAACAACCTTGTATTAGTAGCAACATTCTCCATGCGTAGATTACTCTCTTAATCAATCATCCAGTCATTCATGGCTCCATATCTTAATCTTGAGTCATAGTATAGAATTAAGATGCTGATCGTATTGCTGTAAGTGAACACTTGCAAAATCACCGGTTGATTGACTTTTTGCAAGCTATACGAGAAATAGACAAGACAAAAAAATATTGTCTAGTCTAGACTTTATGTCATGGTATAATTGACGCATTTTTACTGGCTAAATAATCACTTCAATAAGGTATAATTAAACTACCCTATCAGCCAATCGTCCGTAATCGACTGGCGATAATGTAAATTAGACGACTTGATAAATGAAATTAACACCGACATGTTAGGGTATTCATGACTACAGTAGTAAAAGTATAACGATGCTACAGTAGTAATGGACGCTGTTTGTTAATCATCTATTTATTTTTTAGATGCTCAACCAGTATTTGGCGTACCGCTAGAAGTTGCTATAGAACGAAGTAGCAATACCCATAACATTTGTCTGCCTCGAGTTATTTACGAATGTATTCAATACCTAGAAAGGACAGGTAAAGACAGAACATTCTACTACCCTATGCGATAATACTTAGTCATTTTATTTAATATCTTGATTCTCAACTACTTACTATTCTTTTTTACAATGTGATTACAACCAATTAAAAATTCATTATGATCAGCTAATTTAAAAGTTGTATTGTCTTATCAATAGCAAACTGGCCGAAATCAATCGCCTTCTGTACTTATCATTTTATTGTTTGCATCATCATATATAATATGCCGGACAGTAAATTGACGTCCAATAGTAGATCAGTATAATAAATAAATATTATTCATGTAGTTACAGTATTCATCACAATCACCTATTAAATTAGATTACCGTAGCTCATAGCAAAATTAAAAGGATATCACATTGTCTACATTTTCTTCTCAATTGTTTACGGTCAACATGAACTGCGTATTATCCAATTGCTTAATAATTTTCGTTGTTAAGTTAATAAACAAATTCACCCTAGCTTCTTCAAATGATGGTAAAGTTAGCCGTCAATAGCACAATATACATTGTATTAACTCTTCTCTATTGCTTTTTAGGTATTCATAGTGAAGGTATCTATCGTGTATCTGGTACCAAATCGAAAATTATGGCTTATAGAGCTCAGTATGACAGCGGTAATTTGTTCAATAACTTGTAATTAGAACCATTTCGTCACTGCATTTTATCACTAATTTCTTTCCATGTCAGTTGTTAGACTTGATGACTAATATTTTTGCACTATCCCACTTGTAAATAAAAAAATTCGCGACTACTTACCGCTTTCCATGCTATTCGGAATTGTAACCTCATGGTACTGTATAAGTATTAATTTACTTTCTTGCAAATCTTTATTTTTCTAGTTGGGACTATCGATTTTTCCACCGCTGATCCTGATAGTGTAGCTGGTTTACTAAAACTATATTTAAGAGAATTACCTTGCAATCTACTTACAAGTGAATTATCTGACAAGTTTGAGGAAGCGTCGGGTAATAAAAGAACCACAATAATTTTCTATTCCATCGTACCGGTGTTGCGAGAGGTTTAAATAATAGAATTGACCATTGTTATACGATCATTGATTACAGCTATATCACTCAAAGACGGCAGTTGGGAGCCTATTAAAGCTTTAGTACAACAACTTCCCCTTCCTAATCGAACACTGATATGCTGGATTATTAAACATGTAGCCAATGTTATCAAAAATGTAAGTCATTTACGGTATAAACAAGTATATTACCTTGTTTATAGAACGAATGAAATTTTTGAATGAAACCAATGCTAACTTTAGGAAAGTGTCAACAAGATGACGTTACCAAATATGGTGATCGTTCTTGGTCCAACTTTGCACTTGCCAACCCCTGTAATTACAGCTTTTTTAAACCACGCCGACGAAATATTTAGTGACATACCATTTGAAGCGTACGTATAGATTGTTGTAAAGGATGATAAAAATAATGAAATTGTTTCTATATGAATTGATTATTGTTATTTAATGTTGCATGACGTACTTTAAACATTGATAGAAGCCTACAAAAGTCTGCTGAAGAAACTGTCGAGTAAGAATCAACATTGAATACTGTAGAAGGAGAGATATTAAATAATTAAGTGTGATTTATTGTTACCGAATAAAACTTTTTCAAATAATGCTGCTAATCGGTTAACCAGCTATTGCCCTTATGTACAGGTCATTAAATAAAACCATCGCCGAGGTAGAAAGTCAGTTGGATAGCCTTCATGATAGTCTACGCAAATTACCAAAGTCTGGAAAGGAAGTATGTTCATAATCAAATTATTGCTACGTTTTAGTTTCTGCTTTTGAACTTCAGCTAATGCAATGAAATATATCATAAATAGCATAAGAAGAAATCAGAATTATTATGGGCTGCTCAAAGAAAGCTTACGGAACTTTCTAGACAGGTACTTTGCAAAGCTATTATTGTAGCCATTTTAAGAATTTTCACTATTAAAATTTGTTCATGATGTTGTCAATAATATGCCTGTAGCGTCGTCTAGCAACAAAAGTAGCTAAATCTTTGGATCAAGCTATGCCACTGGATACTGATAAAGAAAAATTAGAAGACGGTATTAAAGAATTAGTCAGCTTTTAGCAGAGGTATATTGATTAATAGAATCTAATTTGCCTTACAAGATTTAGATTCAGTACCTATCGCAGAAGATTCTTGCAAGCTCGAAAACCAGGTTGTAACAGCTATAGCAGAAAGCTTACATTATTAGTTGTCGTAAATACGTATACTAACAGTAAGCAATCCATGCTTTTTCAACTTGGCAGGAATTGTTACTGTTGCATGACGAATTGCAAGAGATGATCGATGCTGAAAAGAAATTGATTGAGAATATAAAGGTACTTGCTGTAGAAGAGTTTCTGTGTCGTAAATGTCTTATTCAGCATACCATTTTAACGATTTTAATGTAATCAGATTATCATTGTTTTAAAGTGCAATATTTTCGCCTTTTTGTCGGCCGTATACCGTAATTGTTAGCGTAATGTACCGTACCTCTTTCACTTCATGTATTTAACTTCCACAGGAGGAAATTGCAACCTTAACGGAACAGTTAAAGGAGAATTCCGATGCTGCAGTAGAGAATGGAGATGTAATATATCTAATGCTATCATTAGACATAGTCAATATTTCTATACAACTGATTCTGAATTATGACTTCTTCATAGGAAATGCTATCTGAAGCCGAACAACAAGAATTGCATGATCGATTATCAAAGGAGAATCAAGAATTGGAAGTAATCAAGCTTTGATTGTAGCGTTTTGATATCTTATGAAACTGACTATTGTTACTAATAACTTTACAGCTACATCTTGACGAGCTATTTACGAAAATTCATGAGCAACGTCAGGCTTGCATAGATCTGAAGGTTCAAATTAAACTACTAGAAAAGGAGCAAGAAGGCCAGCTATCGGTTGAGGAAGCGACATTTTAAGCCTACCTTGATACCTTTCGTCCCGATTACCAATTCACTTTACATCAGGAATATATCTAACTAATTGAACTTGTAATTATCAAAAGTTCACCGCTCACTCGTGTGCACTATTTTGTATAATGATTACTACTTTACTAAAATTGATTTGAGGACTGGTACATAATTTCCAATATACAGTTTTATATGCTAATGGAGGCAACTACGGTGTGAGCAACATATTGTCTATTATGCTCTAAGCTAATTGAGTTAGAAAAGAAGAGCAAACGAGGCATGTAATATACTTTTTTGATCGTATTGATAGGTATAAAATAGAGGGGTGGATATGACATCCTAAATTTATTGATAAGCGAATACTATCTTTTTTTTGGAAACTTGACCTAATTACTATATTTGTACTTGTAATTCATTAAATTTATTTTACTGTATACTAAACGATCACTTGCAGAATGTGTTCAGAGTACAAAAATTTTGATTGGAATATGTAAATATTAATTATATTATACAATGGATGCTATCAATTTTTGTCTTGATTTTGCTATTTCATTTGCGATTACAGTTGTTTTTCTCAAAGTTATGGAACTTGAATAATATCCTGTGATATTGTCTTGATAACTTTTAAGTTTACGACGGTACGATCACTAGGAAACTATCATCTGAGTCGTATCGATATCAGTACTATACTTAAAGTCTTTATTTTTTTAATTAAGGTGTCTATAAATGCACTAAATGGCCGCAGGCGAATACAGTACGATATAAAAATTACAATTGATTGCTGGCTTGACGTTAAGACAAATTGTAATCCAATTTTATGTAGCATAAAAATTATATAAAATATATCTACATAATAACTTTTATGATCTTACAATCCATGTTTGTGATGTTGTGTTGTATTCAAACAAATTTTAATATGGGATATTCTACCGAAGTGATTCAAATATGATCGATCAATAAAATCAGAATAAGTCATTTGCTCAAGTGTTTCTATCCTGCTGTGACTATTAGATCATGTCATATGCTAATTTACTAGTCGCCTTTGGCTAACAATGTATCTTACCCTTTCCATAATGGTCCATGTTAGTTTAAAAAGAAAGAATTATCGAATTTATGGCATGCAAATCATGTCCGCACCCCAACTAAATTTGACATGAATTTATTAGAGGTACGATTTCAATAGCTATAGTAGTACAATAGTGTTGATCAACTACGACAAACACTTTTAAGTCCGTGAAATGAATTGTACAGGTCTAATATTTACCGCACATATTAATGTATGACAGTTTACCTTCTTTTCTCCCTATATCCAAATAATAGAAATTACCTCATAATTCTGCGTGTCTTATGAGATCAGATTGAGACTAAACTTTTGGCTATAACTAAAACTATTTTTATACGTCATATAACGCGACTTCAGAGAACAACTTGGGACCTTTTTATTCGGAATAAATTAAATTATTATTATTGATGATGAATTCATCTAATTTATGGTATACCTTTCTTATACTGTACATCTGCACCCTAGTTACATAGTGTGAACTTGAAGCTCAATTTCATGTATTTTTAACTATCATGCAATAGATGCAATCAATTATGGTTACTTAACTAGCAGACCAACTTATAGGGAGCTAATATGCAATGGTATAGCATTTACTTATGCTTACAAATTAGTATAGAGGTGTTTAATGGTCTGCAATTCAGTAAAGAACTTACTGTTAGATCATTGATTTAGGCTGCCTTTTAGCTCATCAATCCTACTATAATGTTTTTTTCACGTTATGTTGCATATCTTAAGGAGGAATTTTTTCTAGTAAATTACATGAAAGAGAACTAATCTTTTAGGAAAATCCATTATGTATACTGCTGAATATTTTGTAGCCATTTATTAGTTTAGTTACGATATTTAATAAAGAATAATTCGTCAGAAAGCATTTAATCATTGGAAAGATCTAAAATTGAAACAATTATAATAACGTTCTATTAATGGCATGGTCATTATCAAGCAATCCCTTCTTTCGAAATTACTTCTGCCAAATTGAGTAATCCATTCCATTTTTTCTAATGCAACATATGACACCATTTTCCGATTTAATGGCAATATGCATATAGATTTTATTAGCAAGGCAAGGAGGTCTGAAGGTAGTCATAATCTCGTCAGAAACAAGAATTGCAATAGCAATCATTCAAGGAGACTTGGTCATTATTAAACTACAAGACTTACTCAGAAATACCTCATTCAGCTGGTTATGCATAGGCAAGTATTAAATTAAAGCAAATATCTTAAACAGGAACGAAGTAGGAAATGGAATTTAAGCATAATGCCTGAATCATACTCTAATCGAGTTATCGAATTTCCAATGGTACTTTTGAAGTCCTCACCTTGACCGAGTTCAATCAATCTATAAATAAATTTGCTTCCAGCTATTTCGCCTTTTACTTAATATCTTGATACTAGAATGTGAATAAAATGGCAATAGTTGGGCCATTTTTTCTTAATATTTGAATATTTTTAAAAAGGTACTATCAGTTACTTACTCTATTAGATCCCACAGTTATGCGTTAACCACAGCGTCGGTCAAGCGAATCCTTGTCTCATCATTTGTATTCTTATAGATTACTTCTTCATCATTATCTTCATTGCGGTCAGTATCTTCATCATACTTAGTTTTGAAACAGACTCCACACTGATGGAATCGAGTTCCTTCAAAAGGATTGGTACCTCTATGAACAAATATTGGTGATAAATACTTACACCAGATGTTAAGGCAATGACTCTGAATTACTCGAAATACGTGGACAAGGCTATCTAATAAAGTGGATGGTTCAATAAAATGATTGCTGTATTTTGTAAAGTTGGCTGTTATAAACAACTATAAATAAAAATTAGAGCTAAGAGTAGGATATTTCTCATCCAAGCTAAACCACATTTTTGCGAGTAGTGAACGATCTGCAGCGTTCGACGATGTTGCAGCATAAACATTATTTTGCCTGTAGTCAATCTATAATGATAGCAATGATTATTTCCATGAGAAGCTCGCTTCATTAATGCGATATTATTCTACATTAAAACTGAACAGTTCAGCTAATAAATAATGTTATTAGCACCTCGCTGTCATCATCTTCATCTTGGGTAATTCCAACCCTAACAATGACGATAGAAATTAATAAAATGAATAATGAATTTGCAATAAATTCTTATATATCATTCAATATCTAATACTAACTTGATTTTTAGCCACCGCAACATCATTGTTGTTGTACCTCCATTAAATAAGACTGTAATAAATACAATTACCACCGTTGTTGTAAACATGAGTTGACGAACTTTGCTAGATGTATTGCGAATAGCCAGAGCGAAGGCGATAGCACCTCGTAGACCTATAATCGAAAATAAATAACCCTTATCACTTATGCTGCTGTTTTAAAATACTAAAATAGTAAGATAATTCAATACTCGGCTCACCAGAAAAAAGCATCATGTGCTGAAGCCTGTAGCCAATCCTGTTTTGACGAGCTCTATTTAAGATGAAACTGATTGGATATATATTGCATAGGCGACCTGTTAAAATTGCGATCTAATTCAAAGGTTAAGGGCTTGTAGAAACTTTCAACAAGATTAATCGGAACTAGATTTATGTTCTTCAATAGTTAGTTATCACTAAATAGGCTACAAGGTCTAAAAAGACACTTAAAGATACAAATGAAAATACAACAAATCCCATATAAAATCTATGATAGGGGAAAACGAAACATGAAAGTCCCATATAGGAGAATACGGCATTTTCAGCTAGGAAGCTGATCATTTCAATAGTCTGTAACAATAAATAAAGGAAATGATAAGAAGAAAGGGGCTATAATACGAATTAACGAAAGTTTTATTCTAAATTTGCGACTATGGCAAATAACTTGTTTTGTTCTAGTTCTAGATTCAGCAGATAAATTTTTATAGGTATAATGGGATTGGATAATACCACAGAATAGAATGGCTACAATTCCTGGTGGAAAAGAAAGTCATGTTATTAATCGAGCTCTTCTGGAATAGACAAAAAAGCAATTTGTATAAACTAAATTACCTGTTAAATGAAAAGCTTCAGCAATGAGAAAAGTTAAATAGGAAATGATGATGAAAATGGCTGTTTCCAGTATCGGATGTTCCTTGATATTGGTTAGCTTAGTAATTTACAAAATGATTAAGGCCGAATAGAGATCGAAAGAAGATGTTTAGAACAAAAGTTTTATCATTCTATCATTAGTTTGCATATATTGAAACCATATTACGTGGATAATAAAAAGCGGATAGCATTAACATTTGAATGGTTGGATTTATAATTTTAATGCTGTGTTAACCGTTATCCTTTATGATACTTTAAATTAATACCGAAACCACATATCATATTAGTACTAGTATGCTCACTATCCTATACATACCGTTATCCGTAAGGACAGTATGAAGGTAATAAGGATAGCATTTACTCTTAAGAAACTACTTTTACGCTAGTATTACTATATTTACTACTGTTGTAGATCTCATAAGATAGCTTAATGAAATTAATGGTATCAACTCAGCTAGAACTATAACTACAAAAGGAAAGGCAAATTAACAATTAATCGCTATATCGAAAGAGAAATGAACAAATCCACATAAATTATTTGCTAGAGTAGCGTTCAATAAATTATATCGAATAAGTTATAATTACTAGCTGAAGATAACTTGACTATCTAAAATTAGCTCTTTTAATCCTACTATTAGTAAGCATAGTGTTAGGAAAACAAACGATTGCTACGCATTCCTAAGAATTCCGGAAGAAAGTAAGTAATTTTCTATGATATATCGTGACTGATAACTAATCACCGATTCTTTTAGAGTAATTGATAGCACTACAACTGTAATTATTTGTGAGATGCTAATCTTTAACTATCCAAAATTAGGCAATAGTAGTAAGAATTTTTGTTCGAATAATTTCAAGAATTAGCTAATATTATAGAGTGAATAAGTCGTAGCTAATTTCACAAAGATATTTATCATGAAAATGATCGTGGTAGGATATTAATGCTGTTAATAAGCCCATTAAGCAACCAACACCAAATGAACCAAGAAAAATCCATAGGAAATTGAGCAGTAATTCAAAGAATGCAGCACCATCAAAACCATTTTCGCTTTCGCTCATATCAGGTGAATAAGTTAAAATAGCACTAAAATAGGATAACGGAACCTTTTCATAGCTGTTGACAGGATCTAGATATGCCTCTTTAGGTTATTAATCGATCAATTTACAATTATAAAGATCAAATTTCCCCTAAGCCATATTAATAGATTTGGAACTTAATTACCTATATAAAACGATAGAGACTGCATCATTGAGAACACTTTCTCCAAAGACCAAGGCATACAATTTGGAATCGACATGTAAATGTTGAAAAATAGCCAAGACAGTGACTAATAATGAAAAATTTTTCAATTAGAAGAAGTATTAGCTACTTCAGAACTGGTATTCTAGGTAATAGAAATTAAAAGATTTAGATCATACCAGGATCTGTTGCTGAAATCATAGCACCAAATAATAGGCAGTCGACAAATTTAAAACCAGGAATAGGATAAATTTTTGTAACATATCCATACATTATGCCACTAAATGGTAAACAAGCAACAATATCCAATAGATCAATTCTAGCTTATAAACCTTGTAAATATTCAAAAAACAAATCAGCACTAGTAATCTTAGCTCAAATTGCTAGCAAAATTTGTTTGTCATTTATTTACTTTAAAAAAAAACTACGAAGATTCATTTAGGACATAGATAGAAACCATTTAAATATCATAAATAATATTGCTTGTATGATAACGTGTGGAATTCGATATACTAAGTAAGCGCTGATACAATGGTCACATACTTAGAGTACGTATATGAAATCTACATGGTTCATTCTAGTCATGGATAATATGCCTCATCAATTAATTTGCCAGCTGTAAATTCAAATATAGAACTAATTCGATTCTTACGGTACAATCTTAAAGCTGCGAAAATTTTATCAGTAATATCTCCATATTTTTATACAACGGAAGATCATAAACAGATAGAACTCCGTTAGTTTCAACGTCGTCTTTTCGAAAAAAATGAAGCAAAGAGTTTAAATGTATTAGCTACAAACTGTAGTTCATTAATGGCTTTAAAAGAAGACTAAGGTACACTTTGGATGTTTAACTTACCTGATGACAAAACAGGAAATAATGGTTCCAACAATGGCATAGAAAAGAATTGATCCAAAATTGCGAAAGAAATGCCTCTATTTGCAGATGTAGCATTAGGTTATAAATCAGATATCGGCAGTTGATATATTTTGAAGGTTACCATTAAATAGGTTATGCCGAAGCAACTCTGCTCTATAGTTCTGTTGAGCATTAAAGATTATAACTAATGTATGAGTTAAATTTTAACAACAAGTTTCAACATTGATTAATGCCGTAATTATTATAAATATTATAAATCTGCAGTCAATGTAGTATTACTTACGCGTCGTAAATCGTATCCAGCAAAGAATATGATTGGAGGAAGCATAATATAGAAAAAGATTTCCGAATTGAAGATGAGCTAATTCGATTTCAGAAATACTATCGTTATTAGTATTTATCCGATTTCAAGTTACAAACTAAGCTATCATGCATCAGTACAAATACATGGAAGAATAAACATTTTCTCGTCCATGGCGTAGATTAAACGTGCCTTATTTTGTAGTAGTGTTTAACTTACCATATCGACCAGTTGTGGTTGGGGTAAATCAGGGTTATCGGTATCGTAAACATTTAATAATCCATAGGCACACGTTTTATTATCAATTGTTGCATGAAGAATGGCCGGAATGTTATCGTTCTTCACAGTAAACATACAAGCCTTCGAGATTTCTTGCTCCTCAGGTGGCAAAGAATACTTAACAACTGCTCCAGTTATCAGGCCTGTGGAATTATATTTTAGTAAAGCTTTTAGGCTTACAATTACGTAGGGCATTTAAATACAAATGTTTAGCTCGAAGGACATCGTGTACCGACCAGCTATGTTTTAATCTGTTTTGAGATTGAATCGACAGATTTTAAATCAAGTATAATATAATAGCTGCAATCATCAAGATCAATCTATGTAAAGATAACTTCAGAAATCAAACTTGGAATTACAGTAATAAGAAGTGTCTGTTTATTGCATATTTATTATTAAAACATGGTAGAAATCTCCACGTGATAATAATAGGATTACATGGCGTTCTAATAGAGAAAAACATATTCTTGCAAGTATTGTAGATTCCTTACCATATATCATCGCCAGTCCCGTCTCATGCACGATAACAATATGATAGATTCTCAGCACCCAAGCTGTCAAGATATTGAGTAGGAGAAGAACGAACATAATGATGAGCACATTTCGAAATAGATGATGGTGATGTTCTACTTCCTCTTCGGTAATGCTTTCGCGATTATGCTGCAAGGAAGGAGGTATCGTGGTCAAGATAAATAAGAATACTATCCACCAAGCACGACGAAAAGAAAATAGCGTCATGATGTACTCAATTTCTGCACCTAAATTGGAGGAGTTGAAGTTTAGTTTACTGAGATAGCTGATGAGTACAGGCCGTGAAATAGACTCAATACACCGATATTCCAGGGGCTTAAGACTGATGATGACCATACGCCCTGCATAATGGCGTGTGTATCATCTACTGCCATATAATTAGAATATTTACATATTAAAGCAGTTTCAGCTGCCAATACAGTACTATATGCAAGGCAAGTGCTTTATTCTTGATTTACTCATTAACATATGGTGAATAAGGAGATTTTACGAATATTCAAACAATTATTTAGTAGTGCAAGTACAACTATTATCTCTACGATCTTGCATTAAAATATCTTATGTCCAGAACATCTTATGATTCACACAGCGTTGCGGATTAGATGAGCTTTCATGCCATTAGTATTATGAAATACTGTAGAAGGTGGGGTATTGGGCTTTCTACAGTATAAGTATTCTAAAATTTACGTTATTTAAGCTTGAATCATTTTAGTTATTCTGAGACAATCTAATTACTGTATAATCAATTGTCATCAGCAGTACTATTGCCTTCCAAACTAATGCAACATGAGTGCCATACGACATCATTGAAAGTTATACGTTGTAATATACACAATATATTAGCCAAATAGGAGCCTTTTGGTGGCCGTTTAATTAATATTTCATTATTATACTTTCAGGTACTTTACTACTCTAATTAGCTCTAATCACTGCACTGTTACGCCATACTCAGAATAGTTTTTACGTTAGTTACATGAGCAAATTAATATTTTAATCCATCGAACACTGTACAGAGTTATTTTATAGAATTGATGATTATGATATGATTATTACAACTATCTTAATTAATTTATTAGCCAAGTTCCGGTCATTTTTTTCATCCTTTAATTAATTTTTTGTTGCTATACTTTCAAAATATTCTACCAATATAATTAGATAAATCACTACATAGTTATATCATGCTCCGTTCAGATTGCACTTTAGTCACATGAGTAGGTTAGTATTACAATCAATCGAATTCACTGCGGACAGCGTCCCACATATGCCTTATAGAATATGAATATTAGCCAAATACGAAATGTTTTTACTGGCCATTTTGTTCGTCTTTCATTATTATACCTTCAAAACACTTTGCTACTATGTTGAATCGAAACTTGCAACTGCTAGGACGTTAGTTATATGAGCAAGTTAAATTGTTCATCTATCGGGCTTGGTACAGAAAACTTGCTACAAATATCCTATGGAATATAACAACAGCACATCATTGATGTAATTTCGATCCTGAATGGTCGAGCCTTGATACTGTGATATAGAATTGATAATTACAATAGGATTGCCATTAAAGCATGCATACTGCATAGACTCCAAGCTTATCTAAAGTATTATTTTATCGATAGGTAAAGGTAAAGCACTGAGTCAACAGTGTAAATGAGCTCTTTCTAATAGTAATTTTACTGCATCACTTAAAGCATTGATGATTATACATCCGCAAGAAGTTACATTCAAAATGGTACTGGTACGGATTTCAGATAAAAAATTATGAAATCCAATTTTAATAAAATATAAATGAATCTATGGAGCTTTACTTTGCAAACTTTAATTAATACGACTACGATTATTAAGTTAAAGTAGTTACTATCTAAGATGTATAAATATGTTTAATTACAACTAAATTATTGCAGTAATATCAGCTATTGGCTATTTCTCCTGGCCACAAAAATTCCATTACCTGTAAATTTTAGCTTTTTAATTTTTAGCAACTTCATTGAAAAGATGCACAATATATATTCTGCTTATGAATTTAATTTAATGCCTTAAAAACTCAGTTGTAGATAGTAAGATTATAATTGGGGCTAAATATGATTATGCACTAGCCATTTCCACCAAATTATCCCGATCTTCTTCATCCATTGTCTTAAAACAGTTACCCCAACGTTGAAATCGAGTACCTTCAAAAGGATTTTTAGAGCTATGAACAAATATTGGAGACAGATACTTGAGCTATGGATTAAGGAATTCAACTCAGTTTATCAAAAGATTGGCAAGAGCGTTAGTAGTTTAATGCAAAATTCGAATATCATCTCTCCCATGGAGCTTTAATAAACAATTGCTACGTAACACGATATCAAGGAAATAAAATTAGGATATTTTTTATCGAAATTTATAAATGATCTAGCCAATAATGAGCGATTTCCATCTTTGGATGATACTGAAGCATTGGGATTCTCAGTTTCTGGCGCAGTTTCTGGCGCAGTTTCAGCCTATAATGATCAATTTACATTATGCTTAACTTACGAGAGATACTGTTTAGCGTAATAATTTCAGTACAGTATTCTTGAAATTCTTTTCTAGATTTATTCATTATTGATACCTGATCCCTTTCATCTTCAGATCCAGCAAGACTAATAGGAGTTAATAATGAAGAGTGTAATTGATATAAATGAATCTTCTAGACTGCAATTTACAAAACTTACTCTATTCTCAACCACCGCAGCATTAGAGTTGTTGTACCTCCATTAAACAAAACCGTAACAAATACAATCATTAATGTTGTAGTAAACATTAATTGCCGGCTTTCGCTAGAGGTATTACGAATAGCCAAAGCGAATGCTATAGCACCGCGTAGACCTACCACAAATATAATTAATTCGTCACATTTTATTATGTTTCATATTGATATCATAGCTATAACAGGAGACGATCCAAATGCCATTATACCTGCAAAAACCATCATATGCTGTATATTGTAGCTGATCTTATTTCGACGAGTCCGATTTAAGATGAAACTGAGAGGATATATATTGCATAACCGACCTACAAAAATGGCTATCTAGGTAATACGTTGAGGGCTTGAATAGTTCCGATAAATACAGATATTTTTACACTAGTTTTAAAAGCATTATCAAATTCTTCATAAAGATACAAATGAAAAAGCTATAAATCCAAAATACCAACGATGGTATGGGAAAACAAAAAATGAAAGGCCCATATAAGAGAATATGAAATTTTCTGCGAGGAAATTAATAATTTCAAAGGCCTAGAAGTGGTTTTCGTCAATGTTTTGAAATTTAGTTTCATCGGTAGTATAGATACGGTCACTTCTTAGGTAAAAATAACAAATATAAACCTGTTTTGTTCTTTTCTGGGATTCATCGGATAAATTTTTATAAGTAAAGTGGGATTGAGTTATTCCACAAAACAATATAGTTACAATACCTAAAGAAGCAGAAAGTATAGAGAACATTGTAAAAAGGTTCGATTTAAAATATCTATAATGTATAGAATATATATACATAAATATATAAGGAGATGCTGCCGGCATAGGATACAATACCCGTTAAACGGAGAGCTTCAGCGATGAGAAATGCCGAATAGGAGAAGATAATAAATACCGCAGTCTCTAATAATGGAAATTCTCGGATTCTTGTCAACTTAGAGATTTACAGAGTTATTAAGGATCAAACAAAGAACATTATCGTGAGCGATTCACGAAATATATTTATCTAATCACTACAATCCCAGACTATTCACATGTATAATAAAATAATTTTGTAAAATACGTTATGAATGAACGTTTGTTACAGCTATGCAATATCTTGCTGCGATATTGCAACAATTCTAATACAGAGTTAAATAAAACTTTTAACAAAAATGTGACAAACGGTACTGATTAAATGGTAAAAATTGCATCAACGATTTTTCATCAGGAAATAAGAGCAGGGTTTGTTAGTTTCTTTGTGATTGATAATATCGTACATCGTACAGTACTGTATCACTTATATAGTCTAGCAGAGGTATTTTATGTCTTATATTACTATCAATAAGATATTAATGCTGTCGTTAATCCGAGTAAGCAGCCCAAGGAAAAAGAGCCAGCGAATATGCCGAGAAAGCCAGCAATAGATCGAAACAAGGCACCAACATGAAATCCACTTTCACTATGCAGCGAGTACGGTGAATAAATCAAGATCGAGCTAAAATGGAATTTACAACTTTATTTCGCCTTATAGTGCTACTTATGGTCTGGCATTTCAGTACTTAATTAATCAAAGAAGTTCTTGTTTACTATTTTCCTAGAAGCTATTGTACATACCTATACAGTACAATAGCCACGGCATCATTTAGGACACTTTCGCCAAAAACCAGAGCGTAGAGTTTTGAATCAACGTGTAAATCGTGAAATATTGCCAAAACAGTTACTAAAATTAAAGCACATCACGATTAGATATTACGGTACTTACTATATTTCAATCCTGTAATTTTAAAATCCACTAGGCTAGTGCTATACCAGGATCCGTAGCAGAAATCATAGCTCCAAATATCAGACAGTCGATGAAACCAAAGTCGCCGATAGGTTGAATGTTTGAAACAAATAGGTACATGATAGCACTTGCCACATAAAGTAATGGAAACTAATGTTAGAATATCAAAACTTTCGATAGATAGATTTATGTATCGTTCATATAAACTTTCACTAATACAACGAAATTCTGAAGTTATGTGCTGGGATATTATTGCAGTAAATATGTTTTTTTCTGATTCTTAAATTCAACAACAAACCGAAAAATCTACTTCTGAGCCAGTTTATAGTAAGTTTAAGGTGGTAGGCATTTAGGCAAGTCACATAATTCTATACTTAGGCACAGAGTAAAACTTACCCAATCGTAAAACAGGAAATAATGGTTCCAAGCATTGCGTATAAAAGGATTGACGCAAAGTTACTAAAGAAATGCCTCTAATAATAATAAAGGGCAGTAAAAAATTTTGCTACAGAACTCTGGTTAAGGCTGCTATTTTTTGCTTCTATAGCAGAAATGATAGCTCTCATTATTCACTGTAGCTAAAAGACCTAGTATTATCATAATATCCATAAAATGTAGAGTTTAAATACTTACATGTCGTAAATTGTATCCAGCGTAAAAGATAACCGGAGGAAGCAAAACATAGAAAAATATTTCTGGATCAAAAATCATCTATTTGGACAGAAAGAGCATGTTATAATTACTGTATTTCACTTTTAGTAAGTCATATTTGGTATTGAATAATGGTAGAGAAAGTAAAACATTGAAGAAGATCGCTAGGTCGGAGATTACACTATTTCAATTAAAATAACGGCCTTAAACTGCTGTATACTACTTCTCATAAATCACATCTCATATAGAAAGCTCGAGAAATAAAATATTAAGAAGTATTTCTAGATCGAACATTAACTAATTCGGATAAAATTACTTGCTGAAATTACTTGTCATAAATCCTATCTTACATAGAATAGAAGTAGAGTTACTGAGCTGACTGTATCATGGTTTGAATGATTGCTATTCCATTATTGCTGATATTGCAATCTTCCTTACCGTTTCAACTAATGGGGATTCTGCTGTAGCAGGGCTTTCTCGGTCATGTATAGCCAGCAATTGATAGGAGTAGCTGACATTTTCAAGGCTTGCAGACAGCAGCAACGGAAGACTACCGTTAGTCTTATTCAAAGAGCACTGTATGGGATAATCCTGCTGATCAGGTTGTGTAGAGTATTTAATAATTGCTCCCATGATTACTCCTGCAAATGCAGATAATATTGTTTTTTAATGATCACATTATCATTGAATCAGCAGAACAATAGCGATATCTAGTTTTACGATGAGAATTAATTATGTAATTATTGTTTGTACATACTGGGCTTTGTTCAGTTTTACCGTTAGGATTTCGAGCTAAACACAACTGCTACTATTTATGAACGAGGTTTATACAGTAAGTTGTGCTAAGGACTACTAAATACTCTGCCTAGTAATCCACGGCTATGCTAAGTATTAGGGAAGATTTAATTGTTTACCTCGCTAGCAAGTACAAGGATTTAAAGTAATTGGGTACAACTAGTAGGAAATGGTAATTTACGGATGAAATGAGAGTCAAGTTATTCCTCATTCCTTCCATTAGACTTACCATAGATCATAGCTAGTCCAGTTTCATGTAAAAATCGCATACGCCTTGCTTTAAATTGCCAAGCAGTGATCACTGTTACCAAGAGTAGAAAGAGTAAAATCAGTAAGGTCACACTGTACATGCGATGGAGATTTTCAACACGAATTTCGGTCATCCCTTCATGATCTACTTTAGCTTGTGTGATAGGTAATATCGTCATCAAGACCACCAAAATGCTCGCCCAATCTTGGCAATTCCGGAATTCCTCCATAATTTATAGATGAGTTATCAGGTAATACATTAATTGTATCGAATAATAATTCAATATGAAATTTGATCGTGGTTTTTTATACTCAAAAGTAGGATATTATGCTAATTGGCACCTAGGAATCAGTCTACGTAATGAGAAATTTTAGCCAATGATTTCTCCTCTTTCGACTGAATTAAATGTAAACTTATGGCGAGTATGCGTAGAAATACAGCTAGGAAAATAAGCACAGGGGTGAGAGTGGCAACAACGGCGATGAAGAGCATAAACATATTTTCAGCTCTAAATTGGTTGCGGAATACTCGCCGTCATAGAGCTGGTATTTAGTGCATCAATCGTTATCGCAAGTTCAGTGGCTGGAAAATTGCATGATTTACTAGACGGCAATATCAACTAAATATTATCCTAGTTTTGGCTTTCTGCTAGAGTAATATTAAACCCCCAAAATAGTGTGGTGGACGCATTAAATGATGAAATTATGGAACGTTTGCCTGGCGAAGAGGTGATCATTAGTAGCATAGATTCCGTGTCCAATGAAGATCAAGCCAGTCTTTATCCGCAAGAATTTTTAAATTTTTTAAATTTATCTGGACTGCCACCACATCAAATGTCATTAAAAGTAAATGCTCCTATTATGTTATTACGTAATCTAGATCCATGTAATGGGCATTGTAATGGAACGCGATACATGTTGACCTCTATTACTGAAAGACTGTTGGTGGCGCGTATACTTGGTGGAGAACATGCCGGCTCTATCATTTTAATACCACGTATTAATATTTCCCCATCTGACACTGATCTTCCATTTCAGTTAATACGTCGGCAATTTCCTATACGCCCAGTATTTGCTATGAGTATTAACAAAAGTCAAGGGCAAACTTTTAATCGATGTGGAGTACTTTTGCCTACCAGTGTTTTTACTCACGGCCAGCTATATGTAGCCATAAGCCGCGTTGGAAATCCTCGCGATTTAAAGGTGTTTATTGATCGAACGGAAATTAATTCCTTACTCCATAATAGAGTTAACAGTAACTTGCCAGGTTACAATAATGGCATATGCCGAGTGACACGTAATGTAGTTTATAAGGAAGCTCTACATTGAATTAGTGATTATAATACTATACTTAGGATAAAGCGTCTAGGCAAATATCAGTTTATATAACACATTTTGCAGCCACAAAATGTAATGCTTTAATTCCGAACGTAAAGTAAATAAATTTTATTGCATTATGAATTTGTTATATGTAAGGGAGTAATTGCCATATTACTTTTATTGTTCCTTTGCAATACATGTATAATATTCTAATCAGCATTATAGAGTAATCGGATGTTAATAAAATGTTGTCAAATTATGCAAAGTAAACTTGCAAATGAGTGTTCAATCATAATATTACTACTCAGCAATGGTTAATATAATTTTAATCTGTCCAGTAGCATTATTCTTCACATTAGGATATGTAGAGCAGATATTATAATCGCCGAATTACTATCAAAGACTGTAATAAGGTTTCATCCGTGAATGCATTATTGAAAAGTAGTATTCTACAAGCATAGCTGTGAATATAGTAGTGCCCGGCTATTACCGGGATATATATAATGTCGAATGGTAATACTAACTATTAATTATTAACAAATGGGAACGTTATCAAATGCCCCGCCCGTACAATTAACAGTACTGTACTTTTGTACAGCATACAGTACACGGATAACGGTAAAAAGTTACTGAACCTCTGACAGGTCTATCAAATGGTAATACTATCTGTTAAATGGCACATTATCGTAAACCGTCAGCAAAGCGACGGGAGTTTGCACTAGTCTATTCTATTCATGAATGATTGCTAACAAGATTTGCCTTTTTTATACAAATTTTTACTGTATGGCTCTAGTATTGCATTGAAATGAAATTAGAAAAGCATTATATATAGAATTCTCGTAGAGTATTCCATTTTTATGCCTTGCTACTTACAGTCCAGACTGAGGTGATATCTACCTTTCTGGTTTTTGCAGTAAAACGAGAATCTTTACTCCGCTCTGCCAACTACTAATGAGTAATAACGGCATGTGACCGTCTGTTAATCCTGGCAGTAGTTTAAAAACCATCTATCATCTCTAAAGTACGATAAATTGATCTTTCATTTACATTACTGCATTTAGAAACTAATCATTAATTACGTTCTCATTATAATCACATTAATCTCTTATCAAATGTATGTCAGTTGCTAAACTTTGTCCGTTAAAGAGTATACCTTATATAATCAAGACCATGTTAAAAACGCAGTATCCGCAGTTTACAGTATGTCTCCTTGTGATGCCTCAAGACTATTGAAAAATTTCATGCAATAACGATGATTGATGGAGAATATACTCATGCCATTAGCAAGTAGTATGATTTGCGTAGGTCTTGATCATTTAGAATATTAATTAGAATAGAGTTATCTTCTTATGATATTTTCAAACCATCAAGGAATTTCATAGAATAGGGAATCGTTTGGCAGGGAATACAATTGTGCCCTTCTTTTGGATATGGACTACCAGTAGTCTATGCTATGTAAAATAATAGTTATAAGTCTTGATCATTTCGTGTACGAGCTGCAGTACAATTGATTCATGAAGAAACATTATAAATCGTCGTCGACAGGTATTCTCTCCATATAGCTTCATAGAATAATTTCAATTTATTATCAATTAATTAATAAATAAACAATAATTATTATAAGTATTAAACTAACTCTTTAAGTTGCCTCATGCTGGAATTTTTCCATTTCATAGTACTGCACATATTAAAAATTGCCTTTCTAGTAACAGTATTGCAACTATCAATATTGGAATAGATGTGCTAAATGACTTTTGAAAGGATGTGCTTCCTCAGATGAAGATACATCATACAGACATATACTCGATGAAGCAATAAAGTATTTATACACTATTGGCTCAACGTGCATGGAATACTCATCATTCCTCGTACGTGAATTTAATATCAAGTTGTCTTCATCAACGAGCCAAGAAATCAACTATTTGAGAAAGAATTAGTTTCATTTGATCATTGTTAACGCCTTCAATTCTGCATGTAATTATTATTGTCTTTATGATTGAATTCATTCAAAGGATCAATTATTTACGTACGAATACTATTCTAGAAGTAATTAAGCAACGTTAAGTATACTTGGAACAATTGAATTTATTCACTGCAGGAAGCATACCTTATTAGACAGCTAGAGAAATCTAGCGCATTCAGAAAGCCATTCGTTGATTGTAGTCTATCGTTTCAGCAATTGAATGCGAATAGACAGCCTTAAAATAGAGTGCAATTGTAAATCAATCCCCATGGGAATAAACTTTATATTACTCCATCTACTCTACCTTCCTAATAGATGAAGTAAAGAACAGGTTAATCCATGGGATTCCATCAAGTTTACGTCAATGCTATTCTTTATTGAATGAATCAAAAAATTATTCCTTTCTTCTACTAATCAATTTGCCTTAACTAAGCATACTGCTATCGCATTATTAACCTGGTAGAGTTGCGATTATCGTATTATTCTACATATAGAGAGTACCCAGCAGGGAATTCTGATGGCTTTCTTCCCGAATCCACTGCAAGTCTCCTTTTCGTAACAAATGATATCATTCTATTCTTTCTCATTATTTCATTTGCTTTCTATTATTTAATGATTAAGTCACATGATTGTTCCATCCTACCGCCAATTTCTTTGGCCCAAAGAGCGTGTATATGTACTTATGATATAGCTTACCTGGTACAGGTGTAATTATCAAATTATTCTGCGTATAGGGACGAGTGTAGACTTTATAGCAGACTATTCTAGAGGCTTTCTTCCTCTCGAAATATATTTAAAAACTTCTTTTCATCATAAATGACATCATTTCGTTCTTTTCTATCATGTTAAATCTTTATCATTTCGCCGTCATTTTGGTTGTGCTGCTAAATGCATTACCCTATTCAATTCAAAAACCAACAAATTATGAAGGCACGATCGAGCAGCGTGTTGAAGACCAACATCAGCTATATAGCATTCTTTTGATGGTTTTACTCTTTCTATCCTTGCTTACTACTTTAACCGCTTGGCGATTAAAAGTAAAACAAGTTCGATTTCTGCATGAAACTGGGTTATCCATGTTTTACGGTAAGTACTGATGTACTGCAGGGTATAGTTGTAGCATGCAGTTTATAGCGTATAGATTCATTTGTGAGAAAAGGAGTAGGGAGTTTATTTACTTGTTACTTGTAATTATGACGACACTAATTCATTTCCTCCCCCCCCCCAAATTTTGATTTAAAAGTCTCTTCATAACATCGTTTCGATCGCTTATAAAACTGATAAACTATGGTAATCTTAAGGTGTTAGAATCTTTACTCCTAAACTTTATATTCAAGAATGTTTTTCTTTATTGTCTTGCTTTGATTATCGAGATTTTGGATTGAGTTAGTATGAACGAATTCAAATATAGACGTCTATTCTTACAAGTACTGTACTTAATGTGCGAAGCTTTCATCATTGGGAGCTTTCTACCAGAAAGTCAAGAAATTTAGGCCTAAAGCTACGATCTAAACTTAAAAGACTTACTTAGTTAATAATCTCTAGTCTTCCAACTTTAAGGAGTGAGACTATAGAAGTAAATACGGCATATTCTTAGCATTTCATCTTGATGTGTATCAATATGACTGCGTCCTGTTTCTGTTTTGACTTGCATAACGATAGGAGGAGTGATGGGAGTATTAATCAGGTATACCAGTATGCCAAGTGAAACTGCAATTGCCTACACTTTCCCAATCAACATTACAAACAGAACAACCCCATCGACATTTTATGTACAAGACAATAATATTACCTATGCTTACAAATTGTCTGCAACTTACCGCAATGAAACACCCGAATTACCGATATCAGAACTCGTTGATAGGGTAAGTTCGAAAGATATCTGTAGACGAAAGAGTTGAACTGTATAATATTGTTTTACCTCGAAGTTTGGCCTTGATGATCATTTCATTTGTATTACTTAATGAACTGAAGTGAATTTGCAGAACTTGATTGATTCAGTGGAATGAATCAAGGCCAAAAGTAGTGAAGCACTTACTGTCAGTCATGCTTCAATTTCTGAATCATGTCTTATTCTGTATCGATCAGTATTAAAAAATAATATATTAGTTATACCTAATCCTAATATTTTACTGTCGATGAATCAAGGGCAACAGTATTAGAATAAGAATACTCAGCCATGCTTCAGTATCGATGTAGATATACGATAACATTAATCTTTCTTTCATTGATGAAGGTGGGTTTCGATCCGGAAGTATTTTTTTATGTGCTCCTTCCTCCAATCATATTTTATGCTGGTTATGATTTGAGACAAGTAAGTGGACCTACTATTTTAACTGTGTGTAATGAATCCTTTCAAAATCGTTATTGAAGCTTCATGATTTAGCATTTGTAATTAAAGTATTATTACGCTAGTTAAGTGCTAAGATCCTAGATACTGATATGTGTTAATAGAACGTAAATAAATTAAATACAAAATCCTAATCATGGTCCTGCCAATGGTCTACTCTGTACCTGCATAAAATGAAGAATAACTGAAAATGAATATCAAACACTTGAAACTGATAAATTTACTTGACGTTAATTTTATGTGTTCTAGAAATACATTTTTTAGAATCTAAATTTGTAATTGAAGTATTACTGCATTAACTAGTATCAAGATATAGTGCATTTTTTCTGCTTTGTTTGTTTTACTTCAATGAACTAAAGGATAGTTTAGAAATGGATATACAACAATTAAAATTTGTAAATAAAATTGATGTTGATTTTACGGGTTTAGAAACACTTTTTTAGCAACTTTGGTTCCATCCTGATGTTTGCTGTGATTGGCACCACCATTTCTTGCTTTGTAATTGGGTAAGTTAGCCATTCATTATAGATAGAAATACTAAAAGCCTTTTGACTACTAGTAAGTACCTTTACTACGATCCTTATTCACTCTTTTAGAAAGTATCTAACAATTCAATCCAGTAGTCAATATAGTATTAATAACTGCTACTTTAAATTTTGAGCTCGAATTTTAAAATTTCAGCAGACATTTGTGTCGCTGGTGTTGTATCTTGATTCTATCGTGACGATAGCTCATCCCATGATTGCTATCCTAGTATATCTTATGAGCAAATTTAGCACATTAAAATGTTAGAAACGATTATTACTTAAGCTATCATCCGGTTTATGTCATATATTGCTACCTATTAATTTACTCAAAGTATGAAAGGTTAAGGCATCTTATGGTTGATGACGTATATTGCCAGTAGAGATTATGTTGCTATTGATGTACCATTTAATTTTGATTTTTGATTCATATCACAGTGGCATAATGTATGCTTTCGTTTCCAAAATTCAAGTTATAAATGGCTTCGATTTCATCGATTGCCTACTCTTTGGTGCGATGATTTCTGCTACTGATCCTGGTATATACGAGTGCACTCATTACACTGTTATACGAATTGCTTTATTACTTTAAATTCAAGTCGCTATAATTTACTGTATCCCTTCTATGCCATTTCCAACATTAAACAACTACAATAATATTGCATCTTGTCTTTGCAGTAACCGTCTTGGCAGTTTTTCACGATTTACATGTTGATTCTAAGCTATATGTTCTGGTTTTTGGCGAAAGTGTCTTAAATGATGCAGTGGCTATCGTTCTGTATCGGTTAGTATCTCGAAGCTTGGGAGTATTACCTAATTTAAAATGCTGAATTGACTTGGCGTTGAAAGTAACCACTGTGCTTAGACTTCACTATTCACCATCTATTTGGTCAAGAATCATCCTTTAGAATATGACCACTTTTAAATGACTTTTATACTGTAGTTCCATCTTGGCCTATTCACCGTACTCTGCCGAAGGAGTAGATACTTTTAATGCTGCAGGTTTTTTTCGGTCGGTTGGGGTTTTTCTTGGTATATTTTTGGGTTCATTTGCTGTTGGATGCATCATGGGATTATTAATGGCTTTGATATCCTTTCTCTATAAATGATACAGCAATATTCGTGTTTTCATTGCTAAAAATTTTTGTTATTCACGATTTTGTTGGCTTTATACGGTAATTGACCTTAACGAAGATGCACTTTACCAAACTAACTCGTATTGGGAAATATCCATTACTTGAAACCACCATTTTCGCCATGATGTCATACTCTACTTTTTTAGTTGCAGAAGCAATGAAACTGACGGGTAGATCTACTATTCTTGATAGCAGCAAGAAGAAGAACTTGATATTTTGCGTCCATGTATCATTATGTTATGATTTTATAACATCGTATTCATTTTCAGGCATTGTTGCGATCCTATTTTGTGGAATTATCCAATCTCATTATACACATAAGAATCTATCTCTTGAATCGCAGAAAAGAACCAAGCAGGTAGAACCTTCTGCCTGATATTTTTTCTCTCTTAAGATTGGCTCGTGAGTGAATTTAGTCATGCTAATTTTGGCTTTCTTTTATCATCTCTTTGGATTCTTGTAGTTTTTTGAACTTTTGAACTTTATTGCCGAAAAGTTCATATTCTCTTATATGGGACTTTCAGTTTTCGTTTTTCCCTATCATCGTTGGAATATTGGTTTTATTAGTTTTGCATTCGTATCCTTGAGATATAGTGTATGCCATGCTTATAGGCTATCCATTTGATATTTAATCTCTAATGCCTCATTTTAAAATTAGAGAATACCTTGTGCGATCCTTAACAAAATATCAAGCTTGCAATCTTTGCTGGTCGCCTTTGTAATATTTATCCTTTAAGTTTTATTTTAAACAGAGTCCGACAAAATAAAATCAGCTGCAATCTGCAGCATATGATGTTATTTGCAGGTAACTTTATCTTAATTGTTAGTTGCACTAATCGTTGTATTAGGACAAACTTAAAATTCCTGTATAACTAACTACTTTTACATTTTGGACGATAGGATTACGCGGCGCTATTGCATTTGCCTTGGCTATTCGTAATACATCGAGCGAAAGCCGTCAGCTAATGTTTACCACTACATTAATGATTGTCTTTGCCACAGTCATTTTCAATGGTGGGGGCACCGGGCAAATGCTATCGCTACTTAAAATTCGGTAAGATTCATTGGATAGAAGAAGAAAGTGAATTGAAGTACCGTTACGTATATCGAATTTAACCTAAACTATGCTGATGTTTTAATGATAGAACTGGCGAAAATGAAATGGAAGAAAATCAGGTAATACTCCCATTCTTAATGCCTTGATGATAATGAATAGAGATGCAAATTTCCTACGATGATTAAACGATGAGATTCATTAAAGGAAACTTCGGTGAAATCAACGCCCAATAATCCAAATGCTTCCTCACCCAATCCTGATCTATCAGCTTTGGCAAATGCGTGGGTCCAATTCGACAAAAAATATCCAATGCTGATAGTTTATCAATTCTTATATTTGCCTATCTTGCACTTTCGATTAATGTGTCTAGGATATTGTTGGTTATTATCAACCAATTGCGTCTGCTTTACCTTAACCCCTAGACAAGTATATGTTGCCCCTATTTTGTCGTAGCTCAACTATTCCCGTTGAGGGTACACGGCTTCAATGGTTTGGTGGTATTTTTAGCAGGCGATATGGGACCGCAGAGAGGGTAAAATAGCATTGCAACGTTTTTCTGTTGCCATGACTTTTTCAATTGCTTTGATCTATTCTTGCTATGGAGATCAAATGCTTCGTCGTTGGTAACATATCGCCAATGACTTGATGAAATTGAACTAATGTTTTCGTCTGCTTCTTATTTAGACAATTGATCATGACTCATTGATTCAAAATAGCGAAATATCGATCCATGATGCAGAACGAAGGAATGGCACTCAGGAGTCATCGCTATGATTTGCTTTCAATAAGGGTTGAAAAGTTTCCACGCGTAACGATGCAGTAGCTCTATCAAGGCATCGATGCTAGGCTATTATGAAAATATAGTACTAGCATACTATTTTTTAAATTAAAAAAATGCAAATTACGATACACTTTATCTAAGGTCTTAATAAGGTTGCCATTACCAATGTATACGGTGTAGTTATATATTATAATATAGTTGATAGCTAGTAAAAATTCTCGTCTAGTTTTAGCATCTTGTCAGTAGAATCACTATCGATCGCATACTATAGGTTTCCCTAAAAATCCTCGATGACCTTGCAATAAAATTTAAATCCAATGAAACGTCAGCGGATAGTAATAGCCTTTTATTATAATTCATCGGGAGTCCTATGTTAATCAAGGATAAGAGCTAACCATTATAGAAAAACTTGGCAGTATTATAGGCGACTGATGAATGCATCTTTAACTACCTATCAAGTCAAAAATCACTTCCTAATGAGTACAGTGGCGCCTTCTACTGGTACGTACTCGTATGTACCACATTTTACCTTCTACTTTCCATGAGGCATAGATGATAAATGATTAGATTATTCTTTTACTTTTAGTCGATAACATTATTATAACTATCAGGATAAAAAATATGCGCGTACTGTAGGATCTCCTATACAGTACTAGCACGAATAGCTATTGAATAGAGTAGTTAATGTTGTTAACATTACAGATCTACCGCAAATGAAAAAGGAACGAAATGTAAACTACGGTCGACAATATCCTTTCTTGATGATCAATTTGATATGAGTCGGTGGGCGTGTAGTTGGCTTACTGCTTCAAAATGCAATCCAATTATGCAATTGAGTAGCTCATTTATTTTGGCTGTGCAAGATGTACTGTATTATGAGCTGGACAGGGTATTGATAGCATTTAGGCTGTGCGCTGGACATTGGACAGCGCAGATGGAAGGGGGCTTTTATGGCTATGCCTTAATATATTATAGAGAATTCCTGAAATAGATTAGTTCATTACGGCAATACAAAGAGGTATCAAGTAATTTGATCATGCATTAGCAAGTGCCATTGTACAGTTGTAGGGTATAGTAGTTTGCGCATTGATATAGGCTATCAGGCTATGCAATATCACCAACATGGATAATATTTTGGAATACTTTGTGTATGTACAGTACAGAGAATTCTTGAGATCGATTAATTGATTACAGCCAAGCAAAAGAGACATCAAAACATCCAGCAAGTGAATTTGCCCAGTAGTTTATTCATTTTTGGCTATACGATGTGCATTGCGCGCTTGACGAGCATGGGTACAGTTGATTTTTTTGGTTGTACTTTGATTGCACTGAAAGTGGTTTATTCATTTTAGCTCTGCAACAGGTATAACGCTATGTTGTGCATATTCGTTGTTTAGTATGGGGAGGGGATTGGATCAGCCTTGGTACAGAGCGTTGTTGATTCACAATGATGAATCAGTAAGACAGCCTCTAACTATATTAGTTCTTGCCATCCAGCAAGGGGATGTATACTATAATTCATTCGACGAATTTCGTTTCTGCCCATGGTTTGCTTGGTAGGAAGAAAAGTTGGATCAGCTTAGCATTATTTTAAAGCCAATTTGTATGCAGTCGACCCTAAACGAGGCGAGAACGGTCGATAGCAAGGTTGAACTTGGTACAATTGTAGTCGTATCAATCCTAATATTATTGCACTGCCGTGAGTTTTAGTACTAGAGTTGAATTCTGAATTAAGTATAGAATGACTAATATTCACTACCGTAGGCTATAATACTAGCGTAGTTTAATGGGATTAGTTGCTCGTGCCTTAGGCAAAATATAGCAATTCAATGGCCGTGCTAAGCGCGTGGAAGCGTGATAATGTTACTACCATTACTAAATAGGTCATGCGCTACGATTTATAAGCGTATCCAACGAGTCGATCCGCCCGTTCTTCTTGTTCATAATTTGTTGTAAATACAGTTACGGTTGGTTTTCATTGTAAGAAAGCTTAATTCGGGTTTTAAGTCCAGTTGGACAGATTGATTGTGGACCCTTAAGAATGGACTTGACTACAATTATACTATGCTACCTTTGATAACAGCAAGTAATATCTCAGTTGTTTTAGAGCAGGGAAGACTGGCAAGCCTAGAATGGAGAATGCTCGAGCTCTTCGAGTAGCCCGATCGAGTTACTCTACAGTATCGGTATTGGAACATTTTACTAAGTACTGTACTGTCAGGGTGGTAGCAACATGAAGTAATCGCTACTTGTACCACAGACTTTTAAGTGGAAAATCTCTAGAAATCCCAGATTATACATTCATCGACTACTCAATACAGGAAATCCCAGTGATATATTGAATAGTCCATTCTCTCTTTGGTAGTTCATGCGATGACGAAGTTTTTATTCTGCTTGAATTCTAGCTGCTGGAATTTTTTAGTTATCGCCTTTGACCGTTCTGTCGGATTGAGTAGTTTATGAAAGCACTGTTGTTTTTACCGGTAGTGACAAAAATTATGATCGAAAGCGGGCTACACCTAGTATACTGTGCATTAATATAGTCACCATGAACTGCGGGCGTACCAGTTCTCACAGTACAGTACAACAGGGTGTCGTGAGTATCACGACGCTACAGTACTCTGCACTGTCGTTTTTACCGGTAGTGACAAAAATTATGATCGAAAGCTGGCTATACCTAGTATATTGTGCATTAATATAGTCACCATGAACTGTGGGCGTACCAGTTCTCACAGTACAGTACAACAGGGTGTCTTGAGTACCGATGCTACAGTACTCTGTACTGTACGCACATACTGTAGACATACAGTAGACCATAAATGTATTGAACCGAACCTTTCTCGAGTCTAACTGTAGTACAGTACTGTACGGTACAGTATGTACAGTACAGTATCGTGGTGCCTGGCTCAGTACAGTACAAAGTACTGTGTCCACTCTGTCCTTTCCGCCCATTCTGACTCCGTTGAAGACTGCCAGTAGTGCTACTCAATCATGACTCTTGTCCTTGAGGTACAGTAGAGTAGGGTAACGTAGATTGGCATTTACTCTGTTCAAGCTAGACTTTGACTCGTCCATATAGAGTTCCATATTGGGTTCGATTCGGTACTGTACTGGGGTACCGGGCTTGAGGACGCATTCATCTCCGATCCGATCTAGGACTTGATCTCAAGTAGAAAAGGAATCCCGCGGCCATTCCAATCAATTTATTCCGATCTTTATTTCAAGATTGCAGTTGTGTAGTGCAACATCCAGTCGTTCAGGTCCCACCATGTCGCTCATTAATGGCCAGTCTATCCTTAGTTTACTCATCCTACTCACTGCTTTGCCTTATTCTATCCAACAATCGACCAATTATGAAGGCAGTACCGAGCTGCGTGTAGAAGGTCAACATCGAATGGACAGTGTCATGTTGATGGCGCTACTCTTTCTCCTGTTAATTACCGTTTTAACCATTTGGAGATTTAAAGTCAAACGAATTCGATTTATCCATGAAACAGGATTAGCCATGATTTACGGTAAGCCTTTTTCCATGCACTGTCTTTATGGTGGATGGCGTCGACATAGTCTTGATTGTGCACGACGGTATGCAAGCTACAATGCATTGGAGGATGATCCAATTGGCGTGTTTGTTTCTTCAAAACATTCTCGGCTACGGCTGGATTCATCTCTTGCACAGCCATCCCTTTTGGATATCCATTTTCAGTCTTCATCTTCAATCAGATGTTCGAAATTTGTCATTCTGATGACATCATAGTTTCAGTTTATGTTGACTGAAATGCTTTACATAACTTGTCCATTCCGTATGCTCACTGTTGTCTCTCTACATTGTATACTTGTAGTCATTTCCATAGCGAAAGGATGGGGCACCCTGTAGCTCTCCATCCATTCGGAAATGGATGGAGTAGCCTAATATTGCCTAACACCGTGTTGAATTCAATGTTGTGTTTGAACTCGGCAGGGCATGACTCCTTGCAACAAAGATATAACTCACATCAGTCTAGCCGTTTACTTCTCCATCATCGTTCTTACTTGCAGTCTAAACTAATCCGTTGTTGTTTACGTTTTGTACATGCCAATAGGTTTAATCATGGGAGCGCTAATCCGGTATACAAGCCATCCCAATCAGACTGGACTGACCTATACTTGCCCTGTTAATACCACCAATAGAACAATCCCTTCAGAGCTTTATGTCGTTCGCGACAATGTTACTTATGCCTACAAGTTATCTGCAACTTATAACAACGAAACGCCACGCGTCCCCCAATCACAACTAGTCGATAGGGTAAGTTCAACCATGATTATCTGATGATGTAGGCCATATTGGGTAGTTTATCTTTTTCCATGCAATGATGGTTGACATGGACAACTTCATTAGCTAGTGGATTAGAGTAAAAGAAGGATAAAACATCAATCAATGTTTCAACCGTTCTCAGTCCATTTCGAAATTTCACCTCTACCATAGAGTATAGAATTTTGTTATCTGAAAAGAAAGAAAATTCTTACCATTATCTAATCGATCCATTTTTTTTTTCTTATCTTACTCTTATAAACAATTTTGGTAATCTTGCTTTGGAATGGGGCAGGTGGTATTTGATCCTGAAGTATTTTTTTATGTCTTACTCCCTCCAATTATATTCTATGCCGGCTATGATTTGAGACGTGTAAGTTTACGATATCGGTTAGGGTCAAATTGACACTCAGCTTCGACATCAATCACCTCTGTGATTTCATACTCGATAGCGTGTTAAAAACGATATTGTTAAAAAATGGGATTAATTTGAGATTGTATAACTTATTCAGCAAGTTTATTGCTTTGCCATCAGTTTACATAAAAGAGAGCTGTAAAACCACTAATCCTTCTTAAATTATTAAACAATTGGGTATTATTGCTTTGACTTTGATACTCGTAGAGGCATTTCTTTCGCAACTTTGGATCAATTCTCTTATTTGCTATGATTGGTACAACCATCTCGTGCTTTGTCATTGGGTAAGTTATCGACTATTTTTGCTGTACATCCTGAAATAAATAATGCTGCCGAATCAAGTGTGAATGCCAAGTCTTTAGTATTACAGTCACATTCATTCTATTGCAAACAACATATCTTTAGCACTGCAGTAGATGATAAAATTTAATCTTGATGATGATCGGTGATTGATATATTACAGTATAGATAGGCTTTGATTTATGGAACTGTAAGAGTGTATTGATGCAACTCACTACTTGTAAAATCGATCGGCATAATGATACCGTATAACACTTCTTTTTTCTACTAATTATATAGTGGTATTATGTATGCATTTGTGTCAAGAATTCGAAGTGTAAATGGCTTCAACTTTGTCGATTGTCTACTCTTTGGAGCGATGATTTCCGCTACTGATCCCGGTATAGCACTGTTATAGAATGAGTCTGGTTGCATTAGAAATTGAATCGCTGCTTCGCATAGTATTAACTCTCTCATCATGCATTGCTTATTAAACAAATACCATTTTTGGTATACTTGCAGTCACTGTCTTGGCCATCTTTCACGATCTACACGTCGATTCCAAACTGTATGCTCTCGTTTTTGGTGAAAGTGTCTTAAATGATGCTGTAGCCATTGTTCTGTATAGGTTTGTAGCTTGAATAAAGTGCTTAGTTAAGCTCTGGTTGTCTACAATATGCAAACATTCATCCACCATTTGTCAGATAATCTAACCACTGTCAATTCATTTTTGCTACCTCTATAGCTCCATCTTAACTTATTCGCCGTACTCTGCCGAGGGCGAAGGTGTCTTTGATGCTGGAGCATTGTTTCGATCGATTGGCATCTTTATTGGCATATTTGTTGGCTCTTTCGGTATTGGTTGTTTAATGGGACTACTCACGGCTTTGATATCCTTCATTGATGTTTACAATGGTTTAACAGTAGTGTTTACGAATTTGGCCAGTTGTCATCTGTATTCATGTTTTATTGTTGACCTTAATAAATGTGCACATTACCAAACTAACAAGTATTAAGGAATATCCATTACTGGAAACTGCCATTTTTGCCATTATGTCATACTCCACTTTCCTTGTTGCTGAAGCATTAGGGTTGACTGGTAGGTTGAAAATTGATAACTACAGTGAAAAGGACGATTTTGTATTCTATTTGAGTACATGCATAACCATTGATATTTGCATTGATCAATCATTTCAGGTATTGTCGCGATTTTGTTTTGTGGAATTACTCAATCACATTACACTTATAAAAACTTATCGGATGAATCCAAGAAAAGAACCAAACAGGTTGAACTTTATGTACTCCGACTTTGTCAATCTTTTGCCGAGCAATCGAAAATTGAAATCATCCTAATTTTAAATCTGATTTATAATCTTGTTGATTTTGATAGTTATTTGAAGTCTTCAACTTTTTAGCCGAAAACTTCATATTTTCCTACATGGGACTTTCGTTTTTCGTCTTTCCTTATCATCGTTGGTACATGGGTTTTATCGCCTTTGCATTTGTATCCTCCTCAGATAGTGTTATTTACTTTTTATACACAACTACCTTGTTTATCTTAAGATTGGCAATGTTGCAGTCAATGATTGAGGTGTATTGTCCTTTACGGAAAATCTAGCTGGCAATGTTTGTCGGTCGTCTATGTAATGTTTATCCGCTTAGTTTTATCCTGAATAGAGCCCGCCGAAGTAAGATTGGCTACAATCTACAGCATATGATGTTCTTTGCAGGTAATGCTGCGTGCATTGTATTTATACATTATAGGGTCTAGACCTGTCAAACACTCATTAAATTTTGCTTACTGGGACCGATAGGGTTGCGTGGTGCGATTGCATTTGCTTTGGCTATTCGTAATACATCCAGTGAAAGCCGTCAACTAATGTTTACTACAACATTAATGATTGTATTCATAACTGTCTTAATCAATGGTGGCGCAACTACGCAAATGTTGCTATTACTTAAAATCCGGTAAGATTAAATCAATAGCGACGTCATGGCATTTGCTAAGGTGACAATATCATAACTTTAATATTACTGAAATTATAACAGAGTTGGCCAAGAAGAAGAAGAAGAAGAAGAAGAAGAAAGCCAAGTATGTGCATCAGTATCCAATCATTGAGCTGATTCTACTGTATAATATTGTTGTAGTAATACAAATTTTAACGTTGATCTATATTGAATTTCAAATTTGTTTCAGAAATCGTTGCCCGAGCCTATGCCAAATAATCCATATGCAGCAACCTCATCAAGCGTTGGTGATCGATCTGCATTGGCTAGTGTTTGGATCAATTTTGACAAAGGATATCCTTTCAAAAAAGATATTTCATTACCAATTTAGGATTTTAAATTAATTATGAATTTATTGCCATTAATCGATTGTTTTCATGATCCTTAACTTCTTCGTAAATATATGTTGCCAATATTTGTTCATAGCTCAATAAATCCTTTTGAGGGTACGCGATTTCAACGGCTTGGTACTTGTTTTAAGACGAAATATGAGACCTTAGATAGGGTAACGTGACAGATAACGTATTGTCAGTACAGTAGTCCTTATTTTAGATGAAAAATTTTGCATCATTCTTGTGTCCGCGATTAAAATCCGGCAAATTTTTGACAATTTTATCTGGTTTAGGACTCAAACTTTGAGACAAGTGACGAAGACTTACTGGTGGGAAATGATGAACTTTCTGTCCGAAACACGTCCAATATTTCCCCAGGAGTAGAGGAAGCTAATGGCGGTAGTGATCATTCAAAGGCCATGCTAACTATATCAACAAGCGATTTAGGACAAGGAACTGCAGCTTAGATATCATTTGCAATAGCAATTAATATATACTGCTATCATTATAATGATTTTATCCACGTAACTTAATTGATCAGTATATCAAAAATCACGTCATAGTTACATTTTTAAACTTCAAAGATGTTTTTGCCGAAATTTTTTCGGATTATATTAAATGCCTTGTATTAAGCATTGCATAGTTATGCTTTTATACTGTAGAACCCAGAATATACAATCTTTCAACCACTGTCGATAATAGCTATTTTAGGCTTGCGTTGTACATTTAATAGGTGAAGTAGATGAACGAGTATTATATGTTTGGAACACTTGTTTTTGGTGACAAGAACAATATCATAATGGATCTACTGTAATTTTTGTATGAATATGTCTTTGTAATTACGGCCAGACTCAACTTTTGGGTGCCATTTACTACAGGCGGTTAAGCCCAAGAGCAGACAGATATTGACGGTTATCCTTGTTGATATTATTGTAGAATTTATAAATTGGCTACTAGAAAGTCATCCGTAGTTAGCGTAGAATAGCTTACTGTTTATTATTATTAGCTTTCTATTTCTCAACTATACAATGTACTGTACTAGTTGTATTCTATCGCTTTGCCAGTCAATTTTTTGGCAGCTGCCGTCCTGACGATCAGGAACCAACAGAAAAAAATTTTTTGTCTTATGTTTATCCTTACAGGAATGATGACCATACTGATGTGCCAATACCCAACTTGGACTTCAAACTATTTGCTAATTTGTATAATACACGTAATCTGATTTTTCTGCCTAAGATTGATTCGATCTTAGCAATCGAGGGTTAGGGCACTGTTTGGTCAATTTCGTTTTGCATATAATGTTTTCTAGAGAATCGACGATTCAATATGATGGTGTACTCGTACGAAAGATCAATTAATGTTTAAGAAATTTTATGCAGCTTTTGAAATAAAATCATTTCACCCATCCTTGGTATTTGCTGAATATCAAACTATTGAGGACTAGTATTGCAGACTGTTACTCTTTTATCGGCCAGGTAGATTCGTTTTCATGCTCATCATGAATACCAAACAACCTGACTAAACAAGCTAAACAATGTTGCCAAAATAGAACGCTGTCAAATGTTATTTTTCAGGACTTGATAGCGAAATAATAGTTTAGATCTTGAGGTTCCACAAATGCAGTAGCAGAACAAGATTTAACTCATCAAAGGCAATAATAGGGCACGCATCAGAAATTTCATTCTAGAATTTATTTACTTATTAGTTTTCACACCACTTTTTTTATGCAACGAACAGAAAATTAATACCAAAATTCAGTAATCTAACCATTAAGTTGTATTATCAGAGTTAATGTAATTTACTGTATTAGCGGAAACAACCGCCTTGATAATATAATATCATTTAGGAAGAGTTTCTACGACAGGGTGAGCATGAAAAACATAAATAATACCCTTTTAACTTTATTATTTATTGTATTAAAGATTCATGAAAATTGATTAGTTACTCATCTATTTCCAAACTCTTAAGTGGAGCAGTTATAAATTATTATAGCCTAACGAATACAGAATTATGCAGAATATTACGTGAAAAAAAACTTACTAGATTGATGATCATCCAGAATATTGGTTATATGCAGAGCAGTGTGCTTAAATTGTCTGTTTGAGCGACATAGAGTTATGATCCGATATTAATCTTGTTATGCAGTAGATTTGAACTCGGATACTGTCATAAACTCTATCGAGGACTGGAATTTAACGTATTTAATGAATGATAAGCTCATTTGAAATTCAAATATTGCATGAATTTTTTTCTACAGTCAGGAAAATTGATTTTGTCTCTACTTTAAAGTGTTAATGCTAACATCCTTTACTCTTTACTTTCATAAACGACATTTTCATCGGAGCCTTTATTATTAGCAATGGGAGCTTTAGTCTCTTCCTGAATCACTGCTGATTTTGACTTCTTGCTCAATGAAAATAAGACTTTACCAACATTCTTTCTGTCATGGATTCGTAGGAAAGCATCAGAGAACTAATTGGATAAATGAAAGTAAACAGTTATGACTATAGTGTCCTCATGCTAACAGAAACTATTTCTACAAACTATCTATCTACTGCCGCTATTTGTGGTAGAAATGGTCTTACATCTTCTAGGGCATGAACAGAATCAATCTTTGGCTTGATAATGCCGTCGTTATACCAACGTAAAATGTCAGCAACTGCTTTTGGAGCAAAGTCTTTATAGTATTCAGTCATGATGGTCCCAAGATGCACACCACCAATCATTTTATTACCATTCATCAAAGCTAGTGGATCTTTACCAGCTGCTGCATTGCTTGCCCACTACAGCAGAGATAGATCAATTTTTAAGATGATGATGAGAAATTTAAATTATCAATGAATAAATGGGTAAGATGGCACTTTAAATGAAAGCAACTTACTGTCTTGGCAAGACGAAGGACATTGCGTCTTTCACCAGTGATGGCATTAGCAACCCCTACGTTACACGGCAAAGCAATTTTATTGTTTCAAATAGGCAGATATAAAGTTAAAACTAAGATGGGCTCTGAGAAAGTGATTGAAACATCCAATCATACCGTAGACAATTTGTTTTCCAAAAGGTTTAGTTAACCGGTAGCATTTTTTACTATCTGCGCCTCCCAGAGGGTCCAAAACAAGGTCAACACCATTTGGCTCTAGACTAGAAAATCACGAAAGTCCAAATTTCAAATTATAGTGCGATTGCCGCTTATATACAGTAAATGTACAATGATATAAAAATCTAGTTAACACCCAGTTGAAAACATTAGTCTTAGAATATTTTTATTTGCTGTCAGGTTATTAACTAATCAGTTGCATCTATCACATAAATATATACTGTTGGTTTCCGTAAATTGCTGCTTACAGAAGTAGCTCCTTAACATAATCTGACTTTTTGTAATCGATGAGTTGCTTATAACCAGCTGCCTTGGCATCTTCATGCTGCAATTATTGCAAGATAGTTTTTTGAGATTAGTTAATGTGTTAATGCAAATGTAAATTGCTAACCACTGCCGAGCTCTTGTAATAATTTTATTATCAACTTTACCTAGAATTATTTATTTATGAGTAGAGCATGTATGAAAATTCTGGGTGATCACAATTTATATATCAATATTTTATTATGAGTATAGGGAATATAGGATGGTAAGTTTATTTAATAGTAATAAATACCATCAACAGTATTCATCTACTAATTCAGGGATACATACTATAGTTTGCTCAAAGGTCAGAAATTTTTTTCGATCTTTGCACTTGAGTAGTATATTCTTACTATTCTAGGTCGTGAATAGCTGGATAAACGTACCTTTGATGTAGAGCAAGTGCCATAAAGTTTGACGTTAGGCACTGTTTTACATAACTGACCAACTGCATGTCCCTGTAATGAAAGCAAGTAGAAAAAATGTGAAAATTCGTCGAGCATTAGAATCGAGTTTATCAACTTATTATTAGGATCAGAACGGAATAATTCGCATAAATGCACATACTACTCCTCCTGCAGCCATGTGGCATAGTACTGTATTTCCTTCCTGTAGGTGGCCAAACGTAAATAGCAGCAAGTAAGCTGTGAGGTAGTTTACCAATAAAGCCGCACCTTCTTCGTAACTCATGTTCTCTGGCATTGCAAATACAAGATCAGCTGGAACGAGGGCATATTCACTCCAACCACCAAAATTATTGCAAAATCCAATGACCCTAGTACCAATCTGAAGCACAGGATAGAAGAGTCGCACGAGTTTTAGCAGATTGACGAAACGTTGATTTCTTAACCATGCACGGCACAACAACAGTTTTATGACGAGTATAATGGCTGAATAAAACCATTTAGACCCTCTGAGCTGACTTTTAATACAATTTTAAAACTTACAGCGGGCTGTGTTACTCCAATACCATGCGACTCTACTATTCCTGATACTTCATAACCCAGAACGCAAGGTGGTTTAGGATTGATGCGATAGATTCCCTGACGGGCCATCATATCAGCAAAGTTAATGCCGCTACAATAAATAAATAATTTAAAAAATGCCACAGTTAAAATTATGCTATGTCTGTTGAGTTGAAATTATACTAGTAAAATCAAATAAAATATTATAACGAAACCATCATACTGGATTAGATCATATATAGCTGTAACAAAAACACTTTTAATTTTGATAAAACTAAGGAATAATTTATATTGTTATAAGTAGAATTTAAATTGACTCTCTGCTCAAATTTACCTTCCGGCATAAAGACCGTTATTATATAGGAAATAGGTTACTTTAACTATTTTTACTTCTTTTATAATTTCGACAACATAAGTAAAATATTATACTATGTTTTTACGGATTAGTGTATTTGACTAGAAGCATCATAATATAATGCGTAAATGAAGAGATATAAGTAAATGAAATAGCTGATAGATATAGAAAGTGAGTAGCTGTGGCCAGATAATAATTCAACGCAATCTTCCCGTATTGAATGACTACGAACCACGCAATGATTCTATTTTATCATAAGATTCCTCTAACGCGTACCAAGAGATATTGATAGAGTAAGAATACCTTGTAACTTAGTAGGCCACTCATAATTCCCATTATTGAAGGGAACAGCGATTTTATCTTAGGTACAATTACTCGAAGATGAGAAGCATTAATATCAATCCATTTAAAGTAAACTAGTAGCTCAAAGCTTTGCCGATCACAACCATATTACCTTGGGAAAAACTCATAAGAGCTAAGAAACAGCGCAAGAGACTGCTTAGAACTATGTATGATTATGATACTCCTATTTCGCATGTTTACAATCACAGTTTGCAATAAATTTGCTACAAGGGGTATTTCATCTAAAGAGATTGAAACCTAATACATAATAGACAAGTAGCTGCTTAATATGACGATATGCTTATTCCTCTAGACTAGTAAGACAACAGCAATGGCTGGAAGATTCGCGATTAATGATATCCTGTTGATGCTTGGAAATGTCAGACAAAAGAAATAGTTAGGAGATGCGTAATGAATGATATTCTACTAATGCTTGATTATATAAGACAACAGCAATAGTTTGAGATTCACGATTAACGATATCCAGCTAGTGTTTGACTACATAAGACCAATAGTAGCTGATTCACGATTAATTATATCCTAGTGATGATTGACTATATCGGACAACAGTAATCGTTGAAAGGTTGACGATTCATGATATTCAGCTAATGCTTGACTATATAAGACAACAGTAATAGCTGGAAGATTCGATATTAATGATTTCCAGCTGATGTTTGACTATGTCAGACTTTAGTAATCATTGGAAGATTGACGTTTCATAATATCCAGCTAATGCTTGTCTATTTAAGACACAGTTATATCTAGAAAATTCATAATTAATGATATCCAGCCGATGTTTGTCTAAGTCTACAACAGCAATAGTTGAAAAGTTCACAATTCATGATATCCAGCTGATGTAAACGTCATTAAATAGCACGTGATTGATACCTCTAAACGAATCCTCATTGCAATTTTATGACTCATAGTAATAGGTAAGCAAGTATGAGATTTACTGATGAGTGCTTCTAAAATAGAATGACATCATTCTACAAAGTCTGTCTGCTATTGTTGATGCTGAAGAGACATAAGAGCTGGAGAAGGAAATAGGCTAAACATTTGCATATCTCAAAATTTTCCAATTGACTGTTTCTTTGGACGATTTGGTGCTCATCCGTCGATGAGAAAAATGTCATGATTAAGATCAAATTTTGCAAACATTTTATATTCGAGCAAGCACTTGTGCGTGATTGCATGAGTAACGTTTGCTAAGTGCATAGAATACGAGCAATTTGTCTTCTAAACTACGAAAAATTAGCTAGGATGAATAATATAAATAGAAAAGAGGCGTAATGCATTGCTTAGCACGGTTATAAAAGAACAAACTGAAAAATTCTGACGTGGCATTTGAAGTGCTGCCACAAAAAGAGAAAGTAAAAGCATCCTTTACAATCCATTTTTATCTTACTCTTGCGATTGATATATCTTAGTCATAGGATTGTGCTTAGTTTATTAGAGAAGGCTGTTACATAGATGCAAATAATCTGTAATAGTGAACAATTTTCTTTCAATTGATTGAACACTTTATATGAATTCTAAAATAATTAATAAGCGTCTTTATCTGCTATTGGGACTGATTACGGTAGAATTTAAAAATAATTGTATTGACAACTTAGTGATTGAGTAGCGCAAATAGCGATTTGATTAATTTAAATCAAGTCCAAATAGGATTGTTGGGATCTGTTATTCGAAATAAATTGGTAAACTGCACTAAAAAGTATAGACACCAGTCAATATTGGATTAATTTAATGGAAATCTGACAGTCTAAGGATTTAGTCCGAAGTAATTTGCAATAGTTTGTGGCATTCCTTTAATCGTGATGAAAGGAATAGATGGAACAGACCTAGAACTCCTAACGGATAATTTGTAAAAAATCAGATCACGATATTGCTATTTCAAATCAAGACAATTGCCTTGATCTTCAAAAATGCATGGCAAGTTTTTTCCGTCGAACATGTCAGTAAAGTCTAGATATTTTAATTGAAGGTATAGTGTACTTTCAATTGCTAATTTATACAAACTTGGAAAGTAACGTCGATTTAGTCTTTACTGTACATTAAATTGCAGAGTCAGCTTGCCTAACTTATACTAATCCAATGGTTGTTCTTAATTTCGTATGGTGAATTTCTGTTTCATTTCATATCTAAAATTTCGTATACTTTATAGATGGTGCCTCTACGTATATTATTAAATTTCATCCAAAATGTTATTTTCTGAAACGAGGAACGAAACGTATAAACTACTTTAGAAATGATTTAATGCTGTATCTTTACCAATAAGAGCAGACTTGGGCAAGGGGTCTATTATTTGATCATGTCATTGATATGAATTCTTTTAGCCAAATACTTGTAGATTGATTATGAAATACTTGCATTCCTATAACACTTGCGGCATTTTTTATTGAAAAAAGTTTATAACGTAAAATACTATGATCCTCGTATCATTTCTTATGGTTTATTAAAAATAATGCATTACTACAGTCTTTTACCAAGTATATGCAGATTGCTTATAAAATTCTAATTGTATTGGCGGTATTTTATTTTGGAAAAAATTTGTAGTGTAGAATTCTGGTATCAATTTTTATGATTTAAAAATGATGTAATTACTAAAACCTTTTAGCAGATAGACGTAGATTATTTATAATATGCCTGCCTTCTTATTGTACTAACGATGCTTGTTTATTGGAGAAAAGTTGATCGTGCAGAATTTTATAATTCTTGTGTCGTTTCTTATAGTTTATTTTTTGTTAAATTCCAAGCTATTGCATTTATTTTATTACGATTTACTACCTAAATGGAAACCTACTATGGCTGCTATGGCTTTATTTCCATCGTAAGTTATATAAGAATTGAATCATTATGTTTCTCGCAAAAAAACCTTGTTTCCTCCAATTCGAGTAGAAAAATAATGTACTTGTTCAAAGGAAAGATCGATGCAATAAAATCTAGATTAAATTCAACTTGGAATGAAACTGTAATTTCTTACTTTTTCAGTGTAAATATCATTGAATGTGTTAGTTGCTTTCCGAAAATGACATCGTGGATATTTGCAGAGGAGATTGTGGTTTAATGAAATTGAGAAATATTGCGGATATTGTAGGTGATAAACTAGTGAGGGTATTACGATACCACCAATTTATTTTACATAGTATTGAATTCTTTTAGCCAAAGGAATTACACTATTGCTTTTATCGTTGTTTTTACGAGAAAATATCCGTAAAAGAAGGCAATGGGATCATAACTGTACTCATTGGTATAGACCTGATGTTGTTTACGCATTTAGCCATTTAGCTTAGAGATAATTCGCAAGCTGGAGGGTAATTCTGTATCACCAATTTAAGTCAAATAATCTCTAGGATTATTGCATATAGTTTAAAGGTGCTTACTACGAACCTATTTTCGACTTTAATTCTGATTTCTCCTTGTCGTGGCTCTTTTAATGGCCTATTTTCGATCTGCAATCTCTCTAGACTACCATAGCCCATCAGAACTAGTCTTCGGTTTGTAGCTGTGCTATTAGATTTTTCTGCCATTTCTTTATAACTTTGGCGGTTTATAACGTTAAAATATTTCGATTTTTCTTAGCAAGATCTGTAAGCGTGACACAAGAAAACAATAAGCATCTTTAACAATTTTAAAATTGTTAATTATCAATCTATCACTAATAGCGATCTTCTATCCTATTCTCAATCATGCAAATTAAAAAAATAAAGCTATAGCCATCACAATCGAACCTTGAGCTATCGCTGAACTTTGTTAAATGATGGTCCTAAATTGGAATACGAGCACATAAAATAATATTTTAAATTATGTTGTCAGAATGAGATAAGTTATACTAAGCTATCTATCGTATAAACCTTTTCATGCAATCAGAATTGTGGAAAACAATAATTTCACTGGAGGAAAAGGCGCTAGATGCACTTTAGGGCTATTATGTATCACAATAGCAAGTATTCTGGCGGTTAGTGCTTCCATCAATCATTAGGTATCTCGATGAAAATTTTATCCAATCCTGTTCAAATTCGCATCGATCATGCATTGGACAAGCCCTCCATCATTGCCATATCAATGAGAATATTGTTAGTCATCAATGATAAACATATGCCATCCATTCTATTATAAATGGTTCATTTATTGATTTAATTATCATGATAAAACCCAATAAAAACTGTAACGTGTTCTTCCAACCAATCCTAGGCTATTAATCATGCTGGATATTATAGCGTAAGTCCCTCAGCAGTTTACCCTTCCTATTCGCTGTCCATTTCCAAACTGTCTGATTCGATTCATAACTTCATGAATACTAGCATACCTGATGATGATGATTAAAACGGGTCAATATTGACCATATCCAGTCCGCCATCGTTGACGGTGTCTTTATTCGAATTCGTACGTATTGGATTTTGTGTAAAGACTGAGATAACAGAATGCTTGTTTATTATATGTCTTGGGCAAGATCAATATAAGTGTACGGAAAATGGATCTTATTGTAGTGATTTTACGATATAAAAGTATACCATTATTGGAATATTAAAATGAATGCACATTATTCGATGGGCATGAGCTGTTTCACATAAATTGCAAGCGGGTATTGCTGTGCATAAGCGAATAATCACAAGCTAACTAGCAAACACACCTAGTGCTAGAATAACTTTAGGATCTCGCATTGAATCGAGTCTTTTGAGAGTAATAGTGCCAGAATTTTATCAAAAAATAATTTTAATGATATCTTGGAGCTTTAGTATTATTGCTGATTCTAGCTGATTCATTCGCACGTTATTTTTTGTCTGTCTATCTGTCGTTATTTTCTCTCAATATGTGATAGGAAACCCGATACTATTGAGGGAGATTTTAATATGCTAGAATCAGGTTCATCCATTCATGCTAAGGGTTCTACGATTGCTATGTTTTAGAGTTTACCGTTCTTTTGCTAGTATTCCACATTATTATCTGGGATCATATCTAGCTAAGCCATGATCTATATCAAGAATTTCTCATATAGTATTACTATCATTGATGTAAAAGGAGTCAATTTCTTGTTGTCATAGGATTAATGATACCCCTTTGTTCCTTGGTTTTGAATTGGAATGATAAAGAAGTAGAATGCTATATCTACTTAAAGAATAAGCAACGAGCTAGATAGCTGAGCAATTATCTAATCCTCTCCTGTTGTTATCAATATAGTTATCTTTATGTACGACTGGTGAATAAGCAGCTTTATTACTGTATGCAATAAAACTTGTAAATAACATGAATGCTCATTTTAAATGAACTTTAAGATATGGAAATCTTGCTAAGGATATTGACTAGAAGGGGTATTCGATGCAACTGGAATTAATATCAATCGCGTTGAATTTATATATCATTGGAACAGTAAACGCGGATAAAGAATACAGTAACCGCTATATCTAGTTTTCCTCACGATATACGTAGTGTATAAGATTGAACCACTAGGCATTATTCACTGCGATAGAATATCTGCAAAGTAGGATGAAAAGAAGCTTCATTATTTGTAAACTTTGCATAATGACATGCATTCATTAATTCTTTTACCAAGGACTACCTGAATCTATCCCTGAGCAAATACAGTGACTTAAAGGGACTAATGACTAAAAGATTTCAAAATAGCTTCTTAACTAGAGCGATTATGTTCTTGAATAATCGATCCATCTAACCTACAAACACGATACACGCTTTAAAGGCTACATCATATTAACTTAGAAATAGACGAATTTATGTCAACTTTAACTCGTCATCAAGGTAAAAGAGGGCGGTTCTCATTAAATGATATGATCATTAATCTAGACGAGTAACCTTATCTCCATTGGCATGGAGCGCGCATTAGAGCATTGTCCAGCTCCAAGTGAGCAACGGTTATTGCATGAACCTTGAATTAGATTTTACGAGAGAGCTTCTAGGGAAAAACATTGGTTCGGTCATTTTAATTTAATTTACTTTAGCATAAGATACATCTGTAAAAGAGAGATGATTATGAAGATAGAGACACAAAAGAAACTACAGACGCTCGGATGTTTAGATACAGATACGGACGCACCCATTAATTAATTAATTAAAATGGCAAAAGTAGAATACTATAGAGCCAGCGACTTTTTTTCTTATTGTGTTAATTAATATATGCATGAGCTATAGAATTGGTTTTATAATATAAGCCGTAGTCACTGCTAAATTGACTTTATGTTTTTCAACGTCTTATTTTCTTTCGAGTTGAAGAACACTGTTGGTTAGGAAACACATCGAAGGTAATGTAGATCCATCGCCTTGCAGATTTCAATTTATTCCTGTTTAACATTTCCATGAATCGCGATTGAAAGCTGATTCATGTACAGGATCTTCTTCTGTTTGAATACAGTGATTATTTGGTTGCAGACAACAGTTTATTGACCTAACATTAAGACAACCTTTCTTTATTTCAGATAGATGAATATTACATACTCAACAATTGACACCGCTATATTCTCGGAAATAAAATAATAAGTTTTAGCGAATAAATTTGTACCGCAAGATACCTTTACACACGGTAAATTGATATTGCTGCTCGAATGAATGGCGATAACATGATTTATTTTGCGTGCGAATCGCCCATATTGCATAGATCAAAGTTGTCCCAAACTTTCCTAGTATCGAAATATCGTAAGCTGAAAATGGCTCAATATGCCCTTTAACGTTTATCTTTGGAAAAATTGAATTGCTTCATAGGATAAAACAAGTTATTACCAAGAACGACAATCTATTTGTCAGCATTAATCCTTGAAAATTTTTATTTACTAGTGACTTAATTCTCCATGGCTAAGCTTAATTTTTATTTCGATCCGCTATCGGAACCTTGCAGATCTGTGCAGTTATTTTTGGAAGCTAACAAGATTCCATATGAGACAAAACATACAGACTTAATAACAGGTAGCTCTCCAAGATAGCATTTATTTGCTTTAAAATATGCTTTGTTCAAACTCGAATAAACCACCATTCTATGTTCAACAAGATACAAGAGAATCTCTTTATTTTAATGTATCCGAGAAGCTGTAAAATCTACCTACGCGATTTGACGTGGACAGTCTTTCAATTTTCACGTTCAAAATAACAAACTCCTTCTATTAAGAACTATTTTTAACGCTTATGATAATTTATGCTAACAGTGTACAAACATGCTTTCTAAAATGACATAAAGTTATGACTTTGTAGAACTGGATACAATAGGACAGATGGAACAAAATTTGAGGAATCTGATTGCCTTAGCACAGTATAATTGATTAGAATCCATCTCGATCCCTTAATCGAATTTAGGCAACGATACGCATTCCCTTTCTACCTTCTAAAATATTTAAGCTTGTGAAATATTCAATGTCATTACCCAGATAAGATATTACTTCAGAGCCCTAGCTTTTGCTCTTTGATAGCGATGATATGGACATTACGCCTGCTGATTACTATCCATGCATTAACTCAATGATCATCAAATTTTATATCCGCTTTCTGATTTCTTTCAGCTGCTACTCGAACGGAGGAATACAGGAAAATTAGTCCAACTCAGACTGTGCCTGCTATTGTACACGGAGAATTTAAACTGTTCGAGAGGTAATAATTTCTTTCTTCCGTTATATATATATTTATTATTAATAGGAGTCTTGCTGCTAATATACAGTACTTGTATATATGCAAATACTTCGATATTAGACCTAAACTACGCTGACGTTTTTCATGTGCTTTCTACCTTCGATCAGTAGAGTATTTTTATTTACTAGATCTAATCACAATCCCTCGATTGTGCTTATTGTGCCATGCATGATAGCTCGATTAATATTCCAGGTAGATTATTAAATGGCTGTTCTTTTCCTTTTACGGTGATTAGTGTTGCCATCTTGCAATATCTAGCTGGTGCATTCTCAACACCAGACCATTGGTATCCTAGCGAAGCAAAGAAACGAGCTCGGATTAATGAATATCTGCACTGGCATCACTTAAACTCGAGATGGAAGGGAGGCTTGCTGGTAGTTATGAAATACGTGAGTTTGATTAGGAAATAATTCCTACGTGGTCACACTGTGCCATGCTAAACTATCATTCTTACTTGTATGTCCTTTAGATTTATTTACCCCATTTCTATAAGCAAGAGGTTAGCGAAGAGGATAAGAAAGGCTCGATTATTGCTCTAAAGCAAACGTTGGACACATTTGAAAACTATTTCTTGAAAGACAACAGATTTATAGCAGGGGATGAAATTTCCATTGCTGACCTGATGGCGGTAGGAGAGCTCATTGCTCCGGATATAATTGGAGTGTATGTTGGCAAGGGTCGACCAAGAGTGCAAGCATGGCATCAAAATATTAAAGCTGCTCTAGGAGCAGTTTATGATAGTGTGCATGCAGCTATGTATAAACACATGGATGATATCAAGGGTCTAGTGCCTCCAATCGATTACTAATTGGAAAGGACTGTAATGAACTTCACTTTATTCTTTGTACGTAGTTACTGTGACACTTTGCCCTTAGTATGATCATTTTGAAAGTTATTCCAGTGCTTACCATTGATCTCGAAGTGATTTTATAGATTCTAGAAATATAGGACTAGATAATATATCATGACAATTAATTATAAAATGAATCAATTAATTATGCAATTATGATAATTAGAAATGAGGAAACCTTGTAAACGTCGGTAAGGACCTTTTCTGATATGCTAAGTCCTACATCTATTGTATTGCTATGGATTAAACTGACATCTAACTGGAAATAACTGCAAAGTAGATGAATAATGGTGCATCCATTCGATATTGTTGCCTAATGTTTAGGTCAAGATAGTCAATGTCATACTTCCAATTTAATCTGTTAAAGGTAGTTGTAATATCAAGACAATCTTTAAAATGGAGAAGATAAATGGCACTGCCATTCTATAGACTGAATTCTACCGACGTACAGTCAATCTATCGATGGTATAACTGGCCGTAAATTAAGCTGCATGCATCAGACATTGCTTTTGGATGAAGAACTATGAACTACTGTAGTACCTCTGAATGGAGTATGGTTGCTACGGCCATTGAGATACATCAAGGGAGTGTTATTCAACAAATGCATCCGGCATCATACGTTTCAGTAATGGATATATCATTGAAGTGATAACTACATCTCGATAGAAACTCAATAGATTAGAAATTGTCTTAAGATGAAGACCTGATATAGTACTTCCCATTCAAATAGGAATGTTACGGCCATTAAGCAATCTAAGGTAGCGATATTCGTCAAATCGATCTGACATAAAACGTATCAGTGATGGATATCGTACATCATTGATCCTCTCGGCTATAGCCATTAGGTGTTTACCACCTATGATAATAGCAAAAAGTTATATTAGTAACATTGGCGTAAATTCTTACTTTATAAGCTGTCTATATTCATTTTGCAGCATCAAAATGTAAATACAAGTAGCGAATTCATCGACTTTTGTATGAACGTTTAATTTTATGATAATCTTTCGTATCCTACTGTACCGTGATAACATTGGCGTGGACTGTTATTTTTTAAACATCCTCTATTACCTTTTATATTGCATCAACATGGAAAAGCGAGCTACGAGAATATTGGTTTTGATAGCTCTTATTTGTCAGGGTTTAGAGTCTTTATTAGCTTTACTACAACAGCATACTAGTACAGAAGAGCAAAGGCTGAGAATGTTCTCCTTTACCTTAAAATACGAGTCAATATCTGGAAAAGGTCATGGAGGAAAAACAACAAGCACAAAAGAAACTACAGACGCTCGGATACTTTGATGCCGACATGGACGCACCCATCGTAAAGGTCAACGTTGAATGCTATAGAAATAACCACCTGCAGCCTATAGCCTTATTCTTCTTCTTAATAAGGCTGTTGGCTTATAGTAGATTCCAATCTTTCGTAAACCAGCTTTGCTTTGGATTCAAACGATTTCGACTTGCAAGAACTGTAAAGGTAAGTATAATTAATCAACTCCTGTAGCCTTGTAGGGCTAGCTTTATGCTGCTCAATAGACGTAATAACAGTGTTTAGTTGGTAGTAACTTGCAGTACTGCATAAAACTTTTCCTATCAAATTGAAGATAGAACTTAGTTCTAGTCATTACTGTAATCATAACGCAGCATTTCTTACTTTTAATACGTTCATACTATTCGATTAACACTTGGAGAATACAGTATGTCTATTCGTTGCGAAGAGTTTCACAGAAACGAATTTGCAGTGTAGGACGCTTCTATGGTCGCTAAATCGATCATGCTGTCCGAAGCTGTAGCGACAACATGGCTTTTTTCTTTGCATACTTATAGGCAATGAATGAGTATTTCTTAACGGTTAATTTTTCTTACGATTTAAGTACTATAAGGGAACAAGTGATGTTTTTTGAAGCACTCTAGGTTTTACCGTGCTGAAATTGCTACATCATTTAGTTCCTACCATAACATGATTTACACTATCACCATTCATTCTTGATCATTTTTATTGACTAGAAACTTTATTCTCCATGGCCAAGCTTGAATTTTATTTCGATCCATTGTCAGAACCTTGTAGATCTGTGCAGATTTTTCTAGACGCCAATAACATTCCTTATGAGCCAAAATATGTCGACTTATTAAACGGTATGCTTTCCCAATGACATTATATTGCTTTAGCTTCTGTTTCAATCAAATTGATTACTCTTTTACCTTAAACAAGATACGGTACTAAATAATATACCCTTAAGCGTATAATGCTTATATGGAGTAATACGTTACTTTCCTTTAATTCATTTGGGAAATTTGTTAGCAAGTATAAACGTAGTAGTATTAATTTCGACGGTAGTCCTGTCAAAGTGTTATCCTACCGTAACGATCCTCTAATTTAAGTTAACTGGGTAGCTGTTGTTAGTAAGAATGATTCTCCTACTAACTAATTAAACGATTTGCCCAATTTATTGCATGCTTCAGATCGATAAACTAGACCATATGCAGAACAGTACATTCCAGTACTGCTATAATTTAAAGAAATACTCTTGAATTTGGTACATAGAGATAGTTTACGATCATTTGTAGAAATAGATTAAGTATACAGTTAAGATGAAATGGCCGGAATATATCCATACAGAGACATATCTAAAGCTTGGAGTTACTCATTCATCTCGATCATAATTTATGCATTATTAATGATTCTCTAATTTTACGTTTATTGTTGGTAGCAGCAATCTATTTATACTTATGGTAATTTAGACACTATTGCGTTTAACGGATTGCTGAAAAGCACACGAGTTATTGCTAAAACGGCTTGATACTAATCATGACTGTGCTTGCTTCGGCTTGTGACTTTATTGCAGCTAGTAGACCATAGATGCTGACAATTCCGATTCTCAAAATACTTTCTCGTAGTCGTATAGATTTGTTCTTGCGGAGTTTCGGTCGATAAATTCAAATTAATGCTCAAATATTGCTACAAGACGTCAAGCAAATCGTGCAATGCCTCCCAATATACTAAGTCTACAGCTTAAATGGATGTTGAATTTCTACTTTCCATGTCAATAAATCGCTAACATTGAAAACGTTAGCAGCTAAATCGTGCTATTACCATAAAAACATGTTGACTAATATCAGCTAAACCTATGCCTTTTGTGGAATCAAGCAGATTATTGATGATAGGGTTAATATTACGAGTCTTGTTGTCTTGGTATCATTTCTATAAACTAAAAGTCATTCGGATGCTAAAGTCCAATAAAGGCGTTCCAACGATTCTGAAATGGAGCCCTTTATTGAATTTTATCAAATTTAAGTAATTTAGATCTTTTTCTTTATGTAACTTTTTCGTTCTACTATAACAAACTAACCGGAATTAGGTAATATGGATACAACTGAAGACATTAGGCTTATGCTGTGATATTAATTGAGCATCATTTCTTTATTAACGCTGTGGTAAAATAGTAGTAGTTGTTTTTTTGTTGTAATGGTTGGAAAGAGTTAGACCGTGTTTAATGTTTCATCTGTTAAGCTTGCGGTATACTTTCATCTAGAAGATGACTATCTATCTTACTAAACGCCGCATATAGTATTTTATTCAACATATTAATTACAACGATTATTTTAATGTACTGTAGTGGCATCAGATCTGTAACTTTTATATCTTAAATAACATTGTAAGAAATAGAGAATACCTGCTGACTACTTTGCAAATAGTGATCCAATGTTCATCAAGCATAATTTCGGCAATGTAATCGATTTTAGATGCTAACCGAACAGAGGAGTACAAAAAGATCATTGCAACTCAGACTGTACCTGCTATTACCCATGGAGAATTAAAGCTGTTTGAGAGGTAATGTAAATTGGCTACAGTATTATTGTAAGCAAGCAAGAACTTGCTGAGGATAAGCTGCTTAGGCTTGTAAAATAATTGGATAAAATATTACATGTAGATCCTAATGGCGCTGATACCTTTGCGTTCATCTAACCTTCTAAGTTATAAGACTGCACAGTATTTCACACAAAAGGGAATCATTTTAATACCTGAGTGTGTCCATAGTGCAGCCAAAATGTTTTCTGCTTGATCGATAGCGAAGGCGCGCTATTCAATAACAGTTTTTCTTCTTTTCACTGGCTCCAGTGTTGCCATCTTGCAATATCTGGCTGAAGCATTCTCAACACCAGACCATTGGTATCCTAGTGAGATGAAGAAACGAGCTCGGATTAATGAATATCTGCATTGGCATCACTTGAATGCTAGATGTAATGCTGGCTTACTCGTTATCATGAATTATGTGAGTTTACGAAATGTGCAAATATATTTTGAAAGTAAAGCAATTCTGAACTACGTTAAACTAACCTGTCATTTTCCCTTCACATCTTTAGATTTATACTCCCTATTTCTATAACCAGAAGGTTAGCGAAGAGGAAAAGAAAGCCTCCATTGTTTCTATGGAGCGGGTGTTGGATACATTTGAAAGTTATTTCTTGAAAGATAACAAATTTATAGCTGGGGATGAAATATCCATTGCTGACTTGATGGCAATAGGAGAGTTTATTGCTCCTGATATTATTGGAATCTACGTAGGCAAGCATCGACCAAGAGTTGCAGCATGGCATGATAATGTCAAAGCTGCTCTAGGACCAGTTTATGATAGCGCCCATGCGGATCTCTATAAACACATGGACGATATTAAAGATTTAGTACCTCCTGTTGACTACTAAGTCAGATGGACTAGAACTAATGGATCTATCTCGATTCCTTTTCGATGTAGTCAGTATTGTATCTTGATCTAAGAGGCATTATCTTGGGTAATATCTATTTTTTATTTATTTTTGTATTTGTAATGGATCTTCATATCAATTTTATACGTAATAAAAGTATTAGGTTCTAGAGATGTTTATAAGAATCTTCTGTGAATAGATAGTTTCGAACTTATATTGCATTTCAATTATTAATGTAATATTAGCCAGAATAACATCAAAGTGAATGAACCTCTCACTCAATGGCTTAGTTTGATGTTTAAGATTCTATCCTAGATTTCATGCTTTCATTTCACCCTAATGACCATTTAGAACTACTGAGCGAGCTATCAGAAAAGAAAAATAGCATGAGTCGATTGAATGACTATGCCTACATGAAGCTTAATAAAGCATAAGACATTACTTATACATGATCGACAGTATTTTTAAATATCCAACTTTAGGGTATTAATAGTCATTAGTTTTTGTAGCAGATTTACAAGTAGACCTATTTTAACCCACTATCCTTTGTTGACATTTAATCTAAGGATCGGTAACTTAATATAGGGCATTCAACTTCTAATTGAAGTTTAAATCCCATTGCTCCATTTTAATAATTAGAACATTATTTAACCTTCTAGCCAATGCAATCAAAAAAATCAGTCCGAGAGTTTAGCATTCCGTATTTTTATTCAGTATCTCAACAAAAGAAATGGTCAGATGATGATTGAAATGTAGACAATCTGATGAAAAATTGGCATTGGATAAACTGATCAATATCAGCTTATCCGACTAGATTAAAAGTAATTCATCACTTATAGATTTTAAACGAGAGTTGAAATAAGGTGCGAATAAAATGTAGTACTTCAACTAAAAATAAAGGTATTCTATATCAGCGTGATACTCCTCTAATATTTAATTCTATTCTAATTTTAATAAAATGTGCAAAAGCATTTTTCTAAATAGAAAGGCATACGTTCGATCACAAGCAGTAAAAAATAGAGCAGCATAGAATGCTTTATATCTCTAACTATCATGCAGTATTAGCAGATTGCTAAATTTTACATGATATTATGTGATACAATTACGTTACTTATTTAATGACAGTTCTGAAAAGATATCTTTTCCCTCAAAAATGCTTTCCAGGAGACGGTTATGGGATGGGACATTTGTAAGTCATCATCCAGCAATTGGAAAAAATAGTAAATCATTCCGTTGTTGGAAAATGTAAACACATATGAGGTAAATGATGACCATCTTGATGCGGTTATGGTTGAAATAAAAGCTCTCTTAAGCGGGTTAATAGTGGCCTGCATCGAAACCATATTGGCTGCCTTCGTGAGTACTGGGTATTGCCGGATAAATTGATTAAATAGAAAAATCAAGATCATCCACCTTTGGATTTATATGGTAAGAGAAAGAGATGTCTAGGATCGTTTCTTTCACGTTTTAAGCTTAAAATTGAATCAGTTTTGGCAGGATCTTTTTAATTCCAATCAAATTATTGCTGGTGCAATTCTTTGCCTTGAAAGTGATTAACATTAAGGTAGTGTTAATCAGTGACGACAGACTTATCACTTAGAATGGTTAGTCACTAGAATTTACTGCTAACCAATAATCTTAGCTTCATTACTTCTGATAGCTAATAACCGTTTTAAAAGTAGTCATGTTGTAATTTCGTATTTAAAAGCTTCTTAATGGTGATGATTTCATGATTGCTTTGATTATCTATTTAATTATTCTACGGTAAAGGCTGATTAATTTGTTAATGCACAGTCATTATCATCTCGGCCTAAAATTGATTTCTTCTCTCTTTTCTGCAATAGTCATTAACTAGCTTTCTTCTAGCGATATATTTAGTCATTAGTATCTGTTTATCGATGAGAATTAAGAAAGGGATCTTGGTAAATCAACAATGGAATAGATTATTTTGAAATCTAAATTAAAATGTACGATATACTACCAGGAAGCCTTGTTATGATCATGTTCTATCTTAGACTCCATATGTTTCTATTTTATTTTGGTGAGCATTTAGAACTGCCTAGCAAGGCATCAGAAAAGAAAAATAGTATAATTCGTTTGAATGATTATGCTTAAGTGAAGCTTAATAATGGACTAGTTATTGCTTATACAAGATCGATAATATTCTCATTTTTAATCTATTAAGAATCATTAGTGTTTTGCAACTGATTTAGACCTGAAAAGATTTTTATTTGGCTATTCACTGAGATGTATTCAGCGATCAGTAAGTCAATGAGGGCCACCGAATTTTCTAATAGAAGTTTAATTCTCATTGATCTATATCAATAATTAGGATATCATTTAACTTTCTACCAACTGCAATTTGATTGTTAAATAATGAAGCTTCAAAACAAGTTTGCAGTAGATTTTATTTGCAAAAACTGAAACAGTTAAACAGAGCTATTAAGGATAGAGCAAAGTTTCAAGAGCTATATCCTATCTTTGAGTAAACTGCGTCCTGTAGCAGCTTCATTTTCAATCGCTTTATGTTTCATGATTAGCCATTTCCTTGAAATGGTTATTCTAAATCATAATTTTCTTATGATATGATTTCAAAATCCGTTAGCTTGACTCCCTTTATTAAGAAGCCTGCCACAGCACATAATAGATCAGAAATTCCGTCATGGCATATATACAAGTAAGCAAAATCATGAATTTATCGGTATTTCAGAATCAGAAAGAAAGCATTTACTGGTTTTTGAAGTTAATATATGGGATGTATTATTTCATTTAAGTGCATTAGCTTACGAAATTGGGGCAAGGAGCAACTAAATTGGGTAATGGATCATTGGTAATAACTCATTCTACTCATTTTATGTTAATATACGGTATGAAAGTAGCGGATTAAGTAAGCTGAAATTTCTGAATCGTTAGAACTAGTGGTCTAAAAACACAACTTGAAAACGCTTTAACAACCCAATCCAGATCATTGTGGTAAGAACCAACTTAGCTATTCAAAATGATTCACTCTCCTTTTTCATTGCAGTATGCTAGGATAGTAGAGTAAGTAAACTGTGAAATTTCGAAATCATATCACCTGAACTCGAGGCTTTAAGCACTGACTTGAAAATGATTCTAAAAATACAATTCTGACTGCATTACCATACGACTTGTAACAAGAATCAACTCAAATATTCAAGTTAACTCGCTCTCTTAATCCGATTCATTGTACTTGGGCAATGGATTAATTAAAATATGAAATTTTTAACTCATTTAAAATAAAGATTTAAGCGCTTGCTCGAAAATGATTAAAAAAATTCAATTTTGATTGCATTAGCATACTCGATGGTAACAAGATAACTGTCTCTCCCTCTATTTTTATATATATTAGGCAATAGCGAGAGTAAACTGAGAGATTATTTAAATTATATCACTTGGAGTGAAAGTATTAAACACCAATCTGAAAATGATTAAAAAAAATTGCATTCGAAATATACAAAAGTTAGTTTGATGAAAAATATCATTTAATCAACTAGAAAATACAAAACAATACTTCCCTTCAGCTATAATTAGAAGAAATCATTCCAATCTGTTAATGCAGTTTGCTTTATGAAATCCATGATTTTATAAAGTCATCAAAATGTCCACATAGTGTAATTGATGGCCGATCATAAAATTTCAAAATTTATAGAAAATTAGAACTTTACTTAGATCTTTATACTAAAATAATCTACACAAAGCTCAACTCTAACTGTAGTGTATTTGGATTATACTGTAACTGTAATCTACTCTTAAATATAGATATTTTGTATTGCTATTAAAAACAGACACATTTACAGTCTGTTCGCTCTACATTCAAATATGGCTTACTACATATAGTTATTACAGTCCTCGCTATTTTCTACAATCATCTGCTATTCTATAACCTGTTTGGTATATGTTGTATCTAATCCTACAATCATGTTCTCTGCATGTGTTCTAATGCCATAGCTATAAATATCGCCGTTTTCTACCTTAAATTTCTTTAGTTGCATTATTAGTCACAGTTAGTATTCACACTTTACTCACGGCTGCTACCACGCTGATCTACCGCTATTATCACATTGTACCTAACTACTTTCTACAATAAAGTATCTTCTTTTCTTAAGCTCCTTGTGCAATTCTCGGCATGGCAACTAAAACCACATTATCTGACTCTTCGAACCCTTCATCACGCTAACCGAATAAAATTCTAGAAAGACTTTTAGACAGATCTACTAAATGTACTAATCTCAAGTGACTTGCTTGAATACTCTTCGTAGCATTTGCATCCAAAATGTGGACAGCAACATTTTACTTATTGATACATACTCAGATTATTATTAGTAATACCATTTTACAGCGAACCATTTATAATCCAATATGGAACTGCTGCAGTATTTACATATTGTAGACATTATTTCTTCCTGCCAAAGGACGAAGAACTAACCATGCTCTAATCTATCAGTTGCCTTACATATCTATTTTTACCTCTAGCACCAATAAAGACTCAACATTATATTGTACGGTACATGGTCATCGATACTCTATCGTAGAATCTCCAATTATATTCTGTGCCTATGAGCTACTAAATAAGGCTTATGATAAACTATAGACTATATCAGACATCATACTAAACATAGCTAATAATCTACAATCCAATACGTACTCGTAAGTTGCATTCTGGAACTTACTAGCTAATAGCAGTGTCACACACCACTAGTCACAAAATAAGTCTACACACGCCAACTCTAACGAAGAACGCCTCTTACTGACTTAGAGAGACGAGATTAGCTATAATCACCAAATAGTTCAGTTCCGACAACAAAATACTATAGCATAGTTATTACATCACTGATAGTATAGACAAGGTAGTCAGAGAATTACTACTATTTATTACTGAAGCAATCTTGACAACCAAGATTATAGTCTTGGTAATTCAATAATAATTGATAAACTAGTTGACAAACTAACCGACTAACTAACTAAAAACGGTCTTCAGGTTCGAAATTTTTATAGTTTTGTCAGAAACTCCTGGAGCACTACAAGTAAAATTATCCTTCTAATGTTATAGGAATTAATATGAATATTGTCGTTAAAGACTTTATACAAGATAATTAATTAATAACCTCTATTATTTAGAATTAATAAAAAGCTTAACTCATAACACAAAATCACAATTTAACACCTTAATCATATAATTAAATAATGAAATCTATTTTTAACAAAACTAGCAGTACTTTATCATTATAATTAAAGATTAATTAGATTATATGAAGAAATGATAATTAATAAAACGTCAATTCACACAAACAATATTAAATATTACTCAATGATTAGAACGAGCTTACGTATCATAAAAAGAAAGTATCAAAGTTAATTAAATAAATCTTTTACCGGATGTATGTCAATTTAAGCGGAGCTTTATTTGTTTATCATATCAACAGAAAAGATTAAATTGGTTGTTTATTATCGAAATGAATTTTTAAATGGATTAATAATATATGATTAAATTGTATAGTCATTAGAAGGGCTTTATACGTGATAATGCTTCTTCTGTCCAGTGTTTGGGAAGTTCATTCCAACAATTATTAACAGATTCTAGAGCTTTTTGATGAAAATAATTATCGTCTATCCTACTATCTAGGGTTTTTTCAATCTTTTGCAAGGCCCGAACAGCTAGTAAAAGGTTACTATATTCTACATTAACATTAATATTACCCCACATTCCTGCGCGAATACGCAAAAAGGAAGCAAATCTTTCATTAAAGAATTCCCCCACATAGGCTACTGCTTTTATGCCGCCGTAAGCCGGCCAGAAATACCCCTTAGCACTTTCGGTCGTATATAATTCACACTTTGTTAACAGCAGATTTGCAATTTCCTCCGTCATTAATTTGTTTCGATGCAAGAATTTGTATAATGCTGCAGCTTTTTCGCCATCAGAAATGAATTCTGTAATAAATTCGCATCGTATATTTCCTTCCTGATCTTTTAGTAAGGGTAAAGCTAAGTTCACTATTTTTTCTCCACACGAGTCAAGTAGAAATTGCCATATTTCTTCTTTAGTAGTAAACAACTCTTTCAGCTTATTGCCAGATTCTTTTTTTAGCTTTTCTATTAAGTAATTCTGTAGCGCCATATAAATACTTTCTATCGCATTATTCCCGTCCTTAGGTATTTTTACGCTTAAATGAAAAATTTCTATCTTTGAAAATATTATTTTATCATTCTCTTCTACTGTCACTGCGAATTCTAATTCCAAAGCTATCCAGAATAGTGATTGGAGGATTGTAATTATAGGCTTAAATCTAGTACTCAAGCATCTTTGTGATAGTAACATACTTAATAAATTTTTGGAATCTAACTGATACATATCAGAAATTTTAGTTTTCAACTGAAAAAAATTCTGAAAAATGTTTTTATGTGCTCTTTGCAAAAGTTTTCTCACTCGCTTACGTAAGTTGTCATCAATTGTTACTTTTGGAGCATTGAAATTTTTTATTAAACATGGAATTACGCTAAGACATGCGTTCATGGCTTTTTCGCTATCAGTTCTAACTAACCTACGCAGTTTATCATGCAAAAGCTCAATAGCCTGGAATGCTTCTTGAAATCGCCACTCGGATCCCGATTAAGTTTGTATATAAAATAGTCTGCTAACTTTTGCGTGAAGGCTTTACCCAGTAGTGCCATAGCTGAAAAGCCACCGTCAATATCCCAATATTTATAACTTTCAAGGTCATCTTCAGTTACTTCTTCAAACTTCAATGCAACATCTTCAGCATTGCATTCCTGTAATATAGATGATGTGTAACTATAAACATAATTTTTATTTTGCAACAATTCAATACGTATAGCCGTCGATTTAGGCTCAGTTATTTCCATCTTTTTATTCGTCAGAGTTGGATCACTATTATCCAGCAGCAGGGTGAATTTTTCAACTTCTTCGTTTTCATTTTCATTTTGATCATTTTGACTATTTCTTTCGCTATCTTCGGCTCGAATCACTCGATATTCATCGATAAATTCTATTAATTCAGTTGCCCATTCATTTCCCGCTAAATAGGATTTTAATTTTTCCCTTTGGTCTTTCGTATATTCGTGTAAGCAATCATAAAATAATCTACGGGAACCAGCACCCATAATATCCACCTTTTCAGTTAATAGTTTCCATAACCTGAATATAACTATTTTGCGTTTTTTATCAAGTTTTGGTAATATCGGTTCTTCACCAATACTCACTTGAGCAGCAAACCTGAAGAACAATCTGTAATTTGGATTATATAATCGCTTTGTTATACACTCCTTAATTGTGTCAGGAAAATCATCTGTTAGCAGAATATCTTTGATGAGAAATACTGCCGCGAGGTAGTCTTGATATGTGTCATGAATAAATTGAAGATTTGGCTCAGAATTATCAACATTTAATATCAAGCCAGTGTTTGGTAATTCCTTGGTAATTTGATCTATATACTGGATATTATCAAAACACTTATCAATAAAAAGATCATCTTTTAAATTAAAAGCTTGCTTGAACGCGTATGCTGATAATGTATTTGTAAAGGAAGTTCCTAAAATATATGAAGATGATTTTATTATTTTGAGGTTGTCGAATTTAAGGTGTCTTTTAAAATATAACGTAAGCTTTTCCTTGAAAAATTGTTGGAAAAGTTTTACAGTACTATCTGAACTATGTTTACTTAGAATAGACTTTATATTCTTCAAACTAACTGATTTGCTTAACCACTCACGAAGTTGATTTTCCATAATTTCGCAGTAAATATAACTTTCAAGAGGGATACCTAAAGTTGATGTGACTTTTTTATTTCTTTTTAAATTATTCCATACTTCCATTACAATTTCATTTTGATTTGGCTGCAATCCTTTATCACTATTCATTTTATTCCAAATCTTTTCTATATATCTGCTGATATAAATTTTAAGCTGCTTTTCACTATATTGTTGTAATTGAAAATATTTTCCAAATTGATGATTTTTGGATAGCTTGATGTCTTTAATCGCATAAGGTCTCGTAGTTATCAAGATAGATGTTGATGATGGAATGATGTCAAGCCATAGCCGTAAATTATTAATTTGATCCTGGTCTTTCATTTCATCGAAGGCATCAAGCAGCAAAAAAACTTTACCTGTCTCTTCCATATCTTTTTGTATAATTTCCAATTGCCAATTTTCCCATTCATGTCCTGTTGCCTCACTCGTAAAAATGGAAGACAGTTTTGGAGAGGATGATAGCTGAATTTTAGGTAAGCTAATAAAAATCCTCCAGCTAATTTCGTCTTCGTACTCCTTCCATTTATATCTTTCATTCAAGCAAAAAGCAGTTTTACCATGGCCAGCATCTGCTAATAATATTGAAAAGTTATAAAACTGGAATACATCTTTTTCGGAATTAGTTAATTGTCCCAAATTCTTATTAAAGTCGTATTCCAATGGACTTGAAAAATTTAAATTGCTAGGATTGCTTTCAATAATTACACTGCTGCATGTGCTATCCCGGCATTTTAAATTAATGTAGATAATATTTTTTTCTTTAAGACTTTCAGAGCCTCCGATATAGATGAAGCACTTATCTCGAAATTTTTTTTCGGAAAATTCAATATCCGATATATTTCGCAAGAAAATATACCTTACACTCTCCTTTTCTGACCAATCTGTTTCCTGTTGTACTTTCTCATAGAGTTGAAATCGAACCTCCCATTCATTGAACCACTTCTCGAGTTGATCCTTTAGCTGCTTTTCATTAGTATTATTTTTGAATATAAATAGGTTAGCTTTAGCAGTCGTGAGTAAGTTTCTTAAATCGTAAATAGGTACACCTTCAATCACATCATTGGGTACGTAAATGTTCATCTTTAATCCTCTATCACTTTTTGGTCTTTCTGCTTTCAATCTATTTCGAATTAAATCTACATTATCTAAGTCTGATAGAAAAGAAAACAAACTGCAAGAGGTATCTTTGATGAGTCTTGAAAGCTGATAAAATTTGCCACCCAGATCAATATATTTATTTTCATCAGTTTTATATATAGATTTAATTTGATTCCCTGAAAGCCCTTTAATGTTTATACTCGTGCTTCCACCTTCTTCAAGATTTTGATTACCTTCTACTGTTGTTTGATCATTTTTTCCTGAAGGTAGCGCCATTGATTCTGGCAAACTTAAAGTATTATCGTTGTTATCATCGTCAGTATGTAATAAAATATCTAAATCGCGCTTCTGCTTATCCTTCAAGAGCAACACTAGTTTTTTCTTGCTATCATTTGCCTCTTTCATAATAGGTTGTAAAAGTTGAGATAGTGTGCTCTTCGAGTCAGCTAGACAATCTATAATTATAAATTTTGTAAGATTTCCTTTAAGAATCTTCGGTATAAGGTCTAATTCTTCTACCGAAAGTTTATCGATTTCGACAAAAATCCATTTATCGTCCTTGATTTTTTTCTTGAGTGTAAGATTTTACTGTCTGATAAACTCTCGCCTTAATTCCAATACCGGTAACCAAGGCAATGAAAGGCGGCTTACCAGTATCTTCTAAAAATGTCAGCAAACCTTGTACCTTTAAATTGTCTATTGCTGGATATTGTTTAAACTTTTCCATATAATTCTTTGTGTGAGAGAGAAAGTGATATCGAAGTGCATTACTAAAATGCACATTGATTGCTTTTTTAAAAACTTCCGCAGTAATGTAAGTGGTTTTAAGGCTGCTAAACCATGTATTCATGGTCTTATGTACTGCATAGAATACTTCTTGCTGGCCAATATTAGTGCGAAATCCAAGCTCTTTCAAAATTAGATCCTCTAACTGTGAGCAATTGGGCTGTTCATATTTAAATATAAATTCATCGAGGAATTGATTAATCTCATCTTCCATAGCATTACATAAAATTGCTGAACAATTCAGTTCATCTTTTATTTTAATAATTTTTTTAAATTGATCGAATATTTCCCCTGGATTATTTAATTTTTTATCCATATGCGGTATCAAAAGATTCCTGAATGATTTATCACTAATGGCTAACTTAACCAAAGCCAAAGCTTTAAAAGAAATATCAGGAGGAGCAAGTCTAATCTCTTTACTATTCTTGTTTACGTTCATCAATTTTTTGCTCAATTTGAGAGCAGCTTCTTTGATTGCTGCTTCTTCATCGACTCTAGGCCTTTTCTTTAAATTTTCATCTTTTGAAATTATAAGTTCATTTCCTTCGGGATCACAGTCTCTGACGATGTTCGAATATTTCTTAGCTGTCTCTGAATATGCTTGTATTGATCGCTTAAATTCTTCTCTAGTTTCTCCTTGTTTAAATTTCTTGGTTTTCGTATTAAAATCTTCAAATTTAAATTCGTCTTCTAGGTCAAACTCTGCGTCATCTAAATACTCGTCACCATCTTCTATATTTCGATTGGTAAAGAGCATGCATCGAACATCTTTTATATTATCTGTCGATGTTTTACTCCACGGCCCCTCTTTCAATTTCATCCATGTATCAAAAAAATCAGCTAAACGGACTTTTTGATCATTTTTTAAGAAAAGTCTTTCTTTGAATAGGATTTACTAGCGACTCCTTTCCTTTTCGAATCTTTACTAGTACTTGCAATATTCGATGAATGGCTATCAGTATCGACTGTTTCTGCCGCATGCTTAGCTTGTACAAATACAATTCTATGGCCATAGTCTATTACTAAATCATCGAGATTGTGAGCCTCTTTTGCTTCGCTAGACATGATAAACTTACAATTGCGTGAATTAGCTCGATTCGCCACTAAAATTTGTAAAGCCAGCTGAAAGTCTATACCATGCTTAGTTTTTCGCAAGCCATCTGGTTTCAATTTTTCGTAATCACTTTCACGAAGATTTTCGTCAGATCGTATTCCAGTCTCATTTATTGAGCTATCTAACGATCGAAATCCGCTATCATCTTCCATAACTACAATTTTCAATTTTTTACATTCATGCAGATATGTTGCGCTTATATGCGCAAATTGTCTTACGCTGTTCTTTCAATGCACGAGTGCTATATTTTGATAATTTTTAGTTTTATATGACTAATACGACGGATATTCAATACAAAAGATGAAGAAATGCGGAAGCTTTGCAACAAGAGAATGTATCTTAATTCACCAGTTATATTTAATAAAATTAGTTTCCGATTTATACATGTAGACAATGTGAACCTGCGTTCTCATCGAATTGAATAAGCACAATGGCGATTCGATTTTCTTATTTGCACGTTTAGTATAAAAGACGATGGAATATGAAAGCTTTACAATGAAAGAAAGCAGCACAAATTATTGATTTCTTGTTGATAATGTTAGTAAATCATTTACATAAGAAGGCAGGCAATAAGTAGGTTCGTTCTCATCGTATTCAATGACGATAAAGGAGATTCGATTTTTATATAATAATAATCTTGCAATATAAATGACCAAGAAACCCTGCGACCTGTTTTGAATAAGTAATTAAGCATCGATTAATAAGAGGGGTTTGCATTGATTAACGGAATATTTGTTGTAAATAAAAACTGATATAAAAACATAATAACAAGTTACACCTCTTATTACGTGACCGTGGTTTATAAATGGTTAAATATACATTTAATATAACAAGATGAAGGAATGCGGAAGTTTTGCTAACGGAGAAAATAAAATACTGTAACTAAAGGAACTAAAATCAGCGTGTCGTTGATAGATATTATGTTCGTATGTAATGTTACTGTACCGATATACTACAATAGATACGACAACAATGTAAACATTAAGTTTCATCATATTAAAATATTTAATGATTATATTTGACGCAATAATAGTCTTGGAACATAAAAGATCGAAAACCTTGCAGCTTTCTTGAAGGAATAATAAAGCGACATGTTAATGAGATGGGTTTGAATTTATCGATTATGTTCGCTATAAAAGTTAGTAGGAAAAGTGCTATAACAAAGTATACCGTTATGTTACGATATGAGAGTTTAGCTGGAGATAATTTACAGTCATGAACTGTATTGTTGGCAAAAGAAATTAATAAATAACCGTACTTAAGCGATTATCGCTACGAGTAAATGAGAACTTTTTCCGGGAAATTTATGTCGATTTTCGACACTTAATTAATCAGTTTAATATTTAAACCTTTCTGGTTAATAAAATATATTGACGATAGTTTCTTGCTGAAATGCGTTTCTTAATTGATTAGAAATCAGAAAAAAGCATTTACTAGTTAGTTTTTTAAAGTCAAAACATGCGGTTCTATTTCATTTGTGCGGCTACATAAGAGTTGGAACATAGCGCAACTAAAGTGAGAAATAGATCATTGCTGATATAAAACGATAACTCGTTCCACTCCGTTTATAATATATACGGTACCGTAGTAGCGGATTAAGTAAACTGAAACTGCTGAATCATTAGAACTAGTAATCTAACCACTAACTTGAAAACATTGCAACAAGCCAATATTGGTCATTGTAGCAAGAACGTATTCATCTATTCAAGAGGCTTAATAATACACGAGACATCGCTTGTAAATGATCGACAGTTTTGTCAAATTTCCAACTTTAGGGTATTAATAATCGTCAGTGTTTTATAGCAGATTTACGAGTAGGCCTATTTTAATTCTCTGCTCAAGTGCTGACATGCAGTCTAGTGACCGGTAACTCAATAACGGGTATTAAATTTCTAATAGAAGTTTAAATCTCATTACTCGATCTTAGTAATCAGAATATCATTTAACCTTTTAGCGAATACAATTACATTGATAAAGGGTAAATTGCTAGCAAAAGAGCGTCTTACAGGGAACATGTAGGGGTTTCATTTCCCCAAAATTGAATGTTTGAGCAGATTTTATTAGCTGTAAGATTTCGAAAATCAGTGTTCTACATGCGGGTAATCACGTTGTGTAGAAGTCTCATTCTCGATCGCTTCGTGGCTAATAACTTTATAGAATACCTATTTTAAGCTACAGATTTCGTACGATATGATTTTCTAATCTTTTATCTAAGTTCTTAGTTTAGAAGCTAGTCATTAGTGTAAGCTACGTCAAAAACTCTCCGTAATGGCGCACATATTGGAAGACCACGAAAGTGTCGATATTTTAGAATAGAGAAGAAGTGTATTGACTGCGTTACGAAGCCAATAGATGTTGTTCCTTTCGACTGTAGTACATCAGCCTATGAAGTTATAACAAAGAGCAGCTAAAATGTGAAATAGATCTTACCTGGATTAAACGAGGACTTATGTTACTCAGTCTATGATTTTATAATTGAGCAATGGGTTAAGTAAACTGAATAATTTCTAAATTACTTGAAATAACGGTTAAACCGCGAACCTGATGACGGTTAAAATGCATACAATCCCAGCTGCATTAGTATGGGCGATTGTAATAAAGAATCAACTCAGTTATTACGGGATACTCGCTTTCTTAATCTATACAATTTACAAAGGCAATAGAGTCAGTAAACTGTAAAATTTCGAAATTACCTAAACTAGTATTTTAAGTATTATTGCAAATGGCTTAAAAGTATAATCCAAACGGCTTTAGTATACTAGATTCTAACAAGAATCAGCTTAGACATTTAAGATAATGTGCTATCTCTATCTGTTACAATATATTACAGTAATTGAGAGAGTAAACTGAGAATTTCTAATTCATAACACTGAACCTGGAGCTTAGGCATTCAATTGAGAAATATAATCTAAAAATACAATTCTGACTGCTTTAACAAGCGAGATTCCGATTAGAATCAACGTAGATGTTCGAGGTTACTCGCTCTTCTAACCTGTTGCAATATACTATACTAGAACGATTGATTGAGTAAATTGTGGAATTTCTGAATTCGCTGCGCTCAAGGTTTAGGCACTGTCTAGAAAATATAATTCTAAAAGTACAATTTGATTACAAAGACATACTCGATAGTGAAATAACACATTCAAACATCAAGATAACTGACTTTCTCAATCTATTACGATATACTAGGGCGATGGAGTAAGTAAATTGTGAAATTTCTGAATGAGTTGCTCTAGGGGCTTAGGTGTTAAGTTGAAATAGATTCTAAAAAATACATTTCTGTTTACAGCAGCATACGAAATTCCGACAAGAATCAACTCAGATATCCAAGATTTATTCGCCCTCTCAATCTATTACAACATATGTACTAGGGCGATGGACTGAGTAAAATGTGAAATTTCTGAATCAGTTGAACAGAGGTCTAAGCACTTACGTGAAAATGATTCTAAAAAATACAAGGTTTGGTTACATTAGCATGCGCGATAGCGACAATAATCAATCTAGATATTCAAAGGTAACTCTCTCTCTTTCTTGATCTATTACAATATGTTCAGGTATGTGATACAGTGCCTTCTCATAAATAAAATAAGAAATACAGTTTCTTGTCAATTTCACTTAATTTCATAAGTTAGGTTCGTCTAACCACTGCTAAAGACTAACGCTAGACTATCTCTTACAAGTTGACATATACTGTATACAAATTTGTAGTCTCATATACAATTTATCTAATTTTGTACAATCTAACAATCTCAGTGTTAGATACATTGGGGATGTACTACAGGGGATTAGCGTGAGTAAACTGAGAAATTTCTAAATCATATCGTTTAGACAAGAGGTTTAAGCACTAACTTGAAAACGATTCTAAAACGTACAATCCCGACTACAAATTCTTACAGTTAGCAAAGGAATCAGTCCAACAGTTTAGCGTTGTAGTATTTTTATTTAATGTCTCAGTAAAGAAACGGCTAGATGAAGAATTAAATGTAGTTTAATTATGTTTAAAAATAATAACATGGAATTAACTGATAAATATCACCATATCGACTACATAGAAAAATGATTCTTTACGTATAGCATATAAACGAGATTTTAAAATAAAGTTTAGAGAAAATGTAGATTACGATTTTTCAGTCAAACACTACTAGACTATTATTAGTAAAACACCATTTTACAGCAGACTGTGTATAACCTAGTCCAATATGGTAACTGCTACAGTATTTACGTAGACTTAATTTTATCAGCCAAAGTATTAAGAACTAACCGTATCCTAGTATAGGAGGTACATATCTATTTTAACTTCTAGCATCAATAGTGACTCAATATACTCTACCATATCCAGTCTATCTTAACCTAACATAAAGCCTTCCATCACAGTCTAGGGTTATAAGCTATTAACTGTAAATAAGGCCTATTATAAATGTAGAAAGCTATTAAGTATACCGTACATCATATTTGACATAGCTAATAATCTACTATCTAATACTACGTTTCTTGTTAGGGCCAATAGAAGGTACGGCATCAAAGTAATTCAATTTTTACTGGATATTATTCAATTTTAAGTGAAGGTTGATTACTTTATCATATCAGCGGACCAATACGGTGTTACAGTAAATCATTCGCTAACTAATGAATTAAATCTTAGAATGGATTTATAATGAATCATAAATTGTAGAGTTAATTAAAAGGGTCTTATATACTCTAATATTTCTTTTGTAACGCTTTCGAAGTAGGGAAGTTCTTCTCGACATTTCCTTAAAGATTCTAGAGCTGTCTGATGGGAATCGTCGATATCTGAGCTATCATGCAGAGTTTTTTCAATCATTTGTAAGGCCTTGATAGCTAGTAAAAGATTACTGCGTTGTTCATTCATATAAATGCTAAACCACATATTCGCACGAGTAACTAGAAAATTAGAGAATCTTTCATTAAAAAATTTCCCTACATAGGCTACAGCTTGTATACCGCCATCAGCAGGCCATCTATCGAGCTTTCTATCTTCAGTTATATATAATTCACAATGTATTAATAGCTGATTTGCAATTTCTTCTGTTATTAATTTGTGTCGATGCAAAATTTTGTATAATTTCGCTGTCTTTTCGCCATCAGAAAGGAACTCTTTAATCAGTTCAAAGCGTGCATGTCCTTCCTGAACATCGCGTAGTAACCGAAAAGTGAAGTCCTCTATTTTTTCCTCATGGGAATCACCTAAAAATTGCCACTTTTCTTTATCACCCAGCACTTTCTGCTTATTGCTAGATTCTTTACTCAGCTTTTCTAATAGGAAATTTTGTAGTATGTCAAAAATACTTGCTATCGCATTATTGTCGTCCTTAAGTATTTCCCAGCTTGAATTAAAGGTTAATGCCTTTAAAAAGAATCTTTCATTACTCTTTTCTATTGTGATTACAATTTCCAATTCCGAAGCTATCCAGAATAGCGCTTGCAGGATTGTAGCTCCAAATTCGTTTATCAGCTCGTTTCTTGATAGTAAAATACTTAATAAATCTTTGGAATGTAGCCGGTGCATATCGGAAACTTTAGTTTTCAACTGAAAGAAGTTCTGAAAAATATTATTCTGTGCTCTTCGCAGAAGTTTTCTCACTTGTTTACATAATTGATCATCATCTTCTATAGTATTGAAATGCTTTATGAAATATGGAATAACGCTAAGGCATGCGTTCATGGCTTCTATTTCTCTACCTGCTGTAACTAGCCTATGCAGTTGATCATACAATGTATCAATGGCCGAGAATGCTTTCCTAAATCGCCGACACGGATTCGAATCTACTCTGGCTATAAAATAATTTGCTAGCGTTTGCGTAAAAGCCTCACCCAGTAGCGCCATAGCTGCAAAGCCACCATCGACATCCCAATAGTCAAGACTTCCTTTGTGTTGTCTAATAACTATTTCAAACTTCGAAGCAACATCTTCAGTTTTGCATTGCCTTAGTAAGGATAATGTCTTACGATAAACATTATTTTTATTACCTAGGATTGCTTCGTATTCATCGTAATTATTTTCACTAGGGTTTTCGTCAAATCGGGTCAAATTATCAATTGTTAAGTTGCGTATCGATTGAACTTCGCTATCATCTTCCATGACTAAAATTTTCAAATTTGCTTAGTCACATAAACTGTCTTACGCTGTTCTCTCAATGCAAGAGTACTATATTTGAGAACTTTTAGCTTTATATGACTAATATATGTATGCGCGAGTAAATATATGACGGAAGTTCGATATAAAAGATGAAGGAATGCGGAAGCTTTACAATAAGGGAAAGTAGCCCAATCCATGGATTTATTATTAGTAAAATTAGTATATAATTTACGTAAGAATACAATATGAACGTGCGTTCTCATCGAATTAAATAGCCATAATCACGACGCCATTTTCACGTATGCACGTTCTATGTAATAGATGATGGAATACGAAAGCTTTACAATAAAAGAAAGCAGCACAAGTTATTGATTTCTTGTTAGTAATATTAGTATATAATTTGCTTAAGAAGAAAATAAGTACCTTCGCTCTCATCGCATTCAATAACGACAACGAAGATTCGATTTTTGTGTAATAATAATCTTGCAATATAAATGGCCACGAAACCCCGCGACCTCTTTTGAAATAAGAAGTAATTAAGCAATAAATTAATGAGCTAGGTTTGCATTCATTAACGGAATATTTGTTGTAAATAACAACTGATAGAAAAACAAAATAATAGGCATATCACATATTACGTGACCATAGTTTATGAATGGTTACATATATATTATTCAATATAACAAGATGAAGGAATACGGAAAGTTTTGCTAAAGGAGAAAGTAAAATAAGTAAAGTAAGCAAAATTATCATGTCATTTCTAGATATGAAAACAATGTGAACATTCGATTTCATCGCATTAATTTAGCACAATAGTTATATTTGACGTAATAATAGTCTTGCAATATAAAAGACTGAAAAACTTAACGGTGTCTTGGAATGAGTACGGCAATAAAGCAATACGTTAATGAGAACGGCTTGAATTTATCGACTGCATCCACTTTAAAAATTGGTAGGAAAGTACAATAATAAACTATATCATTATACTACGATACGAAAGTTTAACTGGCGATGATTTACACTCTTGAACTGTATTGTTAGCAAAAGAATTAATAAATAACTGTACAGTACTTAATCACTGACGTAGCTGATGGGCAATGCGAGTATTTGCAAACTTTTTTCGAGAAATTGGAGCCAATTTTTGACACTTCATTAATCAATTTAATATTCAAACCTCTCTGGTTAATGAGATGTATTCACTGTAGTTTCTAGCAAAAATGCATTTCTTAAATGATTAAGATTTGGGTGACATCGGAAGCCCAAAGACGACAGTCATGTCAGGTCGGGAGATTTTAACCTAAACATAGATAGATATAAGATATATTCACTATAGTTTCTAGTTGAAGTACATATCTTAATTAAATGATTACGATTTAGTTCTCGTCCATCGATGTACGTCAGTAATTCTACTAATTTTAGTGGGTATCTGTTACTAGTAATTGCATAGTAACTTTACTATTTCCAATTATTTTTAAAGTATTAAATCTGGAAAGTAGTATAAGTTTCCGAATCATCTAATTCGCCCTGAAAAGAACAAAGTGCTAGTAGAATGTTTATTTACCAAAGTAAAACAGTACATACACAATAACATGTATCAGTATGGGATTTTTACGGTTCGAAGTATAACTGAAAGCGTCCTTTAAATTTTACTCTTAGTTATGCTTGAAAGTGTAATTTTGGCATATGCATATACGATACATTACAAACGAGTAACTTTTTTTAAAGAAATACTGGTCAGTAATGACTACGATAAAAAATGCCCTATAAGCGCCAATCTTCTTAAACCAACTAAAATTCATCTAAAAGATGTCAGTAGCCAATTTTAAGTTGTAGAAGAATAATATTTATAACACTATAAATATAACATTGACCATTACCTATCATAAACAGTTTATTAAGGCATCTGTAAGTTGATTAATACTTGAAAAATGTCGCTACTCCAATATTTGACTTATGTATGCTTCAAGGATACTTCAGTAAGCATGATATTCTCAACTAGTGATTAAGTATTAAATTGAAAATGATTTCTAATAATGAAACCTTGATTGTATAAACATTTGGGATAGCGGCAAGAATACACTCCGATATTTAAGATAGCTCGCTTTCCTTATCCACTACGACATACTAGGGCAATGGATTAAAATAAATGTAAAACTTCTAAGCCATTTAAACTGTAGGTTTGAGCACTAACCTGATAACGATTCTAAAGAATGCAATCGAGATTGCATTGACATAGAAGATAGTGACAAGAATCAATTTAGATATTTAAGATAACTCTCTTTCTGAGCACATTTCAATGTATTACAGAAATAGGATGAGTAAACTGAGAAATTACTAAATAATATCACTCAAAACTGAGGTTTAAGTCCTAACTTGAAAGTAATTCTGAAAATACAATCCTGGTGGTAGTTCTTAATAACTTGCAAAAGAATCGATGCGACAGTTTAACGTTCTAGTATATTTTATTTAGTAATTGAGCATGGAGTCGGTTCAATAATTGAAGTGTTGATAAGTTGATTATCATTGCAAAGATGACATTACATACGAATAAACTGGCAAATACCATCTCGTTCCACTAGATTGAAAATCTTTATTCACTTATAGCGTTTAAACAAGATTAAATTATGAAATAAAGCGTGAAGAAATGGTAATATACTTAATCTAAAAATAAAGGTACCTTATACCAGCTTTGCACTTCTTAACTATTCACTTGCAGGCTAATTTTAATAACTGTGGAATAGCATTTTTTTTAAAATAGAAAGGCATGAGTTCGATCACAAGCAGTAAAAGTAAAACAACATAGGATACTTCTTGGCTCTAACTATCATGCTGTATAAGTAGATTATTTAAGTTTATTTTCTGTAATCTGATACAATTAATTTGCTTTATTTAATGAAATTTAATATATTTTCCTCAAAATGACGCTCCAGGAACGGTTATTGGACAGTTACAAGTCATCATCCAGCTATTGGTAAAAACTGTAAATCATTTTGTTGTTGTATAATATAAATGCACGCGAGGCAGATCATGACTATCTTGATCTGGGTTATGATTGAATTGAAAGCTCTTTTCCTGGGGTTGTAAGTAGCCTTCGTCGAAGCCATGTTGACTGCCTTTGTGAGGACAGGTTTCTGCCGGATAAAAAGATTGAACAGAATAATCGTAATCGTCGGAGTTTGGATTTATCTGGCAAGAGAAAGAGATTTCTTCGATCGTTTCTACCATGTTGTAAGTATAATAATGGACTAGCTTTGGTAGGAGCTCTATTAATTTCGATCAATTTATTGCTGGTACAAACCTTCGGCTTGAATGTGATTAACTTTAAGGTGTTGCTAATGAACGACCAGAGACTTGCCACTTAGAATGGTGTATCACTTAACCCTGCTGTTAATAAATAATCAAGGCCTTGTTGCTTCTGATAGCTGATATCGGTTATAAAAACAGTTATGTTGTAATTTCGTATATAAAAGCATCTTGATGATGATTTCATGATTGCATTGATTATGTATTTAATTATTCTACGGTAAAGGTTAATTGAGTTATTGGTGCGCTGTCATTATCATCCCGGCCTAGAATTGATTCCTCCTCTCTTTTCTGTAATAGTCATTAACTGCGGTATCTTTCTTTTACCGATATATTTAGTCATTGGTAAACTACAAATTGTTTATCGATGAGAATTAAGCAAGAGATCTCTAAGAGTCAACAATAGAACGGATTAAATTAGAATCTAAGTTAAAAAAGATTATCAACAACAGCCGTTGCCATGATCAAGAACTACTAGAACTTAGTTTTTCTAGTAGTTCACATCATGGTCAATATTTTACAAAACATACTAGAAGATGTAATCTAATGGATTGAAGTCGGATTAAAGAATTAAATCTAGTCTATATCAAGGATAATTCATAAAAGATATATTCTTTTTGACTAATTCTCAGTGATGAATGACAGATTTAATATTTATAGCGGCCGTCAAGAAAGGGCTAACGTCATAGATCGATCGTTATTTTTCGTAATTCATTAGGATTGCACTGAAATAAACATCATTAATTTTTCGATTATTTAAGAAAAAAAGCAATTATGACTGTTTTCTAAACATCGTCTTGCTAGTCCTCAAAGCTAATTCAATGGATGACCATTGATATTGACCAATTTGTTTTCAAATTACGCTACTAATTTACTTCATTTCAAACGAAGCCTAATAAATCGCCTTGTCTATTACAAAGAAATGAATAATAAACTAAATTATTAATCACTTTCATCTCAGGAACTTTGATGTAAGATATTCTACAACAAGACAAGACATAACATAAATACACTTGAGAGATGGATAGACTACTTACAAAATATTGTATTTTACTGCATAACTGGTTTACTTCATTCCAGACAGAGTTTGATAAGTCGCAAATGCAATTTTAAAATAGGATGTCCTAATATAAGACGCAGCAAAGATACATTTGAGGGATAGGTCGATTATTTTTGCAAATGATGCTTTTCATTGCGCTATTAGTTTACGTCGTTTTAAAATAAAGTCTATTCAATCGTATAGCCTGTTGCAAGAAAATAAATAAACCGCAGCTTCGATCATCTTCATCTCGAGAATAGGTTTAGTATAGGATATCCTGCGACAAGACATAGCATGAACACACTTGAGAGATGGATAGACTACTTATAAGATTTGGTTTTTCATTGCGCTACTGATTTACGTCATTTCAATCCGCGTTAGGTGAGTACCAAATGCCGTTTTAATTTAGGACATCATAAAATACGATACAATATGGCCACCTTTGAGGGATGGATTGATTAATTAATTATTTGCATAATTTTGTTTTTCGTTGCGCTAGCTAGTATACATCATTTCAACAGAGCTAATGAATCCTATTCTCTATTACACAAAAAACGAATAATCAATCATAATCTTGATCTTTGTCATCTCAGAAACTTTGATATAAGATATTCTACTGCAAGACGCAACATGAATACTCTTGGGAGATGGGTGGACTATTTATTTAATATATTTTTTCATTTCCCTGCTAGTATACCCCAATTCAAATGGAATTAGATGAATCACACATGGAATTTGAAATAGGTTAACCTAAAATAAGATGCGACATGGATACGATTGATATATCAATTATTTAGTGATTATATTTATCTTTTATTAAGTACTAAGTTGAAATGCTTTTAAAAATACAATTCTATTTGCATTAGCAATACGAAGTTGCGCAAGTAATGACTCAGATATTCAAGATAGCCCACTTTCCCAATCCATTACAATGCATATACTAGAGCTAGAGCAATAGAGTGACTAGACTGTGAAATTTCTAAATCGTATCACTTGAGTCGGAGGTTTATAGTAAGCACTAATTTGAAAATGGTTTAAAAATACAGTATTGGAAGTTTGCTAGTCTATATTAGAGTTAATGGTGAATAAAATGTTTACATAAATGCATTTTGCAGATATATTTATTTATTATAAATTGTTATGAATTATGATTATCGACTATTCTCTGTTTGGTGAGAATGTTATTGCTATCGTGGTATTTTTAATATTACTTTAGTAAACGTTTAACTTTATTGAGCTCTATAACGGTATAGTAAGAACATTAAAGTTTGAATTCAGTGGTCTAACTCCACTGGACTTTTTTGGAGATCTTAAGCTAATGCCCCATATTGCAAAGTAGAAGAATTTTCGAGACCATGCCAACATAAATCTGCAAAGCCTTAGTTTAATGAATCGCGCTATTTCTAATCAAGATTTATTTAAACATAATAAAGCTGTATACAATTTTTCTGATGAAATCATCAATCTTGATTGTTATTACTCACTTGATATCACACCGTAACACAACAATACCTATCAACATCAATATCGAAGTTGAGAAATGAAGCTTAACATGATTTAAAATGACCAAGATCATTTTCTTGGTTAATTAATTTATACGGTATAGGGCATTAGATAGTTGAATGATTTACTTCAAGATTGTAAAGTGAATTACTCTCATTTATAATTATTATTCGTTGTAGATATTTAAAGAAAATTAGACCGTCACTTATAATTATATGCAGGTTAAGCCAATTTTTGGGAAAGCTTTGGAAACTTTGATGTTTTTATTGAATATTTTCTGTTTGGTGTTAAGTACCTGTAATACGTTGCAGAATTTAAAGTAATTGTATGATATAGTCCTCGTTTACAGAATGATTTTCTTTTCTTTTTATGCTTTAACTCTTACTCTCCCTAAAACAGTGAGTAAGTATAATTTATTCTATCTGAAAATTAAATAATTGGTACCCAAGAAGTCTATTTATCTATCAGAATTGGGTAAGTGGTCTTGAAAAATTAACAATAGAGTAGATTTCATTTGAGTCTTAATTGAAAACATAACATCGCCACGAAAGCACTACCTAGATTAACATCCCGTACAAGATGCTATAGGTTGAAATTTTCCACTTTACTATTAATGTTAAGTATAAGAATATTATTTTAGTGTATAGTTAGTATGCTTTAAAATTAATTTGAAGATAGTTAGAGCGACTAAAAGACAAATTCAATCATTATCGTAGCTATCATAAAAACTAAGTAACTTATTCATCGTCGTTTATCATAACCCTGTTATTGTTTCACTGATATCTAGGTGTTTGTATTACTATTTATGATAAATAAAGCAATAGTGACTAGTTGTGATTTCAAGTGCAAATATGTGATCTAGTGTAGTTAAAGGGCATTAAAATAATTCGAGAACAATCAGCGTTACTACAAGATAATTCAATCATTATAGTAGACATCATAAAATCACAAATTCATTCATCTTCGTTTTTGACAACCTTGTTATTATTTCACTGATATCGAGATGTTTACATTTAATGCTTAATATAAACTAGACAACAGTGACTACGAGTAAATCGAAAGAAATAACTTAAGTACGAGAATAAGACAGAAAGTATTATATCCTGTACAACCTATACAAATCAAATCGGTGATCAATTTAATTTTAAATTGCGTTGTTAGTACAAGTTATCCTTTACTTTCAGAATTTCTATTTAAATCTATTATAAGAAATTTGAAACCGGATATATATTTCCAGCTCTTAGGCTTTACAACCATAATAAATACGGTAAAATATTGCCCTTGGATGATATCATACTTTTAGAATGAGCAACTACTAGATGCACCATGCTGCTACGCTATCATATCATACTTTCGGAATGAATCACTAGCCAATATACAATACTAGTGATATCAACTATTGCATACTTTGGTAGGATAGATACAAGAAATGTTATATTTCTTCTGTATGATTTCATCCATTAGTGCGAAGTAATAAGCAAGTTCAAGAATAACACTTTTGCTACTGTATTATCACAAATGTTAAATTGGATTTTCGATGTAAAGCAATATTACTGTTGCTCCACAAAGATGACTTCGCGACGTATTAGGTTGCGCTTTGTCGAGTTAGTGACTTCTAGCCTAAATTAGTGGAAGGAATAATTTATTTGCTAGGTACCGTTAAATATAAATACGTTTATTTATCCCCTATAATTTAGGGAAAAGACCAGAAATATAGATCCCAAAAGTAGTACAATCATAACTAATTATCAATCATCTCAATTGAAATTATTCATCATTACTCCAATTTCTTTTGTATAGCAATATTAACGGTAGTACTGCAGCCTTGTGCACAGTTACATTCTGCAGTATCCATCGCTATTATTTGAATTAAAGTAATTATGCTAATGAAGTAATTATAAGGAGTAAGATCTAGGTGCTTGATCTTGTCTTTGATAGTAATGAATTGATATAAGTTGGCATATGGCATAGCGGGATGATACAGTATGCGTAGGATAGCCGATCAGGAACACTCTCAGCTATTAGACTAGGCTAAGCTTTCTCATCTATTACTATAGATTTCTGACTGGGAAACTATTTTATCACTATCGCAATTTACTCTGTTTTTATTACCTACAACATTGAGTTATAAACGAAATCGTCTTATATTTCAGATTTTTAAAACATGGAAAGTTATTCTGTTGATTTCAATGTCCCACAGGAAATAAAATCTCTACACGAAAAAGCAGTCGAAAATCATCGATGTGCTAATTTTGATCAAGCGTTGTCTGACTTGACACAAATCTTGGATAAAGTTCAAGCCATTTCGGAAGATACAACCGAACTTGATCGACTTCGATGTGAAGTTAATCTTCTTATTGGCGATATAGACATGCAACGAAATAAATGGACAAAAGCAGAAGAAATGACCTTAGAAGCGCTCCATATAGCGGAAAAACTGAAGGGAAAAAAGAATATTGTTCGATGCTTAACCCAACAAGGCGACATTAAGCGATTACGTGGAGATTGGAATGGAGCAAAGGATACTTATAAGAAATCACTAGACATAAACGTAAGTCATTTAGGCGAGGAGGATCCGAGTATCGGCACTCTTTTAGAACTTATTGCGACTGTTTATGATGCTGAAGGAAATCATGATGAAGCTCTCTCCTTGCTTGAAAAATCGCTAAAACTTAAACGATCAGCTCTAGGTGACAATCATCTCCAAGTTGCCAAATCCTACTTTAATATTGGAGTTTTCTATAACAAACAGAAGAAGCATCAACAAGCTCTTTTGATGTATAAAAAATCGCTAAAGATTACATTGTCAGTCCATGATGATCGTCATCATGATGTTGCTGCAGCCTATAGCAACATTGCATTAGTGTATGAGGAACAAGGCAATCATGAAGAAAGCCTTTCTATGCATGAAAAATCGCTCCAAATTCTAACAACATTATATGGTGGCAATCATCCTGCCGTTGCTGCATGTTATAGTAATATGGGAAGTGTCTACTTGAAGCTTGGCAAGCATAAACAGGCTTTATCCTTGTATGAGGATTCGCTCAAAATTCGACTGTCAGTTTTAGGTGAAAATAATATTGATACTGCTGCATCCTATAACAACATAGGAACCGCATACTTGTTTCAGGGTAAATTTAAAGACGCCATTACTTTACTTGAGAAAGCACGTTCCATTCAATTGGCTGTCCTTGATCGTAATCATCCTGATATCATCGCAACCTTTAACAACATTGCCAATATTTATGATGACATGGGCAAGCATTCAGAAGCTATTTCCATGCATGAAGAAGCTCTTCAAATTCGATTATCGTTCTTGGATCATGATCATCCAGATATTGCCCGCTCTTATGTCAATTTAGCGGTTGTCTACATCCATCAAGGCAAATATCAAGAGGCTGTTTCTTTGCATGATAAAGCGCTGAACATTCAATTATCAGCGTTTGGTCAAGATCATCTCGAAGTGGCTACATCGTATAACAACGTGGGAGCAGCGTATGCTGAACAAGGCAAACATGAAGAGGCGCTTTTGATGTATAACAAGGCACTGCAGATTCGACTATCGCTCCTAGATCATCATCACTCCGATGTTGCATCTTCCTACAGTAACATTGGCAATATCTATCAGAATCAGGGCAAATATGATGAAGCCTTGTCTATGTTGAACAAATCGCTTAACATTAAATTAACGCAGCTTGGTGGTAATCATCCCGAGATTGCTGTGTTATATAACAATCTCTCCGTTGTGTACAGAAATCAGACTAAATATCAGGAGGCCATTGAAATGTGCGTCAAGGCCCTTGCAATTGCAATATCGGCCTACGGCGATGATCATGTCCTGGTAGCCCAAGTTTATAACAATCTGGGCAACGTATATAGTCAACAGGGTAATTATATCGAAGCTTTTGCTATGTTTCAGAAGTCGCTGAGGATTCATTCATTATTATTTGGTGATATCCATCCTGCCGCTGCTAAAATACACGGCAATCTTGGTAACACCTATGGCGCTCAGGGCAAATACGATCAAGCTATTAGCAGCTTTGAGAAATCACGAAATATTGCCACATCTCACTTTGGTGATGACCACCCCAGTGCTGTTATGGCCTATGAAGGGTTAGGAAATACGTATTCTCAGTTGGAGAAGCATGATGAAGCTATTGGTTTCTATAAAAAATCACTTCAAATTCAATTGGCATCGCTTGATCACAATCATCCTGATATTGCTGCATCCTATCACCACATAGGAGATGTATACTATGATCAGGCCAAGTATGAAAAATCCATTTCTATGTATCAAGATTCGCTCAAAATTCAATTGTCAACCCTTGGTTATAATCATCCTGATGTTGCTGCAACCTATAATAACCTAGGACAGACTTATCAAAGTCAAGGTGAATATGATGAGGCTATTTCTATGTATGAGAAATCACTACAAATTCGAATTTCAATCTTTGACCCCAATCATCCGGATGTCGCAAGATCTTACTGCAATTTAGGAAACGCTTATTACTGTCAAGGTAAATATGATGAGACCGCATCGATGCATGAGAAAGCGCTTAAAATTCTATTATCAATCTTTGGTGAAAATCACCCTGATATCGCTAAATTATATAACAACATGGGAATTATGCTTGGGATGCAGGGAAAACATAAAGAAGCTCAGTCCATTTATGAAAAATCCATCACTATTGCTCGATCTATTTTCGGTGAAAATCATGGTGATATCGCTAATTTATATAACAGCATGGGAACACTCTATCTTGATCAAAATTTGTATCAAGAAGCTGAGGCTATGTTTGAGAAATCACTCAAAATCAAGCTATCAATCCTCGATAATGACCATCCTGATCTTATTTTATCCTATAACAACATGGGCATCGTTTATGCTGAACAGGGCAAGCATGTAGAGGCTATTTCTATTTACGAGAAATCACTCAAAATTCAAGTATCAGCAGCCGGCCATAATCATCCTCTTGTTGCAACGATATATAACAACATGGGAAATGTTTATAATAATCAAGGCCAGTATGAAGAAGCTCTTTCTATGCATACCAAATCACTCGAAGTGAAAGTTGCAGTTTTAGGTCACAATCATGTCGATGTTGCTACATGCTATAACGGCATAGCCATGGTCTACATGAATCAAGGTAAGTTTCAAGAAGCTATTGATAAGTACGAGAAAGCTTTAAAAATTCAACTACCAGCTCTTGGTAATAGCCATCCTGATATTGCAACCTCCTATAACAACATGGGCAATGCATATTTCGATCTCGATAAGCTACAAGAAGCAATTATCATGCATGATAAATCGCTGAAAATTCGCTTGTCAATCTACGGACACAATCACCTCGAAGTTGCAGCATCTTATCATAACTTAGGAAACATTTACTATCGTCAGAACAAGTGCGAAGATGCCCTATCGGTATATCAGAAATCGCTTAAAATTCGATCATCTCTTTTAGATCATCATCATCCCCATATAGTTAAATTATATAATAATATCGGGGCTGTGTATATTAATCAAGCTGAATACGAAAAGGCCCTTACTTTCTTTAAAAAATCGCTGAAAATTCGATTAACGACCCTTGATGATAATCATATCGATGTTGCAATAGCATACTCTAATATGGGAATGATCTATTTCCACTTGAGTAAGTATGACGAAGCCATTTCGGTCTATGAGAAGGCACTGAAAATTCAATTTTTAGTCGTTGGCCATCATCATCCAGATGTTGCTAAACTACACAACGATATTGCAAGTATCTATAGGCATCAAGGCAAACATACAGAAGCTATATCTACGTATGAGAAATCGCTTAAAGTTCAATTATCCATCTATGGCAATAATCACTCCGATACTTCCGCAACCTATAACAACATAGGTATTTCGTATTTCCATCAAGGTATGTACGAAGAAGCGATTGCTATGTATGAGAAATCACTCAAAATTGATTTATCTATTCTTGGTAGCAATCATCCCGATATCGCCAGAGCGTATAACAACATTGGAGCTGCCTATAGGCAACAAGGTCAACACGAGAAAGCAATTTCGATGTATGAAAAGTCACTTGAAATTCAACAGGCAGCCTTTGATAGCAATCATCCTGATATTGCTGCATCTTATAACAACTTGGGAAATATTTATCATCAACAAAGTCAACATGAAAAGGCTATCACGATGTATGAGAAATCGCTCAAAATTCAGTTGATCAAAGTAGGCCACAATCATCCCAATGTTGCCAAACTCTATTGCAATCTAGGAGGGGTATATTGTGATCAAAACAAGTATGAAGAGGCTCTTACTTTGTACGAAAAGTCGCTCAAAATTGAGTTATCCGTTCATCAAGACAATCATCCTAATATTGCCAAGTTATATAACAATATTGGAATTATCTACGCTAGGCAGAACAAGAATGAAGAAGCCTTTGGCATGCATCAGAAATCTCTTAAAATGAAACTATTGGTCCTTGACCATAATCATCCCGACATTGCAACATCTTATGATAACTTAGGAGCTATTTACAGCAAGCAAGGCAAACATAAGGAGGCTATTTCTGTCTATGAAAAGTCGCTCAAAATAAGATTATCAATTCTAGATCACCATCATACTGATGTTATTGCATCTTACCAAAACATGGGCAATGTCTATTATGACTGGGGTAAACAGGAAGAGGCTTTATCGATGTTTAAGAATTCGCTATCGATTCAACTGGTGGTCCTTGGAGATAATCATCCTGATGTTGCAGCATTATATAACAAAATGGGAACTATCTACAAGCAGCAAAAAAAGCATGAAGAGGCTATTTGTATGTACGAGAAGTCGATCAAAATTCAATCCTCAGTTCTTGGTGAAAGTCATCCCGAAATCGCAAGATTATACGACAAGATAGGAGGGGTCTACAGCGAACAAGGCAAGTTTGAAGAAGCTAATCTTATGTTTGATAAGTCTACGGAGATTTTACATTTAACTCTCGTTCAAGGACTAGAGTCACTCAAAAGTAGCTAAGTCATACATTAATATAGGAAATGCTTATTCACCGAACAATCCTTGTATGAGGATTCACTCAAAATTCGACTGTCAGTTTTAGGTGAAAATAATATTGATACTGCTGCATCCTATGACAACATAGGAACCGCATACTTATTTCAGGGTAAATTTAAAGACGCCATTACTTTACTTGAGAAAGCACGTTCCATTCAATTGGCTGTCCTTGATCGTAATCATCCTGATATCATCGACACCTTTAGCAACATTGCCAATATTTATGATGACATGGGCAAGCATTCAGAAGCTATTTCCATGCATGAAGAAGCTCTTCAAATTCGATTATCGTTCTTGGATCATGATCATCCAGATATTGCCCGCTCTTATGTCAATTTAGCGGTTGTCTACATCCATCAAGGCAAATATCAAGAGGCTGTTTCTTTGCATGATAAAGCGCTGAACATTCAATTATCAGCGTTTGGTCAAGATCATCTCGAAGTGGCTACATCGTATAACAACGTGGGAGCAGCGTATGCTGAACAAGGCAAACATGAAGAGGCACTTTTGATGTAATTTATTTATAAATTTAAAAATTATTTGTCAGTTACAGCAAACATTCAGTAAGCATATTGTAAACAATCTTAGGATATCAATTTCATCGCACTCTATGCGGAAGACGCATATATGTGATCATTTTCGCGATAGATCAATAAGTATTTTAAAATAAATCAATCTATCCGTGCCTAGATTAATGTATTGCTAAAACTGTGTAATAACTGTGTTGAGAATTCTGATCGAGCTCATTATTCGGTTTTTTTCAAGCTCTTTATTAACATTTCTAACTACTTGATTCTCACTATGTCGCAAATGATGCTCTTAAGCAAAAACTAATCGTACGTAGAAATTTTCCTATGAACTGGTTAGACTATAAGTGATTACTTTTGATTACTGACATTGTGCTAAAGCTTACGTATATTTTAGTAGACAAGATTCATAATTGCAGTCTTATAGGTTATTAAGATTACAGTACTCAGAATTATATTTGAATAACTAGCTGGGTATCCATACTGAGCAATGAATAATTATATCCTTCTCAACATTCTACTTAATAACAAGGTATTACCAGTACGTTTTGTAAAATGTTTAAAATTTTTTTATTTACTGAAAAAATTACAGAGAATACAACGTCAAGCGAGCTTCCACTTTAAAATTTGTTCGCTGCGGCTATTTATATTGCCATTAATATCATATCTCAAGATGCATACAAAAAACTATACAATAAATTTTAACGTTGGTTAACTTCATCGATTAATTTTGCATCACGGAAAAATTTTAATGTAAAGCTGTTATTATGTTTTGTAGTCGTACCAACCTTGGCTAAACTGATTATGTATTGGTGCGGAATGGAATAATTACTGCTAAATGTAGTACAATCTTCTGCTTTCCGCAATAAAAAGTCTACATTAAATACGTCATTTGCCGTGGCTACTTGTTGGTATTCATTTACATTTAACTCTGCTAAGCTTTGACCAATATCATCATCATTCTGATCATCATCATAGAGTGTAGGGGTTTGATTGGAATAGTCGGTATAGCTAGAGTATTGTACTTGTAATGTAGGTCCTTTACATTGCTTCATCAACGCGTGATATAAGGGCGCATAAAATCCTTCATCACCAAGTTGCAATACTGAACGGCTTTCTAACGTTCGATTTAAATGCGGTTTTGCAAATCGTTCTTCAGTGTACTGGTCTACCGTATTAAATTCAGATAAGATACCATGATAATAAAAACTTTTCGGATCCCAGGAATTCTTCGGTTTAACTAGAATCAGTCGTTTAATTCTGGACCAATGCTTTCGAAAAGTCGTAATAGTTGAATGTGGACTAGTTAACAAATACAATAAAATATCGATAAACTTATACCTAATATTGTTGACCAATAAATGGTTTATTTCGTTTTCATCTTTGCGTTGTTGATCAAGTAATAAATCAAAGGCATTCTTTCCTAAAAAGAGAAAAACTAACAAACCATCATTTAGAAATGATTTTGGCCAGTTCCAGTTCTTAAAGAAATAACCTATGCAACCTGAATTCAAGATAACATCAGACTTATAGCTATACCCTGTACTAAGCGAAGGGGCCTTGTTTTTAGCCCAAATTGCAAGATAGCACATAGGGCAATGGAGATAGCTTCCTGCTATTCGTTTCGGTGGATCGGAACTTTCATAATCAATTAATTGCATTTCCGCATGTAAATCATCGGGATTACTAAGAATTTCAAAGGATATAACCGATAAATATCCACTTGCTCGAGGGCTTAAACGACAATAAGAAATGAAATTATAACTGTCTAAAATCCATCTCTGACATCTTTCATAAACATCAAATAAAATTTGAGATTTCTCGTCCTCTACGAAGTAAATAGGTTCTATGTCAAAGGTGAATAGTTTAATCAAATCGACGAATACGGGAACTTTAGGATAATGTTGATTGACGTCTTTAAAGCATTGCGATGTACTCTCTTTTTGAAAAATGTCAAATATATTACAATCGAGATACTCTTGTGTGATCTGTTGAATGAAACCTTCAAAGGCATCATAAAAATATCGAGAGACGACATGATATAAACACATTTTTAAGGAAGTTTCATAGCTTAAAAGGCTATTTTCATCACTGCGATTAAGAAATGTATTAATGTAATCGGCAATTGCATTTTTGCTAATTATTTTAAAATTTTCAAGTTGTCCCAATTTTGGTATGCCATTTAATACATTAAAATAAGATACTTCAGCAATATGACGAAATGCATAGATTAAGTGTACAATACTTGCCCAAATCCAGTAATCCTTGTTGTCTTCTCTATTCGAAAATTGACTTTCAACATATCTCAAATAGAATTCCATATTATCAATAAACAGTTCGAAGGGGGTGATAGGAAATTTATTTTGAAAAATGTCTTTGATATTTTTAAAACTTTCAGTAATATCCTTAGAAGCGCCGACATTTGCAGTAGTAACATTAGAAGCATCATCATTAGAAGTTAAGTTATTCTGATATTTCAAATGATATTTTCTATGCTGCCTAAGATGCTTACCAACGTTACGGAGTACTTTTTCGACCACTTTCGGTGTAATTGGTAGAGCTCGTTGAATGAAAGTGTCTTTAGATGACTTGTCGCTATGTTCTGAACGATTTATTTCAAGCCATGAAAGTTTATATAACTTATAATAGCGATTTAAGACTTTAATATATTTATGATTTTTTTCAGTATCGCCAGCTAAATAATGTGAAAAAGATGTATAATAACTCAATTTATCTGGAATTTTGTGATAAATTAGTGCTAAATTGTCAAATTCTATCCTCTTGCAACCATACGCACAAGTTTGTTTTTCGTTTAAATCATAACCAACACATAGTCTATATTGTATAATATCTTCGGGTGAAGGAAATTCATCTATAAGGAATAGTTCTTTTAGCGGTAAGCATTTATAGCACACTTTTAGTTTTGGTTGGCCAGTATAAGCAATAGATACTGCTCTCGATTGGCACCATAGCAATCGAGCTATGTGATTATAAAAAATGAGACGAGATTGATTATTTTTTAAGCTGTTTTTAAAAGGACACAACCCAGTTACCTTCAATAAGTGCTTCAGAAAGTAGAAGATAAAAGAAAGAAATTCATTGCTACGACTAGATTGAAATACGGCGTTAAGAACATCCGTTGATTTGGGACGGTTTTTGAAAATATTGGAGTGCATCATGCAAAACGATTAGCGATGCGCATATGCAAGCAGCAAAGAAGCAATGACCAAAATAGTCGATAAATTGATCAGTCCCGTTAGGCTGTATGGATGAATCCAGAAGGATGAGCCAATCTTTACCTAATTTCCAGGCGTTTTTTTTCGATATGCATCCAATCACGTTTTCGCCCTTTCTTATAGGTCTTTCACTTGACAATTAATATTCATTTATTTTTATTATACTAAATTTCATATGTTCGGTTTAAGCTTAATATAATAGTCGATATTTTACGTAATTGTTGGAGCTTAATTTTCGTAGCAATTTATTCTGAATGAGCATGTTGTGATGGTGGCTATCAGTAAATATTCCGCCAGGCTATAGTTTTTACATTATATGAGAGGAATGAAATAGGTCCAGTACTTTTATCCTCTATTTACATTGCGCCATTATTATGAGCAAGCGAAAACTAAAGTTTGTCATAAATACCATGCAGTATATACTCAAGCCCATAACATGATAGCAAAGAGAGAGAATGCGGAAGTTTGACGAAAGTAGAAAGATGTTTAAATAGTGATACTAATTAAGGTAATAAGTAAACAAATAAATTATATATTATTTTCGTTAATAAAAGTCCAAATAGTATTGAATTAATTACAGGCAAATCAAGAGACACTAATTGGAAAAGAGTTACTCCCTATTACAGTTCAATTGATTATTGAGAGCCTCCACAGTTTTAGAAAGTCTATTGACCTATAGCATTGGGACTGTATGCTTCGATCGCACTTAGACAACGTATAAAAGAATATATGTTAATTGCATTCGGGCCCAATTGCCTGTTAGTAGGTGAATAGATACCGCAGTAATTCTAGTGCTGCATCCTATACTTGACTGTATTGATAACCTGATTGGGTACAGTTAGACTTCTAAGAATAAATATTGTGATCGTAATACTGCTATTAGATGATTGCTAATTACTATATTAGAAAATTATTGATAACTAATATTAGCCAGTTAACGATGGTACAATATTCATGTACCTTATCAGACTGTATTTGTGAAGAAGACCAACATCTTACGGTGTTAGGCATTAATAGAAAAGTAAGACATTTAAGCAATTTGATTCGTATCTATTTGGGGCAATATTATAGTACATTTACGAATGCGATGGACTATTTCTAAACTTTTAAGATTGGAACTAGAAGTTAAAAATCGGAGTGAAAAATGTAAACATTGAAAATCAGGAAAGAAGATCTTTTTATTCCAACTAGACCAAATATATGTAGTAAAATGGTATTGATACAATAAAGCGTAATATTTTTTCCATCTATTAGGATGATTCATTTTTAATTCAGAATGGTTAGAGTAAAGGTAGAGATTAGCTATTTAATTAGACTTTATGCACTGTATTGCATATACCTAACACCTCTTTACTACACAGGCATACATAACGGTAGTGCTATTTAGCTATTCTTCCATGTCTATTGAGTTAAACATTGAATAGACGTAAATTATACAGTTAATTAATCATCAAATTATAATTATTAGAGTACAAGAAGATAGAGAGCTACGTTATATGGTTGCTACTGCTGTACAATCAATTTAACGCTTGCATTCACGTATCATTTTTATTTTAAAGCAATTTATAAATCATTAAAATAAGTGAGATTAAAATTGGTTTACAAAGATCTAATTAGATCGTTTTAGCTTTATCAATTACCATTATAAAAAAGAAAGATATTATTTTAAGCTAATCCATTATAATCATTAAAAATCAATAAGCGAATGAAGACCAATAAATTTGTAAAAGTATAAGCTATATGTCACGCTCCGGCTTCGCATAATTTACAATTATATAGCTAATACTCGAGAATTATAAATTTACTACGGTGGTAAACAAAAATCAGCGGTATCCTTTCAATTAAGTAACAGACAAGTAATTCTGAAATCTAATATATCGCTCATCAAGAATAAAATTGAATCTTGTCGACGTTATCAAATACGCAATTGTTACTAGACAGCTTTGCAACAAGATAACGTAATGCGCGATCAATCAGTCGATTCCCTAGACCAAGTATCAGAGAGCAGTATCTACTCTTTCAGGAACTCTTTTCCTATACTAGTAGACTACAAAAAGACTTTGACGACTCGTATCTTACATTAAACACTAATCATAAAAACTCACTTTATTATACGATTTATCGCATTTATATACTCTTTTACAATAGCAAAGACATCCTAGTTAATAATATTAAAGTTGAAACCTGATAATGAATCAAAAGCTAATTTTATCTACTGCTGCCTAATGCAGACAACAGTATTTACGAACATAGACATTGAATGACTAATGCAAAATTATTAGATTACAATATGTCCTATCACGGAACATTTCTACGATAATCTACAATATACCATAAGTAAATTACAATCATAGTGATTAGAATTATAAGTAGATTATTCTCGATCTCCTAATTAAACTACTAATTTCAGTAGGCTATATATATCACTATAAAAGCTAGTGCTATATTTAAATATCACATATCTATATTAGAAACTCTTTGCACAAGGGTAAATCAACAAAATTATCCTAACATAAATGTTTCTACGATAATCTCGATATTATAGTGTACAACAGGGTAATAGCTATCAACAGAGAAATGCATAAAATTATTTATCAGTTACAGCAAACATTCAGTAAGCATATCATAAACAATCTGAGGATATCAACATCATCGCACTCTATGCGGAAGATGCGTATATGCTATCATTCTCGCAATGGATCAATGAGTATTTTAAAATAAATCAATCTATCCATACCTGGTTTAATGTATTGGTAAAGCTGTATTGAATATTGATACAGAAATCAATTAAGCTTTCGACTGAACATTTCATGAGTAATAACAGCGTTTGAGAATTTTGATCGAGCTCGTTCTTCGGGATTTTTCAAGGACTTTGCCAACGTTTCTAACTACTTGATTCTCACCTTGTCGCAGAAATTTTTCATTGAACTGTTAAGATTACAATTGATTACTACTAATGAAAGAAATCAGCTTAAGAAAAAATTCCATTAGTCTGAACAAAGACTAACATAGTGCTAAAGGTTATGCATATTTAATAGACAAGATTCGTGATTGTAGTCTTTCAGCTTATTAAGATTACAGTGGTCAGAATTTTACTTAAATTACTAGCTGGGCGTTCATGCTGAACCATGAATAATTATATCCTTCACTACATTCTGTTCAAGGCAACGTATTATCAATATTTTTTGTGAAAATATTTAAAATATTTTATTTACAGCAAAAGCTGTAGAGAAAAAAATCTAGCGAAATGCTTCTATTTAAAAATTCTGCTCGCTGCAGCTATTTATATAGCCATTAAAATCGTATCTCAAGATGCGTACAAAAGCTATATAAAAAAATTTCTAATTTTGGCTTAATTTATCGATACATTTTGCATCCTCAAAATATTTTAATGTAAAGCTATTATTATGTTTTGTCGTCGTACCAACCTTGGCAAAATTGGTTATGAATTGGTATGGAATGGAATAATCACAACTAAATGTAGTATAATCTCCTGCTTTCCGCAATAAAAAGTCTACATTAAATACGTCTTTTGCGGTGTTTACTCGTTGGTAATCGTTAAGATTTAACTCTTCTAAGCTTTGGCCAATTCATCATCATTCTGATCTTCTTCATAGAGTGTAGGTGTTTGATTGGTGTAGTCGCTATACCTAGAATATTGCACTTGTAATGTAGGTCCTTCACACTGATTCATCAATGCATCGTACTTGTCAAAATAATAGCACCGCATATAAGATCGGATGTCACCAGTTCGTAATCCTGAACGCCTATTAAACAGTGGATTTAATCCAGGTTTTGCAAATCTTTCTTCTGTATATTGATCTACTGTATTAAATTCAAATAAGATATGATGATAATAAAAACTCTTGGGATCCCAAGAATTGGTCGGTTCAACAAGTATCAATCGTTTTATTTTGGCCCATTGCGTTTGAAATTTCTGAATAGTTGTGTGCGGACGAGTTAGCAAATATAATAAAACATCAATAAATTTGTACTTATTGTGGTTGACCTGTAAATGATTACTTTTATTTTCATCTTCACGTTGTTTATCAAGTAATAAATCAGACGTCTCCTTCCCTAAAAAGAGAAAAACTAACACATCATTATTTAAAATTGATCTAGGCCAGTTCCTGTTCTCAAAGAAATAACCTATGCAACCAGAATTTAAGATATTATCAGACTCATAGATATGCTCATTACTGATCGAAGGGGCTTTGTTTATAGCCCAAATCGCAAGATAGCACATAGGGCAATGGAGATAGCTTCCTGCTATTCTTTTGAGTGGTGGATCGGGCCTGTGAAAATCAATTAATTGCATTTCTGGGTCTAAATTATCTGGATTGGTAAGAATCTCAAAGGATATTTGCGATAAATATCCACTAGCTTGAGGACTTAAATAGTTATAAGAAATGGAATTGTAGCTATCTAAAATCCATCTCTGACATCTTTCATAAATATCAAATAAAATTTGAGATACCTCATCCTCTACCAAGTAGACTGGTTCAATATCAAACGTGAATAATTTGATCAAATCGACGATTTCGAAATCTTTGAAATAGTCTCGATTTACATCTTTAAAGCATGGCGGCGATTGACTCTCTATATGAAAAACGTCAAAAATATTACAATCCAGATACTTTTGCATAATCTGTTGAATGAAACCTTCAAAGGCATCATAAAAATATCGAGAAACGACATGATGTATACACATTTTAATAGAAGTTTCATATTCTAAAGGATCAATTTCATAACTTAAATGAAGATAGTCTTTAAATTTGTCTATAATTAAATTTTTGGTTGTTTTTCTACTATTTTCAAGTTGCCCCAATTTTGGTATGCCATTTAATACGTTAAAATAAGAAACTTCGGCGATATGACGAAATGCATAGATTAAGTGTACAATACTTGCCCAAATCCAGTAATCTTTGTTTTCTTCTTTATTCGGAAATTGGCTTTCAACATATCTCAAGTAGAATTCCATATTATCAACAAACAGTTCGAAAGGGGTAATGGGGAATTCTTTTTTGAAGATTTTTTTGATTTTTTCAAAACTTCCAGTAATCTCCTCAGAAGCGCCGACATTAGTAGCAGAAACGTTGGAAGCACCAATATTAGAAGTATTAACATTAGAAGCATCACTATTAGAAGTATCAATATTAGAAGTATCAATATTAGAAGCTAAGTTATTCTGGTACTTCAAATGATATTTTCTGTGAAGCCTAAGATGTTTACCGACGTTATTAAGTACTTTTTCCACCACATTTGGTGTAATTGGTATAGCTCGTCGAATTAACTCGTCTTCAGATGACTCGCCATTACTTTTTGAACACAGACATTTGTATAGCTGATAATAGCGATTTAAGACTTTGGTATGTTTCAGATCATCTTCAGTAGTGATAATTAAATAATGCGAAAATGATGTATAATAACTCAATTCCTCCGTAATTTTGTGACGTATTAGTGTTAAATTCTTAAAATGTTCTCTTTTGCAACCGCGCGCCAAGGTTTGTTGTTCATTTAAATCATGACCAACACATAGTCTATATTGTACACTAAGGGGTGACGGAAATTCATCTATAAGAAATTTTTTTTTGACGGTAAGTTTTTATAACACACTTTCAATTTTGATTGACCAGTATAGGCAATAGATACTGCTTTCGATTGGCACCATAACAATCGAGCTATATGGTTATAAAAAATGAGACGAGATTGATGCTCTTTAATGCTGTTTTTAAAAGGACTCAACCCAGTTACTTGTAATAAATGCTTCAGAAAGTAAAAGATGAAAGAAAGAAAATAATTGCTAAGCTGACGATTATCAAATACGGCTTTAAGAACTTCCTTCGATTTGGGACGGTCCTTGAAGATGTTAGAGTGCATCATGCAAAAAACTAGCAACGTGTATATCCAAGTGTACAAGAAGCAATAACCAAAATAGTTGAAAGATTAATCTATCCTACTGGGCTACGAGGACGAATCTAGAAAGATGGGCCGATTCTGAACTAGTTTTCGGGCGTCTGTTTTCGTTATACATTCCAATCACGTTTTCTTCCTCTTTTATAGGTCTGTTTCTTGACAATTATTATTCACTAATCATTATTATGCTAAATTCTACTTGTTCGGTTTGAGCTCGGTATAATAGCCTAGGTTATGCGTAATGATTGGAGCTTAATTCTATTTGTAATTCATACTGAATAAACATGCTGTGACGGTGGCTTCAATAAATGTTCCAACAGGTTCCAGTTTTTACATTATACAAGAGGAATGAAATAGGTCTTTGAGGATATAGTTTTACAACAAGAGAATAACTATTAATTTTGAGCTTGTGCTAGTGCACTTAAAAAGAGGCTATATAACCTTAAGTAGCGAAATAATTTCGCACTTTCTCTCACTTCTATTCTGTTTAAAATTTCAGGATATTTTCCACCTAAATATCTATTAGAAGAGCAGTTGTTTCGATGAGATTTGCATTAAATGTTTATTCTGAAATCATTTAGTTATTCTTGTGCATTAGAGAATTGCTTTTAGTAGAATTAAAAGTATATATCTGAAGGACTATTGTACTCAAATAATGAGACGTAATTCTTTGATGTGCAATGCAATACAAATAGATTACTGGCTCTTATTCAAGATTCAATATACGATAAATTTTAAATATACTAATGATGATAAAAGCAAATTATCACATTATTTCTCTAATTTGATTTTTACGGCCTGGTAACTCCACGATATTAGATCTTTGTTAGATAGTTTCAAGACTAATCTTTTAACGCTGCATTTTGTGTGATTGTTAGCTAAGCATACATACTATATATTAGTAGACATCATAATAGTGTGCGATATCTAGTTTAAAGTAGCGCTTGAATATGCGTAAAGTGTACCTGTACGGTAAGCTTAAGCTATTCGCAAAAGAGTCTTATCTGAAAGAAATATATTTCAATAATTTATTGACGACTACTGTAATCTCTCATAGTACAGTAAGTTTTTAAAAGGTAGTTAGGACACAATGAAGTGAATAATATGAGTACTTTATGTTGAGTTTCAGTCTGAAAGATTTAATAGTGGTAGTTGAATAAGAAATGCGACCAATTGATAACATGATAACAAAGAGAGAGAATGCGGAAGTTTAACGAAAGTAAAAAGATGTATGCATGGAATTACTAATTAAATTAATAAGTAAAGAAGTAAATTATTATATTATTTTCGATAACAAACGTCCAAATAGTGTTGAATTAGTTATAAGCAAATTAAGAGAGCTTAATTGGAAAGAGCTACTCCCTATAACAGTTCAATTAATTATTGAGGGCCCTTACAGCTTTAAAAAAGTGTTGACCCATAGTATAGAGACTGTATACTCTGATCGCACATAGACAACGTATAAAAGAATTTATTTTTATCGTATTCGGGCCAAATTGTCAGTTAGTAGATGAATAGGTACCGCAATAACTCTAGTGCTACATCTCACATTTGACTGTATTGATAGCTATATTGTATACTGTGAGGTTTCTAAGAATAAATATTGCTATCATATATAATACTGCTAATAGATGACTGTTAATTGCTGTATTAGAAAATTCTTGATAACTAATATTAACTAGTTAACTATAGTGCAATATTAATGTAACTTGACAGACTGTAGTTGTGAAGAAAATCAACAACTTAACAAACTATTCTTCGTTGCGCAGTCTTTACTTTACGGTACTATAACATTTTCAACACATAACTACAGTAATTAGCTGAAATCATTACAATCTGTTAAAGCGGTGTATAACCGATCATAAAATTTTTAAATTCGTAGTAAATTAGAACTTTATTTAGGTCTATATACAAAAATATTCTTACGTATTAATTTTTGCTATGAGCTCAATAGTGACTCAACACTACGTTATGATTTTGTATTTGTTATACTATATCACCGAAAATACGGTTGTTACTAAATGCTGCACGAGTTATCTAGATATCGGTTTGGTACGTTATTGGAATCGTATTTAAAACGAAGTATACGTATATAATGATACGCATGTTAATAAGCTAGGGGAGAACTAAGTACCAGGGACAAGATACGAGTAAGATTATACACTACGACCAATAAAGATTGAGTTCTATGCTATACCTATACTGAACTCGTCTGGAGGTTTCTAACTAATCTTCCTGTTACAAAAAACGTAACACCACTGTAAAACTACCAAGTCATGACAACAATCATATCACAACGCAAAATATCGATAGGCTTCTCTTAAATAGAGATTATCATGATATTATAAAATCATTTAAATGATTATGGTACTCTTCATGTTTTTATATATTCAATAAGGCACCGTAATAAAGCTTACCAGAAAGTATTCGGAGCAATCTAAATGTAGCTTGTGAGAAGTTTTGAATAGATTTTGTGGGTAATAATATTTCATATTAAGCAGTTATCACTGAGTTTTGATGGCATAAACGCTGTAGTGGATTTCTTGGTGTTATAGTACTGTGTAGCATTTCTGATATTGATTACTCAATTCTTCTCAATTTTAGCTCCCTTAATCCACAATTTTCAATCAATTTTAACGCTACAAAAGTTTACATTTCAAAATAGGATAATACGCTAGCGGTATATTTACAACTGTGATGGATTATTTTTAAGATTTTGAGATGGAACTTGAAGTTACAAATCAAAATAAAAAAATAGAGCATTGATAAATCAGGAAAAAAGATCTATTTAATCTGAATAGACCAAATATATATCGTGCGATGGTATTGATTTACTAAAGCATAACATTTTTTTCCTTCCATTAGGATAATGCATGGCTAATTTAGAATAGTTGGAGTAACAAGAGGGATTAGTTATTTAATAATTAGCCACTATATATTAACATATACCTAACAGCTTCAGTACTGCCTTAGTTCTTTACCATAGAGAGATATCTATAAGTGATGATGATTCGCTATTTTGCTATGCTATTAAGTTCAAGCTTGGATAGATGCAAATTATACAGTTAATGAATTATCTAATTATCTAAGTACAAGTAGTCATGAAGCTACGCTGTATGATTGCTACTGGTGTATGATCAATTTAACGCTTGCATATATGCGCTAACTATTTATTATTAAGAAAATCAATATTATCATTCTGAGCTTCCATAGAAAAAAGTTATAGATAGGATCTTAGGACAAACTCACATTTTTTCCAGGCTTGGTATTAGTTTTAAGAAATCAAGATTTTCTATTCCATTCTTATTGATATGCCTATTTAAAATATAGCAAAAACAATAAAAAAGGTTACAGTACTACAGATGATTACTAATCTATTTCTTCACATAATGGCAAGAATTTATTGTTTAGTACTGTACAGTGTACATTACATACTTACATAATTTTGACCACTTTGCAACTCTTAAACGATAACGGATGAATATATTGGAGGCGATTGTTAGAGATATTACAGATTAAGATTCATTAATTCTCCAGTTTAATAATCACAAATTGTGTATTATCAGGAGCATCCATGATTTAATTTATGAATTTCTCTTTATTAGTTTTAATTTGAATATTGAAGCAAGAAGTGAAGATTCATTCCTGAGTCTTGTGTATGTTGCGCGATACCAAAGACTCAAATGTAATCGACCATGATTGTAATTAATAAACTTGCACTCTATCTACTTGTATATTACTATTACAAACTTACTCTTGCTAACGGACTCAATAGTTACGACTGATATTTTCGTATTGAGTAGAGAACGACTTTTCTTAATCTTGAATCGGGTTATCATCTAGTATATTATACGAAAGAAACTCTCTAAACTGTTGTTGGTTCTCCCTCACAATATTGTATAATCTTACTTCAGCCTGATGATGCAAATTTGCCTCTGATTAGCAATTAGTAGTTGAAGTCTACCTGCAGGATAAGCAAGGTGAGCTAAATGAATTACCAAAGATAAACATGTTGACAAATAACAATTTGAGGAATGTCGTGCCGCGTCAATTTTAAGATTTCTTCAGTATTAACTAGCTAAGTAATATTCTAGTTATAAGTAGAGAAGGTAAAAGTAATTTATTGTGAGATGAGATAGTGTTTTGCTAATTCTTTCAAATTGATCAAATATGAGTGAAGTAAAGTAAGAGAGATCTTACACGGATATATCGTTAATACAATTTTTGTAAGCATAAACAGCCTTATGGGAGTCATAATGATGTTGATGATTTGGTATAGACCATAAAATAGTACAATTTCAACAATAAATTGCCTCGCAATCCCATACCGCTCAGCAATGACGGATAGGGTCATGCTACGGGTATAAACTTCTCCCTACGGCATTTATGAAACCCGCAGCACCATTTTACACGCGAAAAGTGTACTTATCATTATTGTATGGTTATTCTGTTTTAAATAGTATCGTCTCGTTATTCCTGTCTCACTTTTTCAAGGGATTTCCCTAATGCATCTGAATATGGCCATGAAGTGTGTCCTACCCCAATCAATGAAAGTGTCTAGCAATACGTCACTATGGCAATGATGGTATCAAGGATACTACTAGACTAGGGGTAGGATAGTTTGCTTCTATGTTAATCCTGCGTTGGATATATAGCCTAGTCATTTCTATCTCATTTTCCTACGGGATTCCACTACCCCATCCGTGGAAAAGAGGCATGAAATGGCGATAGCAAGCTATATTCCAATATCCATGACACCTGTCGATGGTTTAGGATGATTTTCCTATTTTAGATTTTCAGTACGTCGATTATAAGGTAGTAGACTAGGGGTAGGATAGTTTGCTTTTATGTTAATCCTGCGTTGGATATATAGCCTAGTCATTTCTATCTCATTTTCCTACGGGATTCCACTACCCCATCCGTGGAAAAGAGGCATGAAATGGCGATGGCAAGCTATATTCCAATATCCATGACACCTGTCGATGGTTTAGGATGATTTTCCTATTTCAGACTTTTAGTCCGTCGATTATAAGGTAGTAACGCAGTCAGTGGTATAGTAAAGTAGTAACAGTATCGTTGGAAAGTAGGCTGTCAGTGTACAGTAGAGGTACAGGAGAGGTAACACGTCACAGCTCCATCACGTGACGCTTGCGTGTTCCTGCTGCCGATATACTACCGTGCGGTCGTGTAGAGGTAAGCTACGGAATCATAAGCTTGAATAAAAGGCTTTTAAGTTAATTTATATCGTGAAATTGGGGAAGCACCGCCTTTGGAAGGCTTTCAGCGGAATGTTCCTTGTCACTCATGCGCACTGGCACAGCTGGGTATGATCGTCCACTAACCCATACCAGTGTCTAAAGTAACAGGTTCTGACTACAGCCCACAGCCACTCTCGCTTATTTTTCGTCGTTGTAGGAGCTGACGACATTGTCAAGAAAATTCAAGACGAAAACAACAACTTTTGCAAGGTTAATTCTCCATTGATCGAGTAGTTGATTCATTTTTTTGCCTTATAGTAGCCATCGGAGGTTTCTATCTTGATTAGCTATCCAATCGTTATCGTAGTCCTCTGTTTCATATCTCTAACGATCAAGTTTAGCCTTATTATTGATTCGAATTAGCGAATTTCATCGTCCAAACAAGCAGATAGAACGATGGCTGACTTTTTCAGCAAGAGAGTAATGTATCCCTATTTGATTTGGCTTGCAGTTGGCTTCTTTCATGGCCTACACTGGTTAAACTTTATACCTGGTATCCTGAATAATAATCGATATTATGGTAAATTCTCCAAAAGGGCAATCTGGTGTCATATTGTGGCTTATTGGTTTTCAATCGTTTGTTTCTTTATTTTTCGTCAAACTATGCAACCTTGGTACATTCCCTGTTCTGGTGGCGAATCCATGTCAGTCCATTGCTTATTTCATGAACAAAGAGCCGATTATGTTGCCTTTTACATCATTCACTTGATCTTTTTGGCTTATTTAGTCATCAAATGGATTGTAGATGGCCTCTTCTTCTATCGTTGGATCAATATAAGTGATGCTATTGCCAAAAACCGTGAAGACAATGTGCAAGATTTGAAAGATTCCAAGACAGCTATTATTCAACCTTAATTCATATTCATTATGGATTGCCAAGAAATCGTCCTGGCTGTATAGATTATAAATTAGTGGTTTATATTAAACTGATATTTTGTAAATGAATTCTGCTTTTTCAGTTGTAAGCAGTGTATATTGCACGGCTTCGAAGTAGATCTTGCTAGATTTTCCATCATTAAAATGATACGAGTCGTTGTGCTTTGTCAACGCTTTCACAACCGACATCATGATTTGGATGACCAATGATGAGAATTGGGTTTGGAAAGGCTCCTTCCTTAGCAAGTGTACTGCAACACTACCTATAAAAGTATTTAATGACTACGCGGCTTGAATGAAACAAATGGCTCCATTTTAGTGATGGCGTATGGATCATCCTATGTAAATTTCATTCTGTATCCTTATGCTGTTATTTCCTACAGTACAGTATTCATAAAACTACGAGTATTAAAACGTCCAGTAGAACAAGCCCATTCGAACATGCTTTCTTTACTACTCTGTGCTCGTATCATTATTGTATATAATATACGATACAAAGAAATTACTGTTTTGCATATTTTTTCATCAATGATGTACAATTTTGCTTTTAACGTTGCTTCAATATTAATCGCTATAATAACGATCGAGTAATTTGCGTTGTGAAAATGATTTGTATTGTAAATCATTATACTGTATTCTTTATGAACGGTCAATCGACCACCATATTGTGTATTTCGAGATTATGCTTTAAGAGTTATTTCCGTTTAATAGGTATTCTCGAATGACTTTAATACAGTACAGCGTTTGCCGTGATTTGGCTTTGACAAACAATAATCACATTACTTGTTTTTTAAATGACAAAAGTATATACAATAAAACAGTCAGAAATCCAATGAGACATTTCCTAGTTGTAGCCATGCAAAAATATTATTTAGAAATCTTGTTAACGAACAGAGTGTAGAATCGCTTAAATATTTGCGATAATGCATCAATGGCTGACGGTGAATATCTAAATTACTTCGATTTGGATATGAGGAAACTCTGTTAGCTTCGTATAACAATCTCTGTAGGATCAGAGAAACTCATTTATACAATGGATTTACTACCACATTTTTACACATTAAGCAGAAAGACCTAATGTATTGAAAACTTAAAAAATTGTAGAAATAATAGTATGTTATTTACAGCCAGCAGTCAATTGCCTCAACGACAACGAAAAAAATGCTAAGATCACTCCATATTGATTGATTCTAATTTTTTCCTCAGTTGAGTTGTAATTGAATTCTTCCGTAAAAAGTTGACCTCATAGAGTAAGGTTTTCAGAAATATGACTTGATCATCTTCAGTTCCTTTCACTTTTTCCAAGAGCTTAAATATTTCTTTATCGGCTATAAAATTGATTAAAATGGATAAACAGTTAGTGAAAGGACGAGATTTTACTTGATCAAGGATAAATTAATCATGCGCAAAGAACATACTCTTGCTGTGGTTTCTGATATAGCTGACAATGCTTTTCTTTAGCGATTTATTATGATCGTGATTCTGCCACAACGTGGTAAACCTGTCCTCAAGCGTCATGGATTCATCTTCAGAGGTTCCACTTGCTTCAGAATCCATACTGTTATCACTTGATGGAGAGCCTATGGTGATCTCCATATCATCCGATTCTTCTATTAAAGAGAGTCTTCGAGTGGACAATGAAGATGGCTTATTTTCATCCTTGTTGGAATTTAAAGTAGAAACATCCCCTGATTTATGCCGTTGGCTAGATGATCCTGCTCCAAATGACATCAATAAAGTAAATCAATTTTAGCTTTCCGTTATCATAGCATATTCGACATCCTCAACATTCTACGAATATAGCCTGATTGAATACAATAGTGAATGATGCTGCTGGTCCGTAAGCAATTTGTATACCTTTATGCCCTTGAGAATCTAAACGCATTCTCTTTGGCGAATGTCTAGGAGTTGGCGTACCAGGTCGCTTGTTACGCGGCGACTGACCAGAAATCATTACATCTGCTTCATCGACAACAAAGTCCTAACATTGCGCAGTAACAGGATAGGCAAATTTAAATATCGAATCATCTCAAGATACAATAAGTTATCATAGCAGTGCAGATTTAAGTGCATTATCAAATGTCGCAATTCAAAATATTGCAGTATTCATAGTAATAGTCATTCCACCTACTTGATCACGCTTGAATGGATTACCAAAAATATGAACACGCTGCGGTTGCTGACCGGTAGCAACTTCTCGAAGCATTTGTGAACTAACTCTTTTCATGTGTTCCTGGTAATTTCCCATTTGACTTATTGGTATGTCATGAAGATACTCTAAGTCAATCAGGAAAAGTAAAATAAATTATTAGGTCAATCATTAGTACAAGCTAATAGTCAATAGAAACTCTTCGAGAGTTAATATTTTAGGCGTAGCCGTTAACAGATAACATTTCATCTGATAAGTGAAGTAGCCCAAGGTTACGTAAAATCGACAGTCATTACCTTCACTTCCATTCGCTGGCAGACTGCTGTTGAAAAAATTGGCAATCATTCGTTTCAGCTGTTCCAGCAAATGGAACCTTGGAATATCATATGGATTCCGAAACATTTCTCCTATTGAAAGTCGCTAAAATAGGAATGAAGTCATACTTTTAGTAAAAATAAGAAGAGGAAACATCCACAAATGTTGTTAACTGCCTTTTACTAGTAATAAAAATCAACCTGCTTCGATTCGATGATGCCCATGTAATTATTGGGCCAAATACTTGCGGCTACTTTACTATAATTAGGAAAAAAGTGTTATAATAAAGCATTAGACCAACAATGATACCAAACTTAATAACAACCAGTTGGAAATTTTTACAAACCTAAAATTAATATCGGAATTTGATTGCTTTTTATTCGATATGGTCAGTAAGGTTCTAAAATAATAAATTCCACTTTCAATAACTAGTATAAGGATATTGCAGACGTTGATTTCATTTCATTTACCTCCTTTGCAATTTATTAACGTATTGTTCGCGATTAGGCTTTTTGCCAACACTACAAATCATTCGATCTGCTTCTACTTTTGCCTAATAGTTTTTTAAGATAATTTAAAAGTTATCATTGCAACTGCCAATTTTATAAATGAGGCGATATTCTTACCTGAGTCCGAAGTTTTTTCAACATATTGGATAATGAAAAATTAAGAGTGCCATCAAAATGCTCCGGTACTATGCCTATTGGGGCTCCCATTAACAACATTACCCTTTTAAGGGACTGAGAGGGAAATATGCTAATTATTAGTATCAGACTTTGATGAATTGTGCCTAGTTATGAGTGTATAATCATACTAAGCCCTAATAATCATGCATTTCAGATTTGTTGCATACCGATCCGTAATACGATGGCATATTTAAAACATATCTGCCAAATTTCTCTTTCCATAGCATATCAGGCTTACATCTATGAACTCTGAAGAGGTCGTCTAAAAGGCATTTAAAATTATTAATTGACATTGTGATCAAATTGTTTAATATTGTGGCATTTTACAATAAATAAAACGACCAATCAAAATGATACTAATGGTTACCTAGCAATGGCAATAAAACTGGGTAATTATATGGTAGTACGTGCAAATTAACGCAATTCATCTTATTGCTAGCTTTTAAATAACCAAATGGAAGGTCAGCACTGCGGCCTCTGTCACTCCCGGCTATAAATGTCTATAATGGATTCAAAATGGATCAGATTTGAAATCAGATCATCAATGCTATAGCAATTAGCTAACTTCAATTTATTTTATATGATAATGGTATTTACCTGCCAGCAAATGTTGGGCGATTTCCTTTCCAATATGTATTGAGTAAGTGGAGAAGGCTCTAGTTCATATTTATCAAATGGCAAGCGATCAATCATCATTGCTTCGCGGTCAATGCAGGAGAATTTTATAGTGGGATGTGCAAATCTTGGTTGCTACAAGTGTTTTGAATAGAAATTGATGGAGTTATACTAAGCATGTTTTCTTTCGGCCAGTAAAATAAGCGCATACGCCTAGAATGATAACGATCGCTAGCAAGTCCGATTATTTACAGCTAGTAAATGCAATTTATCGCAAACTTACTACATCATTTTCACTCGTGTAAGGCTCAGGTATTGGCCAGTGACCACTTGCATTTGGGATAGTATTAACATAAATTATTCGTCTACATTTGTGCCACGACTTATTTATTAATGTACTATCTTCAGTGTTTATCACTTGTACATATTCCCTGCTGTTGGCATCATCTATAAAATAGACATGACATGAAATACGCGTAGAAAATTACTCCTACATCACAACAAATTGTAAAAACTGTTAAATAGTGCACCTGGAATATCCTCGGGATTCTCCATAATTTCGAAATTGACTACGACACCACTATGTAATTTTTGGATAATAGATTCAATACTCTGGTGTAAAGCTTTCTGCGAAGCTACAAGATAACTCTTTCCTAAATAGTTTAGGAATAGGATTGACGATGGAATTTTAGTTTTAGTAAAGTGTACTTTGCACACAGCGTTTCAACATAAAATCAGTTTTCAAAGGTAATAAATAAAATCCTTACCACCAGTGGCTTCACAAATTGAATTATAATGCGAATCTCCATTGACAATCGCAGATTGATTCACAACCTTATCATAGCCATCCAGGATTATACCAGGAAACTGTATAACGATACTAAATAATCGTTGATCCCAGCGGAATGGTTCCTTGGTGAGTTCATCTCCCGATAATTGCGATAATGGTATAATCAACTATTCAAAAATAGGTAAGGATGGTATGTAAATAAGAGAAATTCTTGGCTACTTTCATGGACATCAATGATAATATAGGTTATCTAATGAAAGGGAATCTATGTCTATGTTGCTATTAGACGATAGCCAAAGACTTGCTTGGAGGAATATCTAAAATGGATGGTAATATCTTTCTTATTTAAAACTAGCCTACCTCATTGGCAATTCCTTGTGCTGATGTTAGCTTGCATCCATCCGTTAATGTAATTATGACAGCAGGCTCAATGGAATGAGGATCTCTCCCTTGGCCATACTTATCGATGCCGCTAACCATTCGATTGACATTCAATAGATTGAAGGCTTCCCGCAATGCTAAATCCATCTGCGAATACCCAGTGGCTTGTAGATTTTTTAGTTCATTAAGAAAGGAGTAATGACTCTCACGCCAGCCAACCTTTTCATCAATGAGTTCATTTCCAAGTTATTTTTCGGTTTTACATTCTCTAGACTTGAAGTACTATCGCTAATGTGCTATTTTTGAAGCCAAACTGTTATGCAGTATGGGTATCAAAATCTTGGTCCATTGATATACTCTTACCTTGATCATTGCTGGAGGATCATCCGTTGTTATAAGCATACATTTATCCGTCCGACACGCTGGATCTCTGCTTCTTAACTACAATTATTCCATAAAAAAGAATAAAACATGATGATTAATGATGGTTCCAATAAGCGATGAGTTTAGTAGAGAATTCATTTCTGCTGAAATCTGTTTACAATTTCATCTCGCTTGCCTACCGTAAACTATATCAAAACTATTTTATTGTCGGCTACCGTAAATCATTCTATTTATTACACCATTAAGGTATTCAATGAATTCATTAAAAATAGTGATATTACTTGACAAGATTCATTCACTAGAGTTGTTGAATTCAAGAACGAAGGAGAGGAATTATAACGGTTTCAGCAAGCGATGAATTTGGTAGAAAATTCATTTCTATTGAAATCACTTTACAATATCATCTCGCTTGCCTACCGCAATCTGTATCAGAACTATTTTATTGTAGGTTACCATGAATTATCCTATCAACAGTATTACGCCGTAAAGGCATTCAATAAATTCATTTAAAATTAGTTACATAGCCTTGTATGATTAATTTATCACTTCTATCTCAGGCACCAAGTGTACAACACCTAGTCATGGAATGCACTTTTAATCTTTCAAACGAATTACCGCCACGAGGATATTCAATAAATGATATTGCTAGACTTTGATACGCTACCATTTTAAAATTGTATCCGTCCAATTAGATTGTTAAGGGAGTTTTTGAGTTTTATGATATTGAATTTCCTCAGTTTCCCTTTGAATAGTGCAGATCATCTCTGCTCATTTTTGCTTTTGCTTTACGTACATATTTGTTACTACAAGATTGAATCAGAACTAGCGTACTAAACCCTACCATGAATGGATATTATACCTTCAAGGATATTCAATAACTTACGGAAATGTTGAAAAAAATGCTGCCCATCACATTATGAATTGAATCTGAACAGCAATCATAATTTGGACTAAAGCAGCTGAATTATGTAGTATGTTTCCATTGCGAGATAGTCTTTAGCCAAGTTTTTTATTGGGAAAAGGGCTATTAAACGTTCTAACTTGTTGTTATCAATCACATCATGATTTGAATCTGAACAGCAAGCAAAATTTGGACTAAAGCAACTGAATTATGTAGTGTGTTTCTATTGCAAGACAGTCAATAGCCAAGTTATTTTATTGGGAAAGGGCTATTCAACGTTCTAACTTGTTGTTATCAATCACATCATGATTTGAATCTGAACAGCAAGCATAATTTGGACTAAAGCAACTGAATTATGTAGTGTATTTCTATTGCATGGCAGTCAATAGCCAAGTTATTTTATTGGGAAAGGGCTGTTAAACCTTATAACTTGTTGTTACTTTGTGTAGAATATTCAATGACTTTTCAGCGCGTTAGAAATACACTATCAATGACATCATGATTTGAATCTTAACAGTAAAGACAACCTGATCGCTGTAGCAGAATCGTTGTTGTCCTTTCCATTCTACGACTATCCATTGCTACGATTTTGATCCAAATAGAGCAGTTAAGCTTGTGTATTCATCGATTGCAGGAAATGGTCTTTCTCTACGAGAGCACAACTCTACAGTCTATCAAAACTACATTACTTTATATCATCAAGAAGAATTATTGCTGGATGGTAGCGCCAAAGACTTGTCGCAATACTCATGCAATAACTTGTATACAGTATCGGTTAATTATCAATGATAATTTGTGCGCCATTTTCAAGCTCGCTAATCCTCCCTATCAAGTTCTTACTCATCATTTTTGATTAGCCCCTGAAGATCAATTATTGCAAGTATTTCCACTGCACCATAAAGAAGAAAAGCTTTTGCTACTGCTGCTTACCTTTAAGAAATATTCTACAGCTCCTTTGGTAATATCTAAATAAGAAGTGCCCAGGTAGCTTTGCTGGTTCATGGAAGCACTTGTATCCAGCACGAAAATGAGAATCATTTTGCCTGGTTCAATCAATCATTCAATACTCAGTATAAATGGACAAGACACCAGTAACAATCTTCTTCAGCTTTCCTTCCTCTTCTAATCCAAATGTAGTCACTATGAGAGAGATGAAGGAGGGAAAAGAATCGCTGGATAAATTAATTGAACTTCAACGATGGCAGACAGAGACGAAGATCTTCTCCCCTAGCATGCCTGTCCAGGCACAATGGAGTTTGCTTCTGGTTTTCCATTGGCTTTTATAGTACACGATCTGTATGGATTGATGGCTACCGTATGGGTATGTTATCCTGCTGTACTGGTCCACTGCCAGGCACGTCGAATGACTGTCGACGCCTATACTGTATACAGTATTACTACCCTGTTAGCCCCAGACAGCCCATACAAAATCGTATTGCGGAATTGGCCTACGCCACTTGGCAAGCCATGTCCATTTTTCAAAGTCTCCATTAACATGATTCCTAATGGATGAATTCATGGGGAAATGGACAGTTTAATGGAAGAATTTCTCCTTATGCAGTGGTAGAATGACTGTAGGTGAAGGATTTTGTCTTAGAAAGACTGGTTGACTTTCAGCTGAGTAAAAGGCATGCCGTGAAAAGTGCCTGCTATCGACGAGTGGGAGAGTAGATACAATCCGGGAAGGAAATGAAATCGATGACGATTAATGAATTAATGCTGTGGTAGAAAATATTGCAACAGTGATCGAAAAGGCAACCTTGAGAAATGGGACTGCTGCAATATGCTGTACGATTAGATTGAGAATGTTGCAGTAGAAAATATGGCAACAGTGATCGAAAATACAACCTTGAGAAACGGGGTTGCTGCGGCAATACGCTGTACGATTAGATTGAGAATGTTGCAGTAGAAAATATGGCAACAGTGATCTAAAATACAACCTTGAGAAACGGGGTTGCTGCTGCAATACGCTGTACGATTAGATTGAGAATGCTGCTGTAGAAAATATCGCAACAGTAATCTTAATAGAATGCTGCAGTAGAAAATATGGCAACAGTGATCTAAAATGCAACCTTGAGAAACTGGGTTGCTGCTGCAATACGCTTTACGATTAGATTGAGAATGTTGCCGTAGAAAATATCGCAATAGTTGTCTAAAATGCAACCTTGAGAAATAGGGTAGCTGCTGCAATAGCTTATACGATTGGTTTAAGAATGCTGCAGTGGAAAATATCGCAACAGTGATCTAAAGGCAACCTTGAAACATGGGGTCGCTACTGCAATACGCTGTACGATTAGATTGAGAATGCTGCAGTAGAAAGTATGGTAACAGTAATCTAAAAAGAATGCTGCAATAGAAAATATGGCAACAGTGATCTAAAATGCAACCTTGAGAAACTGGGTTGCTGCTGCAATACGCTGTACGATTAGATTGAGAATGCTGCAGTAGAAAATATCGCAATAGTTGTCTAAAATGCAACCTTAAGAAATAGGTTCGCTGCTGCAATAGCTTATACGATTGGTTTAAGAATGCTGCAGTGGAAAATATCGCAACAGTGATCTAAAGGCAACCTTGAAACATGGGGTCGCTGCTGCAATACGCTGTACGATTAGATTGAGAATGCTGCAGTAGAAAATATCGCAACAGTACAGTAGTCTAAAATGCAATCTTGAGAAATGGAGTAGCGACTGCAGTAGGTGGTACGATTGTTTTGAGAATGCTGTAGTAGAAAATATCGCAATAGTTTTCTAAAATGCAACCTTGAGAAATAGGGTAGCTGCTGCAATAGCTTATACGATTGGTTTAAGAATGCTGCAGTGGAAAACATCGCAACAGTGATCTAAAATACAACCTTGAGAAACGGGGTTGCTGCTGCAATACGCTTTACGATTAGATTGAGAATGCTGCAGTAGAAAGTATGGCAACAGTAATCTAAATAGAATGCTGCAGTAGAAAATATGGCAACAGTGATCTAAAACCTTGAGAAACGGGGTTGCTGCTGCAATACGCTGTACGATTAGATTGAGAATGCTGCAGTAGAAAATATCGCAATAGTTGTCTAAAATGCAACCTTGAGAAATAGGGTTCGCTGCTGCAATAGGTTATACGATTACATTGAGAATGCTGTAGTAGAAAATATAGCAATAGTAGTCTAAAATGCAATCTTGGGAATTGGGGTAGCTGTTGCAATAGGTTGTACGATTAGATTGAGAATGCTGCAGAAGAAAATATCGCAATAGTTGCCTGCAATGCTACCTTGGGAAGTAGCTGCTGCAATACGAATAGATTAAGATTACTGCAGTAGAACGTGTCCTATCTGCTGTCCAATGCAATATTAAGAAATGCGCGAGCTATTGATACATTTCACATTAATAGTCATGGACCACTAGAAATGTATCTTCTTTTAGTGGTTCATGAATTCGTTTCATTAAAAACGCTACGGTAGAAATGAGCTAGCTGTTGTAATATTTTATGCCATTCGATCGAGAATGGCACACTGTGGAGAATGTGGTATCTGTCGTCCAATGTAACCTTAAGAAATGGGCTAGCTACGGCAATAATTGTATAATTAGATTAAGAATACTGCTGTATAAAAAATATCTTAGCAGTTGTTTAATGCAACCTTAAGAAATGGGCTAGCTGTTGCAATCTTTTATGCAATGAGATTGAGAATGTTGCACAGTAGTCAATGTCGTATTGGTTGTCTAAGCTTGCCTTAAGATGTTATAGCATTAGATTTAGAATAGAAATCGAGATATGAACTACACCTAAGCTGAAAAATTATTTTTACACATTTGCAGACAGTCATACTAACTTCCAAAAATCCAGTAGGAATAAAATAGAGTTAACAATAATTGATTTGACGATATGGCATAGTCAGCTTTTCAACCACTATCACTTTATTAAGGCTGAGAACTAGCGTGAACAGAACAACTGTAAGAAATGCCAGTAATAAACGTATTTCTACTCAGAACAATTCTGCCTATCGTCCTCAACCATGGATTACTAGCTATTATGCATTCAAGTAACAGTCTACTAAGACTAATAAAGACTGCCTTCTATCCTCGTTTTTTAAACTAGTTACTATGCACAAGATGGACATCTGTCATTCACTAAATAACACGGGTGTTTACATGCTCTACTGTATTTCCACAATATTAACCTTCTCTTGCTATTCCTACAGTATTTGCAAATAAATCCTATTGATATCGGCTGTAGTCTAATTAAATTAAATAAAGATTTATCGTTATTACCTTAGAATAATAACGTGATAGCCAGCTAACATTCATGTTACAAGATTGACGAGTATTTACGAGTATCGATATATATTATACACCATACAGTCATGGTTACTGATATCCAATTTTGTTCAAGGCATTTTTTTCCATTGGTCTATTCCTCCAGCCAAGTGTCTCGCTCTGCAAATAAAATGATGCTGTAATAAGGATAAGCTTCAATAGTAATCTTGTTTATCGATCGCTAGCAGCAGCCTCAGATGATCTTGGGCCAAGAATTTCTACTCGCGTAGTCTATTTTATTGTCGCTATGAAGAATTTGAACTAGCGACATCGCTACAGTACACTACATTTCTGCACTAAGGAAGTCAAGTGGACACAAGCGAAAATTGGAGGCTACCTAGTGATCTCCACCATCCGCTTGAGTAATACATTCATTACTCGCTGACATTGGAAGATGCAAGATCAAGTCCTTGCATAGCTAGACAGTAAAGACTACCATTTTTTCCCCATTAAACTATAGCCACCAATACATTGCTGCTCCTATTTTACAGTACGAAGAATTGGAACTGGCGATATCGCTACTATACAATTCGCTTGAACAACAAATTACTTGCATAGCTTGACAGTAAAGACTATTATTTTTTCAACATTAAGCTATAGCCACCAATACATTGCTGCTCCTATCTTATAGTGCGAAGAATTGGAACAAGCGACATAGCTACAATATATTTCTGCACTCATCGCGATCTCAACGATCAGCTTGAGCAACAAATTACTTGTTAGCATTGCAAGATGCAAGATGCAAGATCAAGACCTTGCATCGCTTGACAGTAAAGACTATCATTTTTCCCCCATTAAGCTATAGCCACCAATACATTGCTGCTCCTATTTTACAGTAAGAAGAATTGGAACTGGCGATATCGCTACTATGTAGTACAATTCGCTTGAACAACAAATTACTTGTTGATATTGGAAAATGCAAGATCAAGATCTTGCATAGCTTGACAGTAAAGACTATCATTTTTTGGCCATTAAAGCTATAGCCACCAATATATTGCTGCTCCTATCTTAGAGTGCGAAGAATTGGAACTAGCGACAGAGCTACAATACAGTTCTGCACTCATTGTGATCTCAACGATCCGCTTGAGTAACTAATTACTTGTTGACATTGCAAGATACAAGATCAAGACCTTGCATCGCTTGACAGTAAAGATTATCATTCTTTCCCCATTAAGCTATAGCCACCAATACATTGCTGCTCCTACAGTATCTTATCGTACGAAGAATTGGAACTAGCGACATAGCGACAACACATTTCTGCACTCATGGTGATCTCAACGATCCGCTTGAGTAACTAATTACTTGTTGACATTGGAAGATGCAAAAGCAAGACCTTGCATCGCTTGATAGTAAAGACTATCATTTTTCCTCCATTAAGCTATAGCCATTAATACATTGCTGCTCCTATTTTACAGTACTTACCGATTATATCCTAGAGAGATTGCAGTCTTCATGGCATGATTACTCCTGACTCCACCTTTACAATAAAAGACTAAATTGGTATTCTCTTTGTCCGGCTGAGCGACACCATATCGGATGGCAAAGTCCTCATCATGGATGGATAAAGCTTCTACCAACTGTCCCACTACGTTCAATAAAACAACATATCCTTTATTTAAATCATTAGCTCAGGTTAAGATTGGAGAAGCATGGAATAGTTATTTACATGGTACGTTGATCGATCCGTTAATTTTGCCTTCCTCCGTTAATTCAGCTGGTTCACGAACATCAATCAGATAAATGCTCTTCTCTTCCAGTAGCGTTTTAACTTGTAGTGGCGTTAAATCACGCTGGTCATGAGTGCAATAAAAGCGTTGGCCTATTCTACGCTGGCTGCTGGTAGCCTGCATGAAAGGATAACCAGGCGATGCAATGCTTGCATGATAGTATCGTGGAGCAGAAACGACGCCATTGCTCATGAACATGCGTTGAGCTTGTAGCAGCAGCGTAAAGCGAGTTAACTTGGTATACACCTTAGCCATCAGTCTTCCTTTCTATCTCTCTCTTTCTCTACTGTAGAAATCTTTCACACCGGATGATTCTTTCTCGTGCAATTTGAGCACGATCTTGAGCCCTTTGCAAGTTGGTTGATGGCGGTGGAGCAATGTCCGAAATCAAGCCAGTAGCAGCGAATCGCTGACATCACCCAGACGGATGGAATGACATCCCGCCGTTCTCCCGGGTAGTCCGCCTGACCGGAAGTCCGACGCCAGGGTGTGGAGTCTCGTAGGGTTGGTACCCATTCAGGTATGCCATTCTATACTCTATACACTTATTTTCCAAAGTATCCTATAGCCAGCACAAAGTAAGAGTTGGAGCGCGGGCATGATGACACGGTCTGAGGATAGCCGATAGGTTGACTACCGTAATCATCCTTTAAAGTCCATATTAAAGCCTATTACGCCATCCAAAAAGCGCCGAATACTATGGCAGAATTTTCTCTTTCTCCATCAATCACTATGGCACAGCCATCCAACCACTTCTCGCTTCATCCTATACGCTACTCTATACACTTCTCGCATGTTTTAGTACCTAGATAGGCTTTCGTATAGCAGCCAACCTTGCTTGTTGACCACCCAATCGTAGCAGAGCTTCTGTATCCCATACTCGACCAGGAGAGCTCGGTGGCGCTATGGAGGGAAGAAAAATCTCGGGTAAATTGGATTTTATAGCTTGTATCTTGGTTGATAGGCTAAAATAAGTTGATTGAGTTATAGCTTTATTACTACTCACTATGTTGATGTTGTTTTTGAACGATTGCAATCCAATTGTAGGCGATAAAGAGGTAAATTGGACAGCCGATTGAGTGTGTGGTGAAATGGACAAAGTTGTCCTAGCGTAGGCTAAATGCGAGTCGGTCTACTGACAGAAAATGCAAGGCAAACATGGATGCCAACAACGTTTATTCCATTGGATTGCTTTGCATTTTCTACTGGTGGTAGAGCAATTTGTGTGTTGTGACTGTTGTCAAGCGCTTTAGTCTAGTTTCATTTTGAATGTGTGGTGAAATGGACAAAGTTGTCCTAGCGTAGGCTAAATGCGAGTCGGTCTACTGACAGAAAATGCAAGGCAAACATGGATGACAACAACGTTATTCCAATGGATTGCTTTGCATTTTCAACTAGTGGTAGAGCAATTTGTGTGTTGTGACTGTTTTCAAGCGCTTTAGTCTAGTTTCATTTTGAATGTGTGCTGAAATGTTGTCAAGTTTTCTGACTGTAGGCGAATTGAGAGTGGATCGACCGAGAGAAAATGCAATGCAAACAGGGATGCCAACAAGGTTTATTCCATTGGATTGCTTTGCATTTTCAACTAGTGGTAGAGCAATTTGTGTGTTGTGACTGTTGTCAAGCGCTTTATTCTAGTTTCATTTTGAATGTGTGCTGAAATGGACAAAGTTGTCCTAGCGTAGGCTAAATGCGAGTCGGTCTACTGACAGAAAATGCAAGGCAAACATGGATGGCAACAACGTTATTCCAATGGATTGCTTTGCATTTTCAACTGGTGGTAGAGCAATTTGTGTGTTGTGACTATCGTCAAGCGCTTTAGTCTAGTTTCATTTTGAATGTGTGCTGAAATGGACAAAGTTGTCTGACTGTAGGCGAATTGAGAGTGGATCGACCGAGAGAAAACGCAATGCAAACAGGGATGCCAACAAGGTTTATTCCATTGGATTGCTTTGCATTTTCAACTGGTGGTAGAGCAATTTGTGTGTTGTGACTGTTGTCAAGCACTTTAATCTAGGTTGATTTTGAATGTGTGATGAAATTGACAAAGTTGTATTACAGCAGCGTCAATCACAGTAGGTCTACCGAGAGAAAATGCAATGCAAACTGGGATGGCAACAACGTTTATTCCATTGGATTGTGTTTGCATTTTCAACTGGTGGTAGAGCAATTTGTGTGTTATGACTGTTGTTAAACGCTTTAGTGTATGTTGATGTTGGTATCGAAGGTAGTTGAAGATAGAACGGATGAGATAGATCGGTGTAGAATAGTGGCCAGTGACTTGAAAGACGACTGTAGTCATGGTCGACAACGAATGACAGTTTTAGCTATCAGCTCGATGACAATCCGCTCTTTAACCTCTTTTTTTCAGGGCAAAAATGTACCGGATTATATCGGATTCGCTAATCTGCCCAACCAAGTGCATCGGAAAGCAGTCAAGAAAGGCTTTGAATTCACAGTTGTTGTTGTTGGAGAATCAGGCCTTGGTAAATCCACTTTAATCGATTCACTTTTTCAAACCAATCTGTATGCAGACCGTAATATTCCTAATGCAAAAGGTAAGAGTAGAAAGGGAGTTGATCGATTAAGGTAGGCAGTGGCCTGCCTTACTAGATGGACACATAACTTGGACGTGCGAGGCAGGAACTCTTTCAGTCTGCCTTTCAACGCCCATTTATTTTTTTAAGCGCCACATTAGATGATTAGTTGAGTACAAAGGTGTTGCAAGATTCCTATTCGATAGTAACATGCATCATAAAGATCAATTATGTTGTGTCAAAATTAATCAATGCTAACATACAGTATAACGGATACATTTTCTTTAGCTCGCATCAAAAAAACCGTGGAAATTCGGAAACAGACCGTAGATATTGAAGAAAAGGGTGTAAGATTACGCTTGTCGGTGGTGGATACCCCCGGATTTGGAGATGCTTTAAATAACGATAAATGGTTCGATTGCTTTCGAAATGATATCAATGACATTTAGCGTATGCATGACGATGACATGTTACTATGCAATCTACAGTAAGATCATAATGGATTCCCATCTAATTTTAACAGTTGGGACAATATCGTCAAATTTATCGATGAACAATATGAGAAATATTTGAGTGATGAATCGGGTTTGAATCGTAGAAACATTACTGATCAACGCGTCCATTGCTGCTTATACTTTATATCCCCAACTGGAAATGGGTAAGTCGTGCAAAGTTGCGATACTTGACGAGTTTTTCCTTGTCGACAAAAAGTTATCTTGACAGTATTGATACTGATCAAGTAAGTGTTTTTCCTTTTATTAGACTAAAACCGTTAGATATAGAATTTATGAAGAGATTAGATACTCGAGTCAATATTGTACCAGTTATTGCCAAATCGGATACACTAACCGCCCATGAAATCAAAACACTAAAGCGTAAAGTTAGTCAATGCCGGCAAAGCTATCGATGTTCATCTCGTAGACTTGAATACACGTTGCTTTAAATCCCTTTTCATCTTGTCAATCGTAGATTCTAGACGATATCAGGACCCATAGTATCGACGTATATACGTTTCCCGAAACAGATAGTGATGAAGATGAAGAATTTAAAAGAGAAAATAATCAATTGAAGGTAAGATATTGATCAACTATTATTCCGTGGTTTTCATACACTTATACCATATCCTATATGGATTTTCTGGTCGTCATAGTCAAGTGTGCCTTTTGCTGTGGTTGGCAGTAATAAATTTTACGATATCCGTGGTAAAAAAGTGCGAGGGCGCCAATATCCGTGGGGCATCGTTGAAGGTAAAGCATGCTAGAGAATACACTGTTTCCCTAAAATAGGATATTTACCAGCTGTTGCAGCTGCTGAAATTGAAATACTTGACGATAACGTGAATGGACGTTTTTCTTCTTGCTTTACGCTTGACTTACTTGCTTGGTTCTTGACAGTCGAAAACTTGGAGCATTGCGATTTTGCCAAATTGAGAAGCATGTTGATCAGGTAATATGGGAAGATTAATTGCACCTTTACTTTAATACTCGTCGGTTTGCATAACCTTAAAACTAAGCATACGCGTATATTGAAAGGACTCACATGCAAGATTTGAAAGAAGTAACTCATGAAGTTCTATATGAACAATACCGTGCTAACCGCCTTCGTAGCGGTGATAGTAGCAATTTATCGTATCAGAGAAGGTAAATGGAAAGTAGAAATTTCCAATAAGAACTGCAATATCCTTGCTATGCTTCATTGGAATCCTGTCGATATCCAATATTACAGTATTGAAATCTAATCGTGTACTATGTTCAATACGCGTAGTAAACTGAAACGAGAATCCATGCTCATACGTGACAATATGGATGAAAAGACCAACGAACTTCTTAAAGCTAAAGAAGACGAGGTTTGTCGACATCACAGTTGCAAAGCAGCTTGCTTTGACTCAATACTGAATGGCATGGCTTATTATTTTTTCGACCATTCTAGTTACAACGTATGAAACTCTTAGTAGCTCAAATGGAAAAGGAAAAGAAAGAACTAATGATGAACAAGTGAGAAGATGAATTGAAGGTTTTACTAAATAGCAAACAGTCAAGATATTTTATACGATGCAAACCATACTTTACTACGAATGTAGTCATACAGTATAGGGAAATAAAATGTGCACATAGTCGCAATATTATACATATGCAAACATGCACTCGTTGCCTTATCAATCGGTGTAAGTCATTATTATAACAGTGTTTTTACATATCATGGTGAAGAAATAGATTCACCTTGATTCCATTGGTATACGTATCAGCATAAGTCCTATTGTTGTGGCTATAGTTTAAAAAGTACCGTAGTGAAATATTGTAAAAACTTTAATATGGTAAGATCTGTTAGGCCATAGAAAAAAATGTTAACGTTGCGGTTGGTTTTGCTAATTAAAGAGCTCTGCATATAAGTGTGGTTGCCGTCTTTTCTAAATGACGGTAGCTCTACTCCGGATAGTCCAATCACTTTAATTTTGTATACATTTCATTTATAAAATTTGGATTCTAATTGCTAATATAATAATGCAACTTGAATGGATGTGACGAAATACTGCCTTGATAGGCTTTTCAAGTAGGAGACAATAATTGTCCAAATTGTTCAAAAGCAACAATTTATTAAAGTTTTTTGTCACAGTCTTTAAAATTGGAGTTGTTGATTGAAAGGACTATAGCATAATTTCCATTACGGCTGAAGACAGTCATAGAAATTTTATTCCACGCAATTCCATTTTTTTTTACAGTAATTTCAGTCACATCAGATTATTTACAAGACACATAACGTCGATATTACAGAGAACAGTCAAGACAGATACGTAAATTATTAAATGTATTTTGCCCTGTAATATTATACATCGAGCATTCGAGGATATTGGATTGAAGACGGTACAGTACCAAACCCAAACTGAGTTCTATCAAAAGCGTTTGATTAAGACTACTTACAGCGGTTATCATTATTCTCTTCTGTTCGAGTGGGGCTACAAGATTGCCGCGTCTTGAAGACAATATAGTTTTACAGAAATACTGCCAGAATATACAGGTCTCATCTGCATATAGGCGTATACATATACAGTTATGATAAAGTCTTTGTTAATTATTGTAATAGTACGAAGAATACGCAACTTGCTATGTTACAGGGGACAAGCATATTACGAGCATCTTTAGACACAGAAAAACAGCCCTATTTCATCAATTTACCGTCATACCTTCCTCCTTTTGGTAGGGCTATTTTATCTAATAGCGACTTCATTTCTGCACTTTCCTCATAAGTTTTTAACAATTCATATAATGCTACTATTTGGCGTGTAACTTCAAATAACAAATCTAAATCAACCGATAACTCGGCAAACCATTGCGTGCAATCGATACTCTGTATAATGCAGGCAGTATGGAGGCAAGCTACAAAAAAGGACGAAAAAAGGCCATTGCTTATTCATCAATCATATCAAGAAGAATACGATTAGTAATTAATTCGTGCTTATTCGATGAACTATACCCAAAGCGATAATATACGGTGGATACATAAGACAGATATCGGTGTTGTAGCTATCGTTGATTGCTCTCCTAAATGTACATTAAAGAAGATTGTTGACAAAAAACGCCACGACTTAAAAATCATTTTTATTTCATCTACTCCATTTACCATGCACAAGGCAAGAGTGCGTCTTTTTTTTCAAAATCTTCAACAAACTGAAGTAGAGGTCTGTATGGATGAAAAACGATCAGAGAGCAATCCTAGTAAGAAAATGGAAAGAATGAAATGCGTTAGAAGTAGAAAATTTTAAAATAGTAATTATAAAGCATGTCCAGCTTACTAATAGTTCCAACAGGAAAAACTCGCATTCCAATATCTTATTTGAAGTATAAAGTATAAAAGTTAGGGACACAATACAGATGAAGGAGCTACTGATAATAGTATGAAACCTCAATGTTATATTACTTCAATCATTGTAACCCGAAATCGTAATAAAAATCTTACCACAGGCATCTTATATGGATAATCTGATCCAAAGTAGCTGGAATACTTTTGTTTCACTGTAACAATTCCCATATTAACCACAGTTAACATAATAATAATAGTAATAACGTTCATTTCCAAAGGGAAGATTAGCAGACACTTACCAACATTTGTACAAGCGTTTATAAAGCGTCCAGTATTTATAATGCCGCATTCCTATCGATCATTGAAAAGTATGGCAAATTACATGAATACAAGATACACGTATGGCAGTAGCAAGTTGGCTAGATAAACGAACCTCTGCCTTGGATGCTAATAGAATACAGGTTGGAGCTAGAAGTAGTGGCGCGATCGATTTTAGACTATTCCTAAAATTCGTAGAAATTTATCTTTAGATATTATTATTACACGAAATTTTAGTAAATTAGAGCTCATACAGGCACACTACCAGCCTACTGATTTTTATAATCACTTTACGCCACTAAGTATGCAAAATCTCCATCATTAATCTATATCCCTATAAGTATGCCCATTTTTTGACTCGGGAAAGATATTAAGCTACCTGGAATAAAATCGTTTAAAGTATACAATTGCCGTTGCAATAACTTGTTGCCGTAATTTCAATAAATCTCCCAAATGACGAATGACTGGAAAACAAATTGAAAAATTGGCTTAGAATTAAATAAACAATTAATGCATGAAAATTTTCTGTACAATTCACAACTCATTATGCCTAGGTGCAGTATACAACATGGAGGCTACAATTCAGTTCTCTAGATAGGTATGACATAAGAATAGCATCAACAAGACGTAACTACTATGGGTTATACTAAATCGATGATGGCATTGAGTACAATCAAATTGAATCTTAATCAAAATGTGCTTGTAACCATCGCTGCTAGATCTCTAAAGTTAGCTATGCTTGTACAGTACTAAGAAAGCAACGTTAACGCATCGATTTTGCTAACATTTGGCCATGAATGGTTCATACGATAAATCGAATCTATGCTGACGAATAGAATTGTGCTAAAATACCGATTCGTTCATTTAAGGTTTATTCCTGATCCAAGCAAATACTGCTTTGCTAATTATTTTGTCTCTAAAGTTAGCTTTATTTGTACAGTACTATGAATACAACGTTAACGTATCGATCTTGCTAGCAATTGGCCATGAATGGATAATACGGTAAATCGAATCTATGCAAACCGAATAGAATTGTACTAGAACATCGACCCATTCATTTAAGGTTTATTCCTGATGAAAGTAAATGCTGCTTTGCTAATTATTTTGTATCGAATTAATTTTTGGATACTTTGTCCGCGTTGAGAGATTGCCGTTACCGTTATCGATATACAGTATTGTAATACCCTATCTTATTCCCTCTCCATATTACTCTCTATCTCACTGTATTCACGATCTATTATCAAATTCATCTTCAAAGCACATTTAGCAAACTGCATAAACTTACAATTAGCGAAAAACATATGAATCTTAAAAATTTCATCTTCAGATAAATAGGATAAGTCTTCTTCTCTTCCAGCTAAAATTTCCTGCCGGTCAAGCACCCATTGAGAGCTAACAAAATGAAATAGCATAAAAGTCAGTATAACCACGATATAACAGTACAACAACCCACCATCCTCTTCCTCTGAATACTACTACCCATTCAAAATACTCTCTACAATAAAATGTTGTTCGTTAATCATTGCGCCAAGTCAATAATAGTAAGATTATCCCTACAAAGTTTGCCTATTTTGAAACTATCCATTGGCATATCACAACTGACAAGCATTCCGCCACTACAAGTGAAAAGAATCAACTACTGTACTAGCAACATTATTGTAAGCCTGAATGGTTATCTAATGAATTCCTTTTCATCAATAACGAGGCAGTAGCTACATTTCTTTGGCATTTTTACCAGCTATCATTGCAACTACGACTTACTAATGAGACGATTTCCAAAAATTGGCAGCCATGATCGTTTTTCCAATTAAGCCTAATTTCGATTTTCGAGCATGCGCATCTCACTGTTTGAAATCTTGTTCTTCTAGTACAGTGCACTGTCAGTGTGTGCTTCAGTGGGCCCAACAAGGTGATAGTAAAACTAGAAATTTTTCTCCTGTTTCAGTTGTTCTATAGTCACTCTATCAAAATGCTGTCATACGGACTACCGTATGGAACAGTGAGTAGTGCGGTGATTGAATTAGTCTGGCCCCATCCATAAATCGTCTTCAAGTTTTGCAAAGCTCGCCATGATTTCAGAAGTTTAGATGCCTAGCATACAGCTTGTGATCGATTTCAGCACTATTTATGCCTAGCATCCAGTTGGTTAAGACTAATATCGATGATTTGATCTATTCGTAAGGGAATGGAGATATCTTACTGTTCCTCTAGAGCACTGAAAGACGAGTACCATATCCATTCAATCCCTCCTAGATTTGCAAATTGAATGAATTTGATATCGCTGCACGTTAATAATTTGTTGCATGCTGAATACTTCAAGGATAGTGGCCAGATGGAATTATCACTTGATAGGGTAGAAGATCATTACGAATGCGTTCGAATACCATCATCTTTTGATCATATGTATACGGGTATAGATATACTTGCTATGCTTAGATAGAGGCGCGTACTAAATCATAGACAATCAATGTTAATGCATGATGAGGAGGATACGATTTATGCGCATAAATGATTAATAGCTATAATATTCACGAACAGTAATCTATGGATAATAGGGCCAAGCTGGCAGATTCAACTGATTTCGATTCGTTTCATATGTTTTATTCATAGCATACATGCATGTAGATCATCCCTATATCGTAGTTGATATCAGCATTTTTACCTTCGAAATAGAAAATGTTAATGCGTGTGAATAGGATAATAGTCTATAGACCAAAGATTAAGCGCACAGGAATGATTCTTGATGCAGCGAAAGGTGTGCTGTTTATCACATAAAATGAAATGCTATGGGAACGGATGATCTTAATCACAGCACTTTAGGTACACAAATTGTCGATATCATTTCTTACTTTGATATAGAGAGAATCCATTGCAAACATATCAAGTCTGTCACTACGCAATTCTTCTGGATGGTTGAAAAACTATTGAAATCAGCACTTATCGTAATGGCTATAATCCACCGATTCATATGGGATTATAGATGGGGCCTAGAACTATCCGATAAATTTTGACCTTAGAATTTCTAGTAGCGATAACTTTAAATTGGATTCAATTCATATTCCTACTCCGACTTGAGAATACAGATAAAACACAACGATGATAATATTGCTTTTAATTGAATTTCCAAAATGCAATTCACTTTATTGAGTTAACTAAAAAATAAGTAGTACTTGTCTACTGAAATGGAGAAATTCACTTTATGCTTTAATCATATTTTGTAAATGATCCTATTCTTTCACTGGTTCAGTACAAAGTCATGAAATGATTCAGGAATCATCTATCATGCCTTTCGTGCTCTAAATATCAGGCATTACGTTATCCTGCCAATAAAATGTTAACATTTAGACCATGCTAATTCATACCATGCTCTTCCCAATGATCATATAGAACTCGCCTAAGCAAAACAGGCAGTGCTGCAGTAGTTTAAATTGGAAGAAGCAGCGTTAGTAGCTTAACAATTAAAATTCGAGCCTAGACTTGAATAATTTACCAACTCTTGCTTCATCGTTTTTCACTATTTGTAAATATCTCAATACAAAGGTTTCATAAATTAAAAATGAAATTACTTTACTGGATATTATATCCTCAACCTAAGCAGCATCATCAGTAATATTAGAATTTAGTCTTTTAATTTAGATTAACTTAGAATTATTCATAACCTATGAGTATATTAGTAATTCCAATACTAAAAGAATTAACTATAGAAAGGCAAGCGACTGGAGAATAAAACTACAAAATTGTCGATAGCATATTACTATTCATAGGGAATTAAGATTAGATTGATAGTGTCTGGTTAAACCATATAATATGGTAAGGTTGTTTACTCCTTAAATGTACGTTTAGGATAAAATTAGACAACGTATCTATTTATAGACATACGGGTATAAATGTTTATTTTGATCTAATTGAAGGTGTAGATGTAATGTTTTCTCAATATCTTACAATCATGGTACAGAACAATGCCAGTAAGGCAATGATCTGTGTATACAATATCCGTTTGCAAGTTTACAATCCAAAGACTTTGTGAGTGTTGACATATTTCTGTTAATATATCACTTCATCACTGCGCATGATAATGATATTCCATCCTCTGCTCTAATGCAAAGTCTATACTGCACTGTAGTCTGTATGCGAGCTCATACCGTGCAAAGGATGCATCGAGACCTGCAAGATTGTAAAGTATCTCATTTCATTAATAGCTTTAAAAACTGTAGAATTACCCGAAATTTTTAGTTATTCAAAGCGAAACATCTTCAATGGCAAACTTTAGCAAGAATATAAATTTACTATTTAAATAAATTGAATTCTTGTTGGTTTAATGGTAAGAAATACTAAATGTCGAATCCTGTTCATGGTATAACTTATGAAAGTGTAACATATCTGAGACTGGCAAATCATCTCAGCAATCTCCTAACATTAACTGATCAATTTCTCAGGTAAATAATTATTAAATAGTTTGCTTTATAGCATCACTATAATGAATTGAGTGCATTGGATTTCTAATCGCCAACGTAGTAGCTTTCGTGCTGCTAGAAATGGATTTTGTATAAGAGCTTAGGTCTAGATTCTATACCAATATAAATAAACATGACTAGAAAACGGAACGCAGCTGTATCAGCCAACTACATTTTCCAACCATAGGAGTGCATGAATAATTTGATTTGATAGAATATTCCATATCAGAGTTCAAAGGATTACATCTTAAAAAATCAGTCACTTTTGCAATATCGTGTCCAATATAGAACACTAATGCATTACTTTATTCCTTAGTTAGCTTAGCTAACCTGGAAGTTCGTGATGCATGCTATACAATTTCAAATCATACAATCTCATGTAATAAGCGTATGCTAAAATGTACTTCTGAATTCATTAACCACTTTCTAATACTATAATTCATTAGAATTTTACTACCGCAATCATTGTTCGGATAACTATTGTTAATAGCATGCTTTTGCTATTGATGTAAAGCAAACATGAAACTTCTGTACATATTTATGACTTATGAGGTTGCGACTTTGAATTTGGCCTTCCATTATTTAATGTCTGTACATCTAACTGGTATAATATGCGGGCTGAGCAGTCTCAAAAAGGCAGTTATAGCTTGGATAGATATAGGATTTGGGCCAATATCAAGCTTGTACTATTCTTGTCGAACAGAATTGTGATAGAGGTAAATGTAAAAGTTGGAGATTGTAGAACGCATTGATTGAAACTTTACTTAAATTTGCTAAGGCATTCTTAATATTATATATAAGAGATGAGTTTAAAACTTATTCGATACTCGTAATTTGCTTTTAATTCATAAAAAAAGTGTTGAGAAACTTAGATTGCTAAAACAGTGGCAATTAATACGATTTTGCTGTTAAACACGACCGTTAGAAACTTTACTAGTAGAGCAAATTATACTTTGAGTTAAAAGGAAATCTAGTAGTCATTTATCCTTCATCACTTTATAATATCTACATTCGTAGTAGGCACATACAAAGTTCACCATTATCATGATTTTATGGAGTATGCTAATTCGACTCTAAAGATTGAAAAAAAACTTCAAATTTTATTTGCCATGCCAGGATTTGCTTTCCTGTGTTTCCTGATCAAATTTGCATAGCAAGATCATTACAATCAATATGTTAAAATAAGTAAAGAGTAAATAAAAACATTCTGATTGTTAAACGTTAAAATTGGAAACTATCAAGTGGTACAAAGCTATTGGGATTGTAAAAGTACTTTAGAGTTTGGACTTACGAAACATTTAATGAAAATGAGCATTACTTTTATGCTCTAGAATATGAATATTAGTGTATTTATATATGGCGAACTAGTAATGAAAAGGTAATTATATAATGCTAATCCATTTTGCTTTTGCTCACTGTGATCAGTTTCAACGAAATCACATTATTATGAATATTGCTAATCAAGCACCCTAAATACTAAATTTTAGACATTGAGTGCTGTACCAGTCTTATTGCTGGCATACGTAAAAGAAAAAGCTAGGATTTAATAGATGGAGAAGCTATAATTTATTCTATACTTATTTACTAAATTAGTTAGAATTTATAAGTTATTCTTTGATAATTATTTATTATATGATGCAGCTAGGGAGCTAAAATAATCGTATGGCTAATAATCAGTGATATAATCTTTCGAATATTTACCGTCCTATAATATTTCACATTTTTAGATCGAAGTACATTCCATATTATAGCTAATAAGATAGGTTCAGATTGGTCAAGATTGCTTTCAGAACTAAGTCAACTAAGCGAAATTAAAATATCAGATCAAGGTTTCAGCAATGATCAAGTGATATCCTGTCTTATTGCTTGGTATAATAAAAATGGTGGTGAAATTGCAATCGATATGATTATTGAAAAGCTTCTTGCAATTGACAGATATGACATTGTCCATTTAATTGGTTAGCAATAAGTAAAAAGGGTAAATTGTATTAAACATGAAAATTTAAGTATATTTATATTGTGATAAAGAAAATGACTACATATCGTTTCCCACAAGTTCGATCAGTTTATCATAAAACCATTTACTGAAGAACTTCCAAAGTTCGGATAAGTTCGGATAAGTTCGTCTGTCATTAAAAGACACTTTCTTAATATTGTTTATCGTAATGATTTTAAGTACAGCTACCTCTTAGTCTATTAATTTAATACTCTAAAGTATTGAGCGTAAGCGCTTAACTATCTATGTGAAAAATTTTCTGTCTTGCATTTGCAACCATTCATAGAATTGAGAAAAATAGTTAGCTGTTATTTTAACACCTTATGCTAGACAATACAAAACTGAAGATTCCTTATAAATGGACTAAATCATTCGCCAAGAATCAAAATAACACCGCATACAAATTTTGACTGCTATTACGGCAATCAACAAACTGCTATTAGTTCTCAATTTATTAATCCATCCCCTAAATATTCTTCAACTACGCATAATGTAGAAAATATTGATTAATATCGATCCAGTTTTCCTAGTTTACTTAGTTTTAAAGGAAATAAAACTAAGTAAATTTAATTATTAACTTGCTCATACTTATCTTTATCTATATTTTCTTTTAGGCTATAGGAGGAGAAATCATTCCAGTTTTTTGGGTTAGTAAATCTATAATACAATACTATTAGCCGATATGAAAATAGATACAAAATTTTATTTTTGTTTTATTTATTCATCAATTACTTCAAATTTTATGAGCGTCTTGATCCGTTGAAAACTACAACTTTATATCACCCATTCAAACAGCTTTTACAAAAAATTACTCACATAACCTTTAAATTAAGATTCTCTATTGACTGTTAACAGGTTATATCTTACGGAGCCTTCCACCAATATCCAATGATCAATACATCCTGCGTGTGGATACTACTTGCGATATTTGCAACATACTGCAGAAAATCCATCAGCAGGGCGGTCATTTAATAGTCCATGGTAGATCTGGCAGCGGTAAGAGTACCTTAGTAAATCAAGCAATTCGACAAGCTGT